AATATATAAGAAAATGTTAGATTAATACAAAACCATGGTAAAACAATTATTCACATGAATACCCTATATATTATATAGTAAACATTATATTATATAATGTGAGTTTTTCTCTTTAATATTTCTAAACGATTGAACCAGATAATCAATTTGTCGAGTTTATATGTATGTTGTAGTTCGCCTGATTTTAGATTTCCGCCTCAATGAACAAACTCACCCGCCGTCTAATAACAAGGATGCACAGTATGAAAGAATCATTGCAAGGTTAACTTAACTAACAACTGTTATTACGTAAAATTACATACTTTTCATTTGTACTACGACATTATAATGTTAAAAATATTTTTCTTTTGACAATACAGAAGTTCGAGACTTTTTTGTTTTAATAAATGAATCTTAATTATCATTACAACCGTATAAGGTTTATCATACTGACTTGATAGAACATTAAATTTTTAATACCCAAACAAACTCACAAGTCTGCTCTTACACTGTGATACGTGAATATTTGATATCAATGTAATAATAATATTTCAATTAGGCTCAAATAACCACATATACGGCTATAATTTAATACATAAATGCCTTTACTATATAACCAAAATTGAACATACCTTAAAGCAGGTTCCACATAATAATTTATATATCAGTACATCTGTCATTTATATTATATACTATGTATGGTCTGTTTATGTACCTAGTTGATACGATTATACTATGTAACTGGTACATATGTTCAAAGTGATATACCGTAGTGCTCGGATTCATACACATACCAATATATTATATTGATAAGTGAGTGGGAATGATAACATCAATCGATCATAACGTACAAGGTTGTTGATAATATTAATACAATCAGTGTATGGGTGTAACTATGGAATATTTGGTTACTTAAAAAAATCATAACAAGTTTAACGTACGGTCAAAACTGATGAATCTCTCCACAAGACTATAATTAACGGAGCAAATGCTATCCTCGACCACGTACGGACCTTGAATAGATATTTACATCGCTAACATTCTTCATTCATAGCTATAGTACCACGAAAAATATCATGACAAATATGAAACTTATTGTATGTTACCTTTTGAGTAGATTTAAGAAATATAAATGAAGATATAAAAGATATAGTACGCTCTTCAAACTCAGTCAAAACGAAGTTAATTTAAATATGGCTTGATATAATAACTTACAAGTATATTTACAATGGATTTTTTAAAAATCTATTGTATACGAAACGACATATTATATTGATGAAACAAATCACATTATTTGTTTACCCAAAATTCTAAAACGAACAAACGCATCGACGCTTTAGAGACGCGGACAATAATAAACAATATAGATTCGAGTATGTAGTAAAGACTTTTATTTTTTCTTAAGCATTAAAGAACACGACTCTTTATAGCCTCTATAAAAACGTATTCCTAAATTTTGATACATTTCATAAAGTTTTCAAGAGTAACAGTGATTAGTTTACAACGCTAGCGAACATCGAAACGCGCCAAATTCAACCGTCGCATATGGAATGAAATATATGACAGTTGAAGTTCACCTGCCGCTGACGGCTGCCCTTGAGGAGACGAGCGTGGAAGGATCCCGGCGTGTCGATGGTGTGTTGCCGGGAGAGGAGCGAGTGTGACCCGCTGACGGAGCTCTGCCTGAACCATGGCAACGATATCTTCCTTCTACTCTTATTCTGTTTTGTTTGTATGTTACCGGCGGGCAGGGTCGTGTGGGGAGGGGGGGTGCTCGACATACTAATGTTTTTCCTCGTGTGTACGTGCGTGCGGGAGCTGCGGGCGCGGGCGCGGGCCGCTAGCTGGCTCCCGGTCGTGCGGTCCGACGCGCGGCGTTGTCGCCACTGCCGCGCGTCTCTTTGAACGGCTATCTTGTACCCTCGCCTGTTACACTACGCAGCCTCCGTATCGAGCCACATTTCCTAAATCATATTATTTAAAACCGCCGTGGTAGTCGTCTAATCCGCTCTTATTAGAAAGTTTCTGTATTTGAACGAGACTCGAGTATTTTTCTTTGTGCCTGATCCAGTATGATTATCTTGTGTAGTTCACTTACTGCACTTTTTCAATGTCACTTGTAATCTTAGTGTGTTTTATTTATATTAGCCACGTTCAAGACGTGTCATTTAAGCGTAACGTCGCCTCGTACATGTCGAAGCGAGTTTCCCGAGAGTTTCTCGTCGTTCAGATAAACTGATCCACTGCAGTGCGGGTTTACTTGGTTATGTAATTTACGTCACTTAACGATATCGCTCGAAACAGTTCAGGAGGCTAAAGCAAGCGAACAGAGTTCCATCTGATTTACACGATGTACATTCATTTGAAAAGAAAACTTTTATTTCTTCCATGTATTATAAATAAATACACAAGACATACGATTTAACTGCCATTGAATAGTGTTTTACTGTGTGTTAGAGAACTTATTTCAGGGACATTTGTTTTGATTTTTTTATATTTATAAAAACATATTGACAACGGAAAGAATATGGCCTCAATCAATTAATAAGATCCAGCAAAAATACGTAGTGACATTCATTAGCGGAGACACGTAAATCGGAGCATTTTGTTTCAAGAACAATTTATATTTACACTAATACCTTTTAGTATAATTTATTATTATTTCTCAATAAAGAAGTACTTTTACGCTAATGTTTAATACATTTTTCTGTTTTAGTTAATTCTCAACGACAATATAATATGCGTATTTTGATCTGAATCATTTTAAACCGGCTGGTATGTCAGGGACTGTTTCCACTATACTACGTCACTTAATTCGATTAGACGATTACTTCCCACGTTTGTTCGAAGAAATCGTACACGATTAACAAGAAGTAAATGTGATATTTTTTTGAAATTCTAAAGTAGGTGTATGTATAAACTCTATAGGGATCACAATTTCTCATTTGTTAATTATAGAAGTACATGTATAAGCAACTGAAATTGTTATTAGCTTTCTCAACCTTGAATACATAATGCACACGTGTTTAAGGTAAAGTTTTAATTTGTTAGTAAAATTGGAATTAAATTCAATAAAACTAAAACGATTTTAATACATTAAATCTAATGTTAAAGAAAGCTATTTGTTTAATTTGTCATTGTCGTGCTCTTAGACTGCTTTCAAAGCAAAATGTTCTATAATAAGATTTTATACAAACGTTGAACAAAAACATATTTATAAGAAGATAGAGATAGTTACGAGCGAAAAATATAATAAGCGAACAAAGCGTTCTGACAGCGTTTCACGAACTTAAAGCCTTAGTTAGTTTGAGTACTTTGAATGTTTCAGTGCAGTTGAAACGTCTGTTGAGAGCGACGTACCGCTTTCTTAAATAACCTATTTTACGAGTCCCTTTGTTATTGCTTTTCCAATGACAACGAAATTGGATCGCTTACAACATCTTTCAAAACGAGAAACAAGAAACTCTTACCAATATAAACAAAGACGAAACAAAGCGAAGATACTCGATGTAGTGAAATTAAACGTCCCTAATTACTATCATTATCCCTACTAATATTATAAATGCCAAAGTAACTCTGTCTCTCTGTCTGTCTGTTACGCTTTTAAACCTAAACCACTGAACTGATTTTAATGAAATTTGGTACAGAGATGGAGTTGACCTTGAGAAAGAACATAGGATAGTTTTTATCCCAGACTTTTGAAAGGTTTTCATGGAAACGATATAACCGAACTCCACGCGGGAGAAGCTGCGGGCGGAAAGCTAGTACTAACGACATAATTATAAGTTCAGTATAAAATAATAATAATAATATTAGATCACTGAAAACTATACAAACTTCCAATAACACGAAAACATTATAATCGCTATGCTATATAAATAATAAATAAATCAATACATTTATAGATTATAACCGGAAACTTATGTCACAATATATCCCGCATGTGATATATGTACGACTTAAGCTTGTTGCACACTACCATACAGACAGCCTGCGAAGCGAAGCGTTTATTTCACGCTTAATTAAGTGAGTAATTCGCATAAACTTTTAATTATGAGTTCCGGAACCTCACTAGCTGAGTGTCAACGAATTTTTGTACGTAAAAAGTTTCGTGACACAAGCACAAAAACCTACGTTAATTATTGTCATATATTTGTTTTGACCTGTTTCTGGGTTCGGATGTCAAAAACTTTGTTAAAGATACTAATTACGCTGGATATTGTGATTGTAGTACTATTTTGAATTATTCTAACTAGCATTAAGGAGTCATTTAAAATAATTCTTGTGTTGAGAAAAATAAGCGTAAGAGCAATGTTTTCGATATTTTGAAAAAACAATATCGATCATAATTCATATGAAATTCATACTTAGACGAAATGCTCAATTTTTATCAGCCACAAAACTGGTGCCTAAATACATATAAAGTCACATACATTCTATATATATTCACGTCAGCGATATATAATATTTATAGTGAGAGTTCATACTATACAATATACATATTATGTACCTGTATAATAATGTTTTATAAGCATATTTTCGAAGTGAACGCTCGACGAAGCTCGTTATAGCGAGAAACGCTCCACGGAACAAGCTTTGATATTGAGAATATTATTTGTACCGAGAAAACGGATGTGTCGCTATGAAGCTCTGTATAATTATTAATTAGCGTCACTCAATATTCTATTTATTATGACTCGTATACTACAAGTTGGTGTGCATTTTTTATTCTAGTTCAGCATGTATGAAAATTTTAGAACGTACTTTCCTCATATAAGAGAGGAATCTGCTAATTAGGAAGAGATATCGCTTGTGTTTTGTTGTTAGAAATGAGTCTTCTGAATTTAAAATTCGAATTTCAGTAGTCTCGTGGAACTGTATAGGAAAAGTTTCAAAATATCGCAAATTTTTTTGGCTGTTTTAAATGACGGAATTATTGTAGAATCATTTCGTATATTGCGAGAACTGCAAACGTAAAGCATGTTATAGTATGACGTCATTAATTTGATTATTCCACTGACCTTATCGGAGTCTGTAGTGTTGCCGCTGCCGAATGAAGCGAGAGAGTTGCGATCCAGATTCTCTGTATCCGTGTCTTCGAAGTCGCTGTAAAATTTGTTCATTATATTTCCCCTTCAGTGTTTGAGGTAAAGTTCGTGTAATGGCAAATTCCACTCACCGACTCGATCTCTGCGAGCTTGGTGGCGGAGCGCGCGCCGGGCTTCGAGGAGGCTGCTGCAGAGCCGCACTGAAGTAGGTTTCCTATAGAAAAAATTATTAATAATCATATATAGGTATATATTCCAAATATATATTATTTATGTTACCTGTATGACTTCTCGTAAACGCCTGACCCATGTCTGCTTGACGTCGAGAGAGGGCGCTTTGAGTACTATGCGGCAGTCGCTGGCCATCGGTTCGCGGCCTGTCCACACTGAGAATTTACAATCATCGCCTTCTATGTGCTCTGTCACTCCCAATTCGGATGTCTAAAAAACAGATACAATTATAAGTATAATATTAGAAAAATAATTGAACTGTGTATTCGAAAGTTGTAATCTCACCATGAATTTAGTCTTGTATATGTATTTAGCCTTTCCGTGCGTGTCTTTGACTTCTTTAGCCAGTAGTAGGTGCAGGTCGAAGAGGAAGACTCGTCTTTCGCGGCACTTTTTGATGATCTGCCTTAGGTCCCACACTTGGAACGAGTCTTGCAGTACAACTTCGCCGAGGCTGTCCGTTGGTACATCACAGCCTTCAAGGTTCGACAGGTGCATAGCATCGTTGGCCTTCTTCGGTACAGACAACATCACCTCCAACCCGTCCTGAATAGATATAACACGTATAATTCTCAATAACACCAACATGTTGTCTCTACAACCACAAATTTAAATGTTCGCACACGTCATACGTCACACTATGATAACCGTCAACACAGATACTATTTACTAATACATACGTGATCCTTCTTAGAGGCTGGTCCTATTCTATTAGTTTTGTAACTATTCAAATATTTCAACATCATTAATATGATAGAATCCACATTTATATGAACCATAACATTAATTTTATTGTTACATATAATCCACGTCTCACCACTGGGACATATAACTCATAACGAAACCAAAACTTTATACAAATGATTCATGAGGAAAATTAACGTTATAAACTAATTGGTGATTTACTTCAAACAATACACATTTGTTCGATTAAGGATCGTTTATTTAATATTATTTCAACGTAACTCGTTATGTGACTACTAATGTGTCCAAAGACTGCGATTGTCATAAAGGAGATTTAGAGGGGCTATTTATCGCTTCAGTATAACCAAGAAAAGATGTCAATGTATTATGAAATATGTAACATAATTAATAGAAGTTCCCCTAAAAACTATTCGTCATCATATTATTCCGTGTATAACAACACTTAAAATTTTATATTACACGAACACTGATAGGAAATGACGCAGAAAACGTAACGGACTCAAAATTATACAGTTCATCATATGACAATAAATTAATTAATTATTATGCTCATATATATAAGTTTTTAATTACTATTATTCTATATTAATTTCCATATCACACAAATCACCTCAATATATGCAACTGATTCTAATTATTATTCTTAATGTAGTCACAAAGTAAGCACATGAGTGAATTCAGAACATTCGCAGACAATAGTACGAGACGATCGCTTAAAGAGCTCATCCCAAGCCTAAAAGTGTTTAAAACAAAAACATTCCTTCGGTACAATGGTTTAGAACATGCAAGTCTATATCTTATCGCTGAAGGTTAAACGCTTTGATAACGACGGTTTTGATAACACTAATCTTTTACTAACCTGCAAAAAAACCTTAAAATGTGCTTTTGTTTGCTTGTTATTTATTAAAAGATTTCGCGGAAACTACGTACGTACGCGTCATTATATTGTTTAACTTATTTGAAGTTTTATATTCTCTCTAATATTTATAGTGTTTTAACACACCTAGATAGAAAACTATTCTTAATTTGTTCGTAGTGTTTACAAGCAACTATCTACATATGCGTCATTATAATCTAGGGTATGAGTTCTGACAAACAATTCAAGATGATATAAAAATATACGTAAAAGACAATGATCCTGCGTAAAAACCGATTTATTTTAAAATTGTTATTAATAAAATAAAAAAAAATATTAGAGAACATAACATACATAGGAGATAAAACAAGATTTATAATAAGAAGATATGTGGTATTAAAATGCGCTTAATTATTTGAAATACGAAACAGAAACACTTTAAAAAATATATACATATACGATAGAACTGAAATTAAAATCAACAATGTAACGTACGTGTGTGTACGTACTTACAAAAATTACACCTTTGTATTATAATGACGAGTATTATATAACAAAAACTCGCATATTAAGAAAATTTATAAATCTATGGGTGTTAATATTTTCGCAAATAAATATAAATAAATGTTCTTGATTAATTTACCTTAATTTCTCCTTGACCTTCTGCACAGCACGCTTGAAGATCTTTCAACAGCAGTTGGTATTTAGTGATTCTTTGCACCGGCTTTATGAGGTAAGCCGCCAATGGATGTTCTAGTTTCTTCCTTCGTTGTACTCTGTATGAATAAAAATTACTTAGATAAGCATTTATTATATTTTAAATAGATTTAGAGAATAACATTGTTTTATGACTGAAGACTATACAAAAAGTGATTTAAAATAACTTCTACAAACAAGCAAAAACAATATATTATATAATTACACAAGATATATTATATATGCAAGTTATATTTGTATATATAGATATAGATGTAACTAGTTTTCGCCCGCGACATCGCCTGAATTAGAAGTGTATAGCCGACTGGGCAAACTTTATTCCTCAAAGACAGTAGAAAAGATTTTGTATTTGATCAAGGGATGAAAATATCCTGTCCTTTCCCTTTTTCTAAGCTATCCCCCACTAATTATTATCCCAAACCGTACAGCCGTTTCTCTTGTTATAAATAGTGTAACAAACACGACTTTCTTTTGTATATAAAGATAAATGTTTCAATACCTATCGAAGTAGTCCCCAGCGTGTTGTACTACAGCCGCATTGCTGTCAGGTTTGTTCCTACAGTATGAGACGTACATGTCGAACTCCCTCGCCCAGGTCACGAAACAATGACCGACATCCTCTGGCATAGTCTCATACTTATCCAACTCTCGTAAGAACACACGCTCGTGGAATCGATGTATTTCTTCTATATTACCGAATATCAGCTCCTCCTGTTAACAATTTACAACTTTATTATATAATAATACGTATTGAACTGTAAAACCTAAAAGGATATTTTGAGATCTAAGATTTTCGCGAGTTTAATTCATTTAAATGAAATTAATATTTTTCGGATTGTACTACGCGAGTTTATTTATGTCAAAAATTATATATTCCCGACGTTTCGGCTACTTTTCAGCAACCGTAATCACGAGCAGACGAGATGTGAGTGTCTGTCAGTCGGTCTTGTTATTTTATCATCTACCGCCAATTAATTCTTAATTTTCTTGCGTACCACTCTGGATGGATATTATTTATATACGATAGTGATTTTTTTATAATATAATATCACCATACCTTCCCCTGAAGTGCTGTTGGTACGGATGCTGGGTCTGTTCTCATCTCACGCAGATAACATGTTATACAAGTCTCCAAATCCTTGACGTAAGCGCGCTCCGTCTGCAGAAGCTCCGCCATAATAAACCTGTTCAATAATTATCTTAATAAACATCTCTCTTGATATATAATTAAAAAATTATTCCGCATTGAATTCTAGACTTATGTTTATTGTAAACCCATTGTTATGGATTAATGAATATCTGTTTAAAGTGATGTAAAAACAATCTGTTTTTTCTTTTTTGTATAGTAGCATCAGTTACATAAAATCTAAGATTCCATTTCGATGACTACGCCGTGCTTAAGTGAAAATTAATTATCATTATCATCGTGCTCGGTTTAAAATAGTATCATTGAGACGTTATAATTATATTTATTATTAATAATAGTCAAGATAATTTGATTAACCAAACTTGTAATAGTTTAACTACCCAAGTAGTAGTATATATTTTTTTAAATCACAATATCTTCTTCCTGGCAATTTTCCCAGCTATAGTCAGAGCTGCCTTACACGTTGTGAATAGTTTTGGCTAATTGTTTTTACATATCATTATAATCAATATTACAAATACTAGTTTCTGATACATTCCTAGTAGTATATTATAATTTATATTGTCCATACTAACTCTTTGCGACGTGCGCTCCTTCGTTTATCATCAGCGGAGGCTGCCGGCGGTTGTTCAACGCGAGTTTCAGTCTCACTGGTCTGTCCGGAGCTCAACGACGCCGCTACACCTGAATCACTCTCAGCCTCGCTCTCACCGCCTTCCATGGACCCACTGAACTCCGCATATCTGATACATACGTTAATATTACGTATATATCAACAAAAAACTAAGATATTTTACCTACATATAACAGTCTGATATTAAACTAAGATATCAGGTCGGTTCGATTTATATATTAAAGAGTTTTGATGTAATTTTTTCACAATTAATAATAAATAATTTATAAAATATTTCGGCTTAAACTTTTTTATGATAATCTGCTTCTAATGTAGAATACGCGGTATGCAAACAAAACACTAACATTTTTCACTTACATATAACAGTCTGATATTAAACTAACATATCGTCGGGGATAGTGTAAAATCGTCTAACTAGCATTGGAATCAGATTATCAGAAGAAAGTTTGAGCTGAAATATTTTCCAAATTAACTATTTTTAAGGTACCTAATTTTTTCACAATTAATAATAAATTAAACACAAAATAATTACTAATTTTGAATGAATTACCTTAAAAGTCTTTAATTTACAACATTGGCATTGGATTTTGCACTATTCCCGTCGACATCCTTATTAAATCCTCACACCAACACACACACACTTACACATTCACTCACACACAATGAACAGTCTTCCTAATTAGATTAGTGATCCATTATTAATTAATACTTAAGTTACGTTTATGTTTATACTTTAACTGTTAATCCTGTATTGGTCTTAGTATTGTTTAGTTATACTTTATCATGTCATTATTATAAGCACTGTTGGATTACCGAAATAAATAAATAAATAAATGTATCTACCTGGCATCGACTGCGGCGACCCACTCTTTGATCTGTACAGCGTGAGGGTGTCCCTTCTCTACGAGTCCATCAGCTAGTTGTGCCAGCAGCCGCACTCGTTCTCTTGACTCACGAGCTACACCACCAGCAGCAGCAGCGGCAGCAGCACCACACCGCTCCTGAGTCTCTCGAATCCACTCAACGGCAGCGCGGGCTGAGCGCTCGAATAAAGCAAACTGCTGACACTGTTCGAGACGCTTCTTACGGACCGTCCAATGCTCGAGGACCTGATGAATGTAAAAAATATATATTATACTAGTGAGCTAAGAAACGTCATAAACACATTTACTGACGATTTATTAGCAATAACAATAAAAGTGTTTGTTGATAAAAAAGTCTGAATGTTTATAGATATATGACAGGTTTTTTTTAGATCAATATTAAGGAGTTTCACATTTTTTTTTATAAAGGTAATTATCAATGGAGAGAATGAAATTATGTTTAAACGCCATTAAACCCAAAATAATATCTGCATTGAAATGAATTTTAACATATTCACTTTACCTAAACACTTTACAAGTAATTTTAATAAATATATTGATACAACCACGTATCCAGTCCTTTCATTTGCACGTTTCACTATTTATGTTTCAAATTACATATAAAACTATTTGCAATACCCACTGGCTGTACCAAAGTCATTATAGAATTTGTTAACATTTCACGTTATTCGAGCACTGTACACATCGCTGAACAACATTGACGGTAATAAAGCCTCCGTTGAGATACAATCAGCGACACAGGTACATAAATAACAGCCAAACGCTCCGATCCAAATGTTACACTACATCTAACAAAACTAAATAAACTAACACACTACCGAGAGGACAATACACACATGTATAAAAAATTTGTTTTATTATTTATTTTTCAACAATATCTTTCAAGCGACATAATTGGAATTGTGATTGTATGTAAACAAACAATGTCCGATCGCAATCACATTTCAATGTTGTTTGTATATATAATGTACGGTGAAATAATAACATCAATAATGTACCGTTTCCGTCCTATAGTATAGGTACCTATTATACTATTTTTATATAACACCCGGAAAACAATAAGCAGACGAGATATGTTATAAATAAATCGTCTAGTTGTATGGCTAGCCTTGTCCTTGTAGTTTTGAACACTTAAACAAGTAAACAATGCAATGTCGGTATACATAATACATTGTAGTCTAGACTCAGGAATATAAAAAAAATAATGCATTGTAGATTGTAGTGTGATGTATAAGATTAATAATCATTTAGAAATAATAAAAATAATTTTCTTATTTTATCTTCTTCATTTATATACATAAATACAGATGCATATATGTATGTTTAATTATCCTACTAATATTATAATTGCGAAGTTTATGAGTGTGTGTGTATGTTTGTTACTTTTTCACGCTCAAACTTCTGAACCGATTTTGACTAAATTTTGTATACCGGAAGCTGACGTCCAGGAATAACACATAGGCTACTACTATACATCCCGGAGATCCGCGGGTAACACCGCGGGGCGCAGCTAGTTAATATATATATTCACCTTATTCTCTTGAGCCAGTAGCGTGTCTAGTATAGCACGCGTCTGCTCGTGGTGAGCCTTGCTAGCGGCCGCCGTCTGTCCGTGGACTTGCGCTGAACGAGCCGCGTACTTTAGGAACGTCTCAGCGGTACGACGAGCTAGAGTACAAGCTTTCAGGAACGCCTCCTTCTGTTCGCCGTGCTTCACTATCAACGCCGCAACCTGACAATATGTATACAAATATTTAGGCATACAATCAAGCTTTAGATGTCAGGCACGACGTATATTGCATGGTTTATTTGCAATAAAATATGTTTAAAGCGTAATCCACAGAAAGTCTATGAATAGTCGGGATATCTCTTAGATAGTTACTCGCTAAATCCTATATACCTGATTCTTGGATCTAAATTTCATTCTCTTACTACAGTATATAGTATTAACAGTTAATTTGATGTTATAATTAGTAATAATTATATTACCTGTGAAGCCTTATCCAGGTTCTGTGAGTGTACATCGTCCATGTCTAACGAGGCGGAGGTCGATATTGTAGTTGTTGAGGAGGCGATGGAGACGGAGGCGGCTGCGGCCGGTGCGTTCGTTGAACCACACCAGTCCTCATCGCGACGGTACTCGCGCTCCAAAGAATCTAGTACAGAGCAGACTTGCTCAGCTGTCTTGTAGAAGTTCAACGAAGCCGTCACCAACTTGTGACGTTCCTCCGCACAAGTCACCAGACGCTGCCATCTCTCTGTCACCTCTTCAGATATCTCTCTGGAATATTTAAAATTAAGTTTATTTATATATTCAAATAACGCTAGTATATTATTTATTTATTTTGGAAATACCATCGGCATATTCACAAACCACATGTGGAAAAAAATTTAAAAAAGAAAACTTGTACAGTGTGATACACCATTACAGGTATTTACATTTTACTACTTACATGTTAACAAGGGAAACTAAACACTATGACAAGTGATATAGACGTATGATTACCTTATAGTGTGTGGGTCGTAGTGGTTCGCAGCGCGAAGAGCATCCGCCCTGTATTTAACCTGCACAGCACTAGCGTGGGTCTTTTCAACAGCTACTTGGAATTGATCATGCTCTCGTTTCAGCTGCTCCGCTTCAGATAGTGTTCCGGGTATTGAGAACGACGCTGACAACATCGCCTCACCATTTCTTATCCAACTCACGACTTGGGCTGCGTCTTTTTGGAACTGACCTGCAAAATCATATAGGATTTATAGGAAATTCGATAATAATAATAATGCAATGAATCAAATATGTATCTACGTAATCAAATATGTATCTACCAAGTTGAACGCATTGCTCGAAACGTGCACGACGCTCTTCAGCCAGTTCTTCCAAATCCAATTGTCTATCATGCAAGAACTCCAGAAGAAGTTGAACGCGAGCTTGAGCATCCATAGGAGCTCCCTCCGAGCTGTCGGAACTAGAAGCCATCACATCTGACGCCTCAGCTATTGCGGCCGCCAGTTCCTGCCCTTGTTGGACCACCTATGAGGAAAAAATGATGTAGAAAAAACGTCAAATGTGTAGTATTATGGTTATATAGGATATTATACTTGGAAGGTTGCGTGTTGCATCCTGGCCACGCTTTCGTTGTGTGCTGCAAGTGCTTGTTCAGCCTGCTGCGGGTCCCGAGGCGGCTCCGTGCGCTGTAACTCTTCACCCCATAGCTCCAAACGTGACGACACCTGTATTTAAAAAAAATAATTGTCAAGGATTTTTAATGGCATTTTTGTAATTATAATGTAACATTATTAACTATTTGTACTCCTTATCAGAGGGAATAATGCATGAGGTAATAAAAAATATCGTTTGTATAGCGTAGCGTAACGCGGTATTTCGATATCAGCCATGAAAAGTTTTTGTTTATCTAGTATTACTGGTATTTAATTGATATGAAACTTTGTGGTTCTTAGAATATACAATACCTATTTAAACATAATTGAAGCCTTTTCTCGGAATGATACTATATTTTATTTTAGGAAAATTTTACCGAAAGCAATAAAATATCACTGACAAGTTGAGATTTCGTCAATATTCTATAATATTAATGCAATTTATACTCGTATATACCTCTATAGATATCTATAAACCATAGATATATTTGTCAATATATCTATGGTTTATTTATTTGTATGCATGATACAGGGTTGTCAAACATATTTGTCAAAGGATACACAATTCTACAACACCAGTTAATAAAATGATGTACCAAAAACATCTGATACAAAGTCTATACAAATATTCAACTTGTAAGGAAACGAAGCATTGGCTAAGCCAGACTATGTATAGACGTTTCAAAAGGATTATCACTATTCAATACCTCGAGGGCATCTCTCTCGAAATGCCGCAGTTGCAGTGTTAATTCGAGTCTTCTCTCACGGTCGGACCACAGTTCTTCAAGAGCACTTCGTGTTCCTCTAAGTCTCTCCAAGGTAGATTCTACCGCCGCTGTGCTCGCTGCCTCCGTTTCTCCGGACGACCTGAAGGAATAACACGAATATTATGGTAAATTCACAAAGACGGGTCAAACAAGACAGCCAAAGAGTTGTCACTGCTACTGTTCATACGTGGTCTTTTACTGATGGCACGAATTTAACTTATATGGCTTCAATTAAAAGCGAAAATTTCATATAAAAAATTATAGGACATGAGGTAGGTTCGAGAATAGTAAGTTTCAACGTTTTGTACATACGAACCTCCATCTCAGGCACTGGACCGGTGATTTGTGTCTATGCGACCGACGATGATACTTGAGCATTTTATACAAAAATGTTCATTTCACCGACCGGTAAATTAACAGTTCGTACACTTCGTTAGTCGTTTATCATGGACTTTAACGTCGTCCTGAATGCTAATTATTGAATTAATCGAAGCTACATTAAATATCAGGAAGTAGGGACTGTAATTATATGCTAAGAGGCTATGAAATTTAAAAATTCAACACCAACAACGAATTCGGTTACTGTTACCTAATCGTTTTACTGTTTTCTAACACATCACACGTCTGCTGTGTTTAATAGAATGACATATAATCGTCGATAATAGACAGTAATGACTGTGATTATAAATTCAATTCTCCCGAGTTTACACTACACGGGATTGTATCGATTGTAAGTTTGTTGATAAATATATGACGTGATCATAGAAGCTGCGGATATAATGCGAATACCTATCTTATTATTACATCATATAAATAAGAACCATTTCTTCAAGTATATTTAAGATGACGTTACATTCTATCCTCTATTAATCATGTTGACTAATTTAACTAAAATTAACAATTAATATTTGTGGCATTTCGATGACATTTTATATGCAAGCGAATTCCGTTTCCACTAATACACTACCTATACAAATATGTCTTTTAATTCACCGCCAACGCTTCTACGCATAACTCACTAGGCATGCAACTATACGAGATGAAATTGATCACGATACGTAGATGAAAAAAAACACTATAATCCGATACATTGGAAGCTCGCATTGAAGTCAGCAATTGTTTGGGAGATGTATAGATATTTCGTGTGACGATGTTTTCTAATGTCGCCGGAGCGAGGCATTCCTCACGCGTCAGCAGCCAATCGGAACAGAAAGATACCCGTAGTTAAGAAGCGGTACAATTAGTGCTTACATACGTGATTACCACACAAAGATGATGAACTTGAATTTATTCCTAGGTCAATACAACTACTATATAGCAACAAATATAGGGGAGAAACTATATAAATATTGCAATGCTGTTTGAGTATCAATTCCATTAAAAATTACATTAATTTGTCAATATATAATACGAAACATTTACAATTTATACGGTCATTACGCTAGTATAGCTATTTGTATGTAGGCATTGCGTTTTACAACATCGACACAACATAGAATTACAACAGATTAATCACAGTCAGGCCAAGTGTGCTGTGATAGTTGAACTTTCTTTGGTATGCATTCAACAAATCTACAAACGTACACTCATATCGTTAGCAGACTATCAATAGTGTAGTATTAATTAATTACTCGTTCTAATCAGTGAGGCGTTTCAAGTTAATATATGAAATGTACATAAAATTTTACGAGCATAACACTCGTAAATAAGATCACATGAGATGAGTGTTTTCTATGTGCATGTCGCATAGCGGCTGGCCGTCCGACAATTAGGGCTCAGTTGTGGTTTTATGGCACGTTAAATTGCATCTATTGAACATACATTGTATCCGGTTTTATAGACGAGCAGCGGGAGAACGTCTCGCACTTTTTATTTATGTTTATACAATCAATTACATGCGTCGCCGAGTCTAAAAATAGATAATGACCAATGAAAAGAATATGTCAAAACAAATGATGTTTATAGAAATGTACGAAAATAGTATAGATTCGCAACGGCAATTGCAGACGTAATAATTCATTATTGGTCAAGTGAAAGTCGATGAAAATCGTCAAGCTACGATTCCTACATACCAAATAAGTAGCCGTGCTGTATGCACATACAATGATTTTCTACGACTATCAATAGAATTGAAGAATAGTATCAGTATTATTGTCGAAACAGCTTTACATGAATATACAGAAAGAAAACATAAATAAATAAGAAATAGCAAAAAATAATTGTCAGTTTCCAAGATGATATCTACTTAGGGTAAATATCACACACAGTCCGGCTGCTAGAGAAATACGAGTATTCGATCGATACCTTATATTTGGGGGACAGGAAGTTACGTAAAAAATACTCACTGCTTAGAAAAAATAAGATAAATATTATCACAACAAATACTATGGGCGGTTGTATGTCTTGAGTCCAGTAATATATAGAAAAGTGTCCATAAATTTATACATACATGTATAGAAAACTATCGATAAATATGTATACATACACACCGACCGTGTACCGTACATATAAAACAGATTCAATACACACGATTAATGTTGGTCGGGTCTCATTAAAAAGTGCACTCGCTGCGCTCTAAAGCGTACTCGCTAACTGCCACCGTTATAAAAAAAGGTCTTTCATATTACGAGCTTTCGACGTTCCGCGGGCTATAATATTTAATCGTGATTTCTAATAGAAAAAATAAAATTTCACTGAAACTATTAAATTTATAACATCAATGAATGTCGAAGTTGTAATTATTTCATATTTATTACATTAAAATCTACAATCGTTTTTTTATTTCATAGCTATTAATACCGTTAATTTATTGCGAAACTATTCTTAAGTTGAATGCAATTATTGCAATATACCGATATATAACGAACGGTGAATTATTACTGATATTGTTATAAATATTTTAAGTACCAAATATATACATAACACTATACATATAATTAAGGCACTTTCAATCAATTCAAGTAAAACGTTTCAATGTCCATATACGTATGTATGTAGAAAATTGAACTTCCGATTCCCATACGCCGAGACAATCACAATGAAAATAATTAAAGGCTTTCTAAATAGCTATAGCTGAATATATTAATTAACAATAATGATTCCGCTTCAATTATAATTAATGTTATAAAAGCGATTTTATTCGACATTGATAGTTAAAGAAATTTGTATGCGTTTTAATCGTCACTTATCGGTTTTAATAGGCTGAATGCTACATATACATATAAACATTTCTGTTGATAATAATTAAAATTTAACTCATATATGTTTGCGTGTGTATACAAGCGAGTTATTAAAAGTTGGTAAGAGATTATGAGACAAGTTGTTCCGAATGGAGGGGTCTGTCAGGAGTTATAGAGTTGAACGCTATACATTTATATATAAGAATACCAATGATAAAACTTTTATAGCACATCATATATTATATTTAAATATATAAGATTAAAGCGGATAATCTATCTTTTTGTTAATTTGAGATTTAATTAATTATTTTTTTTGCAACTATTATAAAATCGGTAATAATACGCAATCCCAATTAAGGTGTAACGAAATGCCGTGAGAGAAATATCACGTAACAGCTGAAACCCATAATGTAGCAGAACGTATTTATTTATTTACTTAATATAGAAAAAAAAACAAATAAACTAATGAACGTATGTGAGTTTATAGAAAGAATATTCTAGAAGGATCAAAATTCTTAATAATATATCAGTTTGATTGTATTGTATGTATGTATGTATGTCTGTCTGATGTTGGGTTTTAACGTATTAGTTCGAGACGTCTGCCTGGGACGCAGCGTGGGGTTGTGGGAGGCGGGACTCATCTCCGGGGCCCGCCTGCCCTCTGATAGAAGCAGGAAACAACGATTGTGAGACAATTTAAATCATTGATCAAGATCAACTATTGTCGTCAGCATCCCGACAAAATCAAAACGACCGTCTCCACTGTAATTTATATATACAATATTTCATACCATAATAGTTCATGTTCTGATATAGTTTAAAATTAACATTTGTGAGCAAATTTACTTAATGTTATCTGAGTATCGATAATATTTTAAATCGAGGTTAATTTAACAGTCCAATCGAACTTGGACCGAGGCAAAGAAAATTGATTAAGTACAAGAAGTTAATTACGGATAGAAGATTCGGTGAACTATAAAAATAATTATTAGGTATTATAGAAAATTTACCTGTACGTATACCTAACACGGTACAAGGCAAACAAGTTCAAACTGGATTATATGAAAATATACAAATCACGTAGAATAAATACGTTCTGATACTAAATTCACTAATACAATATACAATGAAAATTATAGAATCATGCCAATGGATTTTTAATAATTATTAATTTCCTATTAATTCCTATATCAAATATAAATTTATTTTTAAAAACATTTAAGAAATTTTGATATAACATTATTTTACAGAATCTTTTTATAACAACACATTTCACCTCAAGTACGGTAGTTATTTCAAAAATATATATGTATTATTATTATCACAATCACTATTAGTAAGGACGTATAGAGAACGGGGGTGGACAAAATACGTCTAAGTTACCCTCACAAAATTATTAGAAAACATAATAGATCAATCGCATCATAACAAATCAGAAAAAATTCTAATTCACACGTCGTATTTAACAAGAATATACGAATTAAATAAATTTTACAAATAACTCAAATAATAACTTCACGATTATACTTAAATATCAATATTAGGTATATAATTTATTTATTTATATACCGTTAATGCGAAAATCAAATATTTTTACAACGAGATCGCGTAAGTCACGATTTAGTTGAACGAAACACGTCGCGCCACGATTTGAACCTATCGCGAACTGAACTATACGACTTACGACGCTACCAACTATGTACAGCGCCATTTTAACTTATGCCTATTCTGATATAATAAAAAAACAATATGTTATATATATTATATAACTAAATATATATTTTGTTTATATGAAATATTATAATATAAAAGTACTACGGAAAACGTAAAATATATCGTAATGCATATTTCAATATAGGGTATAATGAGGGCTTTGTATGTGCCCCTTGTTATTTTTTTCACAGAAGTACTGTTTTCGAGTACATCCATTCAGGCAATGGCAGCTCTTGAATACGCAGAGCACTTAATGTCGAGCAAGAATGTTATTCATTTTTAATTACCTATATATTAAACAGCGGAATATTAATTTATATGCGCGCTTAGATTTCATATTATTCAAAAATTTGCTTGATTTTTAGCGTATATTTTCTGAGACTTTTCCTGTTTTTTAGGTTTATAAGTCGAAATAAGCTTCTTAACTTCAATAGACTAGGTAGATAGGTATTAAATGTATTACAATAGAACAATAAGAATACTCGTTTTCTTCCTAAAAGGAGATTCGATTATAACTTATAAGCTTACTTTTCCCTTGCTAAATATTATCCCAAAGGTTTATTACACCTGAAAAAGAACTAAAACCGATTTGTTTTAAGGAAAAATCGAGTGAAATCAATGAATATGGCAATACATATAAAAAGTACGACAGAGTTTCACATCAATATGCAACATTATAAGTTACTGCGACTTTGTCTACGATGTTAAGGAAGGTAAGGTAACTAGTTGCGGCTCTTGAAAAGGGCATGAATCTCCAAGTCATCCTAAGGCTTGGCGCCACTATTATAGAAGCCACTTATCCTCTTACGGTAAACAAGTTACACGGGAGCTGAATCATTACTAACATATAATTCTGTACACACATACAGTGTTGACCGATATATGTATTTTACTTAATTCAATTAATATACCTAATTTCACGTCATATTAATTATAAATTAAATGAAATATTGTGAACGTTAAACTAAACCAGCCAGCCTTAAAACTGGTAGCGTTTGAACCAAATCTTTAAATGTTCATATATGGTGGAAACGTAAAACAACATTTTTAATATTAGTAATCAGCTGGCCTACAATCCTAGCTGACATAGTCATGGCCGTTAGCGAAAACTTGATAACATTTTCCTGCAACTCTCCTTTGTTTTTTGTGGGAAATTTCTCCATCGAAATAAAAAAATGTCATAAAATTTCTTTAGGAATTTTTCATGGCTGAGTTATTTTAGTTTGTTATAAATAAAGACGAGAGAAAGTATTGTGATGTATTTATTTTTTTATTCAAAAATCCATATCTAGCTAAAAACAAATAAATAATATTTTGGTAAAAGCATGAAACCTCTGATCTTTATTTATCTGAATTAATTAAAATTTTTACAATCATCGATGTAAAAATATTATAATGATGAATATTGCTGGAGAATACATAAGATGAGTGTCGTTGTGAAATACACGTCGACAACTAGAAATTGGGTCGAACACCGAAGAGGTGACACAGTCGTTGTAAAGTGGTCTTTTTGACATGAAAAATAAGTGCTAAGAACGCTTAAGCACTAAAAATATGGGTAAAGAGACATAAAAGTGTCATAAGAGTAATTAAGACGAAATATTATAATAGATACACTTTATATTGGTTGTAGATATAAATGTGAATTAAGATGGTATGTATTGCGATTTTAATTTTACTTTTTTCTTATTACGTACAAGAACAATACTTTTTGAATTCATTACTTTGAATGTAAGTTTTTTTTTTCAAGTTGATCAGTGGTGGTAACCACTAGGTTAAAGGGCTCGCCTCTCGTTGCCGAGGGCGCAGGTTCAAACCTGGCAAGTACCAATGTGATTTTTCGGAGTCATATGTACTTTCTGAGAGTATTTAGACACCACTGACATAGGGTGAAGGAAAACATCGTGAGGAAACCTGGACTTATAGTTTCACAATTATAAGTTTGAAATCACCAACCCGTCTTTAGCAAGCGTGGTGATTAATGCTCAAACCTTCTCCATGTCAGAAAGAGGCCTTTGCTCAGCAGCGGGCGCTGATAGGCTGATGACGAATGTAAGTTTTCACATCGGAATTTTCAATTATTAAATATTTAACAATAAGTAATATAATTATGAATTAAGTATTAAAAAAATATTTGATAGTTACTGTTATTAAGATAGTTATAAGTAAATAGAAATTAATAAAAACGAAATTCCTTATCCTTACTGGTTTTAATCATATGTATGGTATTCCTAAAAATGTTAAAACTTTTATAATGAATAAGCCAACAGAATCGTTCATTAAATATCGGTTAATAACATGAATTTTTTATTGTTTTATAGTCCTCTTGCATTTTCATACGTTGTTTTTTGTAGAAGATGTGCTTAGATAGAGAAATCTGTATCAGCATATATCCTCGCTAAAAGTAATCAATAGAAAAATTTATAAGCGAATACAATACAAATCTGAGTATATGAGATATAGTGTTGAAGACATTTGTTTCTTTTAACGACATACATTCATACAAGTTAGAAACTTTTTAGCTTTCCTTCTATCAAGCTACCCGTTTTCTGTGGTCTAACTCTGTTATGAAGAAATTCCCAAAATAAAACGATAAGGTTTCATATTATTCTGAAACCATAAGTAAGTAACTAATGTAAATTAAGATAACATGTAATAAAAAATTCTCTCAAACATTCATTTATCGAGACGGTTGATATAACTACCTACATCAATAAACATGGATGTTGCTGATGGTATATCTTCTACCTTGCAATTTCCCAGCTTTAGCCAGGGTCTGCCTTAATGTTGTGAATAGTTTTGGCTAATTGTTTTTACGACCGGCCGCCTGTCTGACATCAACTCTTTTTAGGAATGCATTAATGAGTGATGTCTAAATACTCTTAGTTAGTACATATGACTCGGAAAAATCACATTGGTACTTGCTAGAATCGAACCCGCGCTATCATGCATGTGAGGCGGACCTTTTATACTAGGCCAGTAGTCAGTACTGACTTTGTATATAATCAGTGCCGGCGTTAGAGGGACTGACACCCTGAGCAAGAATATTTTGGCACCCACTTGAAGAAATCAAAATCATGTATTAATTTTTTTCTGAACCAATGTGAACACTGAACGTGTATTAAGAATTCTATATTCCATCTACCATCTTCCATCCTTTCTTTTACGACGTGGACGTAGAAAGTTATGTAGCTCCTAGTTTTTTTTTCATTTATAAGTATCCTACCTCCACTAATCGCCCCCAAAAAATTTTTCGCCATGGGCTGTCGCCCCATCGCGCCCCCCTCCCCTCCCCCCTAACACCGGCACTGATAACTTTCCATGAGAAATATATATAATATGTAAGTAGTAAGTACCTTAGATCTTGCAGCAAAGCCTCTCCGTGTGCGATGGTAGCAGCGCATGCCTCGAGTGAAGCTGCCCGGTGTTGAGCGCATTGCTCCAAGGCCCGACGCGCCGCCTCTGGACTCTCATCATTCGTGCTACCACCGACACCACCTCGCAGAGTCTCCAACCATTGAATCAACTAGACAACGGTATAAATAGATTAATACCAAAATAATACAATAAACATTATGGGTCTATAATCGATAATTGATTTCTATAAACTTGTTTAGCTCGCGACTTCGTCTGTATTACGTTCGAAATTAAAAATGTATAGCTGACAGTAGGTACATAAGATTTTGGATTTGATCAAATTATTTTCTTATTCTTTTTTTATTTGGATGAAGAGTATCCTATATCATTTCAATTGTTCTAATTTCAGGCAAACCAGTATAGCCGTTCATTTATAAATAGTGCAACTGGCACAACTTTTATTTATTTATACTCTCTACAGGTAACAAGAATATAAAATATTAATATTACACTATCGATAGTACTCAGGTTTAGATAATGCACGTAAAGTTATTCGCCGTATAATCTATGTAATAGAGTACGCACTTCTTTCTCATGTGTATACAGGAGCACAGCGAGGTCCAGTCTTCTTCGTCGTCGGTCGACCCTGGCTGCGAAGGCCGCTACATGCGCTTCTAGTTCCCGAGCTACGCCTAAAACTTCCTCTGCTTCACACTCGCCCGACCTCGCTAATTCCTCAGCAGCCGATAGCAGCTTCTCTGCATTCGTGTAAGTATTCTGTGGGTATAGTAACGTATATATATTAATCTATGTCTATGTATGTTAATCAAATATGTGCAATGGACGTAAATATTAAGAAACTATTGTTTATACCTGGGCAACATTTTCAAAATGTTCATGAGATTTTTGATACATTCGAGCTTTGTGGAGATTCCTTCCAATTCCAGTGTTTTTCATGAGAAACTTTTCACCATGATTGCCAAGCCAGTCGAGCACCTGAAAAGATATTTAAAATATTCATATGTAAATTGTAACTAAATTTCTTATTCAGTCCAATAATATTTAAACTGTAATACACGTATATAAATATATTTCTTATATGTATTATTACCGACCTGCCGACAATCTTCCTTGTACAATAGCAAGGCAAGTCGCTGATGCAATTTAAGTCGTGCCTGATGGTAGCGCGCTTCTAGTGCGCGGTGGTGGCCTAATATCTGATGTATGACAGCCAGTACGTGGTTTGCTCCCGAGCTGTAGTCAGCGGCCGGGTCACCACCGCTACCACCCGCTGAACTCATAGAGCCCTCACTCTATACAAGAAACAAAGTTAATAAGACCATGAGTGATAAAACAAATTATTTCTTCTATATCGATTCTCACCATATCCGCAGGATCCGTCTGATGACAAACTTGTACGAGGTGGTCAAGTTGGTACAGCAGTTTCTTGCTTGTCGAATGAACCTGAGAGTGAATAATGTGTTATTATAGTACTAAGATGGTGTTTGCCAATAGTGAAAATATGAAACAAATTATTACTAAACCAAAACTAACAGTACTTAACCAAAACTAACAGTATTAAAAAAATATAGATATTTTGCATGCTTTACCACAACATTAAAGACGCACCCAATTTTTCCATTTTTCAAAACACGTGACGATATAAATTGAGTCTTATCAATTTACCATTTAAACTATGGCGGTTCTAATCACACAAATAAAGCAATTCACGTAGAATAGCTCAAAACACACTTGCATTATCATATTATAAACAAATTTAAATAATTTTCTAGACCCTACCTCAGTATAAGCCTGGCACATATGTTCGTACAGCTGTCTGTGTCTCTGCGTGTGTTGTTCGAGCGCGCGAGGGTCTGAGCAGGGCGGAGCGCCCGGACCGCCTGTAGCCAGTTGAAGGGCCACAGCACATTGAGCGCCCCAACCACCTACAGCACTCGCGTAGGCCTCCGCCTTGTGGTGAAATACCACGGATAGCGATAGTACTGCTGAACGCTCTTCTAGACCTTTAATAAGGAATATCATTATATTAGAAAAACTATACCAAAATCGATTTTAGGAACTTTGATTTGTGAAGGAAAATAATAATGAAAAGATTGACATGGAATACTATGTCTGTTAACTTAGATGTCATTATACAAAGATTCCACTGTAGTAAAATATTAAATAGTTAATGTTATAGATTTTGCAGTACTGCAGTAAATTCAGATATATATTTTTGTGTCGAAAATTTTTTTGTCCATTTATGGTTTGAAAATGACCATATCTACGAAAAAACTCCGATGTTTTAAGCTATCAGGTCGTATTCAGTACTATTTCAACTTTTGTTCTGATTGCATGGGACCTGCAGTCTTGAAGGATTATCACTATATTATTTTAATAAGCATAAGAATATATTACCATTAGAAAGTTGTTTGTATGCTCGTTCAAGGCGATGAGCGAGGGCTGTTATTTCTGGTTCTGCGTAGTGTCTTTTGTCAGCGAGACGTCTTGCGGCAGCTGTGACTCGCGCCACACTTGGTCTACCACCACCCGTACAAGCAGCGGCAAAACTATACATATATGAAATATATTAAGATTAATCATATTGGAAAACAACATACAAATATCTAAAGGTATTATTCAAGAAGCGTATAGAAGTTTAATCATCACGCATTAGCAATTAATTGAATGCAAACAGAATGTACAAGCATTTCTGATCGAATAAATCAATTCAATCGATCAACACAACCGTTCTTAAGTAATTGACCTAAGACCCTTCAAATAACGTACTTATAAAATCTTTTACGTTTCGTATGATTATCCTTATATGGTTATATATAAGATATGATATTGTGAAATATTAACAAACCGAGCATGTTCTTCTTGAAGACGTTTAGCCGCTGCGCAGGAACGTCCAATTTCAACGTATGTAGATAAAAACGCCGTACGATGATTCACAATCCATTCCAACATCTGAAATCAAGTGACAACCTCATAGTTATTTGTTTGATGATATTTAAATGAAACTAATATTCTTCGGATAACTAGCGTATTTTATTTTTGTACGTCTCGTCTGCCCTTGATCACTGTTGTTGGAAAGTAACCGAAACGTCGGCAGTACGTACTTTCATAATACTAAAATACTCGTAGTAATCTAAAAAATATTAGTTTCATTCAAATGAATACTCGCTAAAGTCTTAAATCTCTTTGGTGATATGTATATTGTTACATATATATATCGAGTTGTATGTGCAAACCTTCTCGCAGTCCTGTTCGAACAGCCTTAATTGGAAGCACTGGTCGAGCTGCATCTTCTTATGTTGCCACAGCTTGTGCGCGTGCTGATGCGCCGACCGTACAGCAGCTAGTTGGGCCCGCAGTGCCCCCGGGGATCCACAATGGAATGTACTCTCGACAGCGGCACCGCTAGCCTCTGTACAAGCCGCAGCAGCTGATTCCAAGCGTTGTACCACGAGCTCACCTAGTTATATTACAAAGCATTACATATTAAGAATAACTTAAAAGAATACCCATACTTAAAAATCAAAATATTCAAAGAATTGATTACTTCTTATAGACAACTAAAATGATACAATACATGAAAAAGAACTAAAAAAAAATTATAATAATTTTTATATCGATAATTATATTATGTTGAGTTTGTTTTAAGCTATAATTATGTATGTTGGGGACACGAGTCTATCACGGAGTTATTTAATTTACCCGCATCTATTATTAAAAGCTATTCTCTGAATAATCAATAATACTTACACGAGGTGCATACATAATCGCATTTGTGATATTTTAATAGAATTCCTCTATAATAATTATTAAATATTATGATTCTTCATAGGATATTTGTTATTTTTGGTTGAAATTAATAAGAATTGAAGAGCACAACACAAATATGTATTTCAAAAGCTTACTTAAATTTAAGAACACTGTTAAATTTAAGGTGTAGGTGTGAATTTAAGGCGAAATAACTGTGTAGGAATTATTTCAACATCTTATTATGATTAAGATAAATTAAAAGAATTTTAGGTGTATTATCTTTGGAAAATCTGTAAATACGATTTAATTTGTATTTATACGGAATAATGGTGTACTTAAAGAATAATAAATATATTGTATTCTCACTGTCTTAATGTTAAAAGGAATTATAACTTTCTATAAGAGACTCGTTCCGAAAACAATTCTTTCATCAAGATCATAATACATACAATCCAAGCATTCATACAAGCAAAACCGTTCACAAAAGCTAGTTTTATTTTATAAAAAAATAACAATATAAAACACGAAAGAACCGATGTAAGCTTCCTCTTACATTGTAAAAAAACAATATTAGCACTAAATTTTTATGCAAACAGTACTAAAACAAAACGAGGACAAAGAATTTAAACAGTTAAAGGATAAAAAAAACAAGTTTCAAAACACGTTTATTGCAATGCATCAAGATTCAAGTGTGTCACGTCAAACCATTGATATTCTTAAAAATATATTAAATTTAAATAAAAATCTGATTTTATTTCTAAATATCAACGTTATCATTTGATTGTAATAATATAATATTGTGACTTTAGTAAATCTTGTAACATACCATCGGCAACAATATGATAGAAATGAAAATATCGCACCATTAGAGACGGAAGACTTGAAACAATCGAAGCACATGTCGATGTTCCAACATCCTTCACTGTGTTATGATTATGAAACAATTGCTTGCAACATTCCACAGCCCGTACTAAGAATGAATTGAAGAATTCGCGCAATCACATTAGAAACCACATTATATTAACTATACCGATTTTTAATTATAAATAGAAAATTATTACAACATCCTAAACCTTCGAGCAGTTCCTTCGCCGTCGTTTCCTCTGTCTGTTCTTTTTGTTTTATTACCGGTTAATAACCGACGAGGCATCACTAATTAAATGAATAATATATCATAGTGATGGATATGACTTAAAAGTAAGAGCGTATGTTTAATTGTTACGGTACAGTAAAGTTTGTTTAAGACTGACCTTGAGCCTCTAGTTCGTCGACAGGCATTTTGGCGAGGCGTTTGTTGATATCGGCGTGATTGTCAATAGCTCGCCTCGCTCCACTCACGTCGTTAGCGAAGTCAGCACGAGCCACGTCTTCTTGTAGGTCATCCAAACGATCCAAGAGCTCGCCAGCCTGCCACATTAGCTCTTCCAATGCCTAGCAAAAAAACATATATGTATTTCACGAAATAAAAAAATACTATGCAAATTCTCTAACATAATAACTCACCAATCTCAGATCTATCCATTGTGCATGATCATATTGAAGAGTGCCCTCTAGGTCTGGTGTTAATTGTGAGCTATCTATTACTTTGGGCAGTGCTTCTAAGCTTATCATCGTTGTCTGAAAACATATTAAATTACATTTAATTATTCACTAAGGAAAATTTTATTGTTAAGATGAATTTTGAAATATATTACCTCAAATTTGTATTTATGTGCTCCAATGGTTGTGCGTTGTTTCTGCCAGAAATTATCCGGCTTAACTACAAGTGCTTGGTGGACGGATGATGAAAAATGCTCTTGAAGAACTTTCAGTATAGGCTTTATGGCTGCCCATGCTGAACCTCTCATATCAATTAGAATAGTGAACCCTATAGATCTTAAATTGTCGCTGCAAAATAAAAAAAATATTTATTTTCGCTCTATAATCAACATATGGCTGTGTTTGAATAAATAAATTAAATTACTTATTAAGGCTAGACTAAATTTATTTATAAGTTCAATATATTTGAGTCACAGTAACCTTTATTTTATAGAAAACAGTCACCTTTATTTTACAGAAAACAGTAATACTGACTATCATCTTACACAGTAAAACATTTACCTGATAAGATCTAAGATTTTCACAAGTTTTATTCATTTGAATGAATTTAATATTTTTCTTATTATACTACTACTTTATTTTTGTAAAAAAACTACATATGTTTAAGCTACTTTTCAGCAACCATTCAAACTTTTCAGCAGACATTTACCTGGGTATGTTGATGAGATAGTGCAATAAGCGTCGATAATCGTCGGGCGCTACTCTATCACGGCGTGAATTAGCTGGGAACCATATAATGGGTCCTCCACGACGGTCTCTGCCACCGGTGAGGGAAGCCACTCGCTCCTGGAGGAGTGGAAGCACATCCAAAGCACGTGCCCCCACCTCCATTGTTAATAATATCAAGAGCTCTCTCTTGAATGGTCTAAAAGGATTTATTTTATATTAAATACCATCGAAAATAAATTACTATAATAATGATTGTTTCTAAAGAATTTGTTGTTCAAAATGAAAAGTTGCTTTGTGCAGGAAATATTGTTAAGTCCAAGATTTCATTTATTTGATATTTTGGTCTACTTGAGTGTAAATGCTTTATTTATATGATATTTAAAACATTACATAATATATCAATATCATATGTTAATTAAGAATTTTGTATCAACAATTTGCTTTGTAAAGACATTCTTTTTATTTTCTTTAAATTGAAAAATACTGTTCCTACTAAAATAACAAATAACAATAGATTTGTTGAGACTGGTAGCACAACAAAGTTGGTGATACTATAATTATAACATTTATCCAACATAATTATCAAATGATTTTACTATTTCATAATACATAGAAAGTTATGACACAATATATGTAAGAATAAATAAAATGTAGGGTCACTATGGAAAATTTGCCTAAAACAATCAAAATTTGTGAACATTACTGTAGTTATTTTTAGAAAATTTACTGCGGATAAGCTGAATGCAATACCATATTTAATTGATAGAAACAATCAATCCTTTGTTTATACATACACATTTTTTAATTTAATGTAATTTAACAAGCTTTTTCTGTATAGGAATAGGAATTTAAATACATTGTATAACTATATAGATAAAATTTACTTGAAATACATTTTTAAATTACATTTATACTTTTAAAGTATGCTCATTAACTCTTAGTAGTTATCACAAGCCACTAAATTGTTTATATATTAATAGGCTATCAGTACATTTGTTAAATTAAATGTATATGACCTTGATACGTAATTTGTTTATTGATAATGACTAAAATAATCAATAACACAATATATAGTATGACAATTGAATCATAAATTAATTCAAAATGTTCATATTCTATATTATTTGTTAATCATACTAACTTTTAGCGTAAAACAATGCATAAAGACAAACAAACAAACATGTAAGTTCTAAAGCGAACTTCATAAAAGTTGAAATCGTTCCTCTACAAAGCGTAAGACCAACGCCAAGTCCAGAACAAGGGTGGATGTAGTTTACGCATTCATGCTAGCTATTGTTTGAATCTAGACTTTGTCATAGTGTCTTGCCTTAGTATAATTATTTTTTGTACGCCGTTAAAAAGCTTTAAATATTTCAATAATTGCCGATGACAAATTGTAGATATATAACTACATGTCACAACAAATAACCTTAGACAGCCATCAATTTGAACTCACCGTGATGACTCAAATGTACAAGTTAGTCAGGTATAAAAGGTTCGGCACACATTATTGTCACTTTTGTTTTTTTTACTAATATGCTTGTAAAAAATATATCCATTTGTGGCCTAAAACTTAATAAAAACACACAGACTGATCATTGTGACACCCTGAAACACCAACCAACCACCACAATGGCGCGTCAGGGATGTTTCAAAGTTTAAAAAACCGGTAAACGTAACGGACACTATAGTCGAATCAATAAATATAACTAAAGTTTTAACTTCAACGATATAAAATAAAACCTTTTGTTATCATATAAATCTTTTAAATAAATGAAAATATGGAATAATAATACTACGATATAGATATACTAGTTTATTTAACTACAAACAAATTATAGTCATTATCTAATAACCGGTACTTTGTTGTTAAATATTTTCCTAATTTACATTTTTGCACCTCTAGTAAGTTGAAAAATTACTTTCAAATATAAATAAATAAATGTATGGTGAACCCAAGCGTTTATTAAATTTTATAAAATTTGATCTTTTTAGCCCAAAATGGAATTGTAACAAGATGTAAACTTTGTATGTTATAAATAATTGCGTTTTTTCATTATTATATGAGGAGATAAAATATATTACAAAAAATAAGGTGTTAAGAAGCGAACCGCCCATGAAAAATATATTCGTCAATCGTATAAATATGATAAATAATTTACGTCACTATAAGGCCCAAGCGAAAAAAATTTTGTAAAATAGAATTAAAAAAATTCTACTCACATAATAAAACTAAACATTAAAAAGTCTTAAAATTGTTCACGTATGGATCTTTCACAAGTATTATTAAATAATAATTCTTTCCTATAAATTGTTCTTAACCACTATGGCAAGCCCTAGAGGGAAACTCGGAAATGCTGTTTATTGATTTTTTGACGTTACTTGTGAAAAGTTTTGCCGCAGCAAAGGGATTTAAAATTTCGTGTCATAAAATCAAAGAGCTAAAGAAAATAAACACAATGTTGCTTTTACTTTTTGAGGTAGTTTATTTTTCTATAATTATTACATATTAAATATAACTTGTTTTCTTATTGTGGTGTCTTCAGAAGAAAAAATTGTAAAGAAAATATATTATACGTCTTGTGTCTTAGATATTGAGTGATCTTGTTCGATTAATTTTCACTAACATTAGGTCTTTTTTGCTACTGCGATACTTTAATGTTATGAATATCTCACAAAAAAGCCGTTCTGAATTTATTGATTGTGTATCGATTTTAGTTGAAGGGCAATGAACCCTCTTAAACAGTTTAATAGTGTTCTGTGTGAATTTTCGTGAAAAAATATACGCTTTGCGCAGTTTTTCTTGTTATTTTCCCAACACCTTATATAGTTTTATAAAATTAGTGCTTAGGATATAAGTACTCATTGTTATTTACACAAATATATCTAACTAACATTGCTATGCGATTGACATCGTAAAGTGGCGAAATATTTTGTCAGTTTTTTTTTTCTAATTAATTTTTGTTACAAATATTGTTGTAACTGAAAATTCCAGGAATGATACGAAATTTATTTGACTGATTAAAATGGATATGAAAATAAAAACACCTGAGTTAAAATGCATGGATCCAGAGAATTACAGGAAATACTTCCGGGCCCTTTGTTGGAGTGGAACAAGGTCTCTTTAAAGATATTTCTTCGGCATATATATAATTTTTTCAATAAAATAAATTGAATGATCGCCATTTTTGCAGAAGAACCGACAAGAAACCTCCAAAAAAATTCAATAAAAAGGATCGTTTGAAAAGGCTTAAAGGATCAAATGCTTTGGCAATCTGCTATACTCCAGCACTCCTAGCGAATCCGTCTCAGTTTACAGTATATGCTACCGTCCGTAGAACTGTTCTAGCTCGCTGTAGACAACTTCAGGCCGCCGCAGCTGATTGTTCCGATGACAGCGATGATGATGGAGTGCCATCTATTCCCACCACCAAAGTACCAAAGGTATGATTATTTTTTCATTCTATTTATTTATTTATTTTTTGCTACACAAATACATTACATATATTATACAGTTATACAGAAGGAAACAAAAAATTTAATTTGTAGCAAGGGGTCCATCTCAGTATAAGCTGTGCTAATGCACATTAATATTTAGTATACTATTTTTTATAGTCTTAAAACTGTGTTTTGATAAATATGGGCCTCATTTTTATGGTTTAGATCAAAGCAATGTATGTGAATAAAGTATTTGTTTCCACCTTTTATGAAAATTTTCAGTGTGTTTTTATAGTACATCAATACATTTCTTTATGGGTGCCTCTAAATAATTGAAGTTCTTTGTATTATAAGACAATGAGTTTATTAGTCTTTGTCTCCTAGATTAAAAGGCTTCCAATTTTACTCTGACAATGAAATGGTATTGTATTTGTGCTATTTCTTATTTGTGACTAAAGACATGGATATATGAATTCTGTGTGATGAATGAATATTTTTATCAAAGTGGATTTTATGTTTTAAAAATATTATATAACTATTACAGCTACAATTGATTTTTTTTTTGTTTCAGATCACAGGCATTGGCTTGCGCACAGTGTTTTCTCTTATCTCTCAAGCACGATTTACAGATCCGAACTTGTGTGAGCAATCACTTAGGGCCCTACTGGATGTGTTACAAGGTCACGCGCCTGAAGATCTAGCGCACGAACAACATGAGGTATTACACAAGCTGAGTAATCAAGACTATTTTCTGAGAGTATATACTACAATGAGGTAACTTTTTATAGATTATGCTGAATCTACACACCATGCTGATTGAAGTATCAAGCTCTGGGGCTGCTGGCCGGACAGAGACTCCATCTACACTGACCGCTCTCAGCAGTTCTTGCCTCATTGCGTTGGCTGTAGCTCGGGGTGAAGCCGAGCTTGTACTCAGCGCTGTGACGTCACTCGTCATGGCCTCACCATCGCTTACAGAACAATATATACATGTAAATGTTTATATAAATTTATTATTAAATTAAATCTACTGTATAATTTTAATGTTTCAATTATTTGCATTGTTCACAGATACCGACAAATTTGACAATATTGCAAAGGAGTGTTCACTCTGTCATCCTGGGTCCTCCTTCTAGGAATTTGTGGTTGAATTTCGGCGTTCCACACAAGTCACTGGTGACAAGTTTTCCTGTGGACTTACCACCACAACTCACTGGCACTGGGGAATTAGTCGTCCGTTCATTAGTATCGGATGGTTGCTACTTATATGTATTTACATCAAAGGGATTACTCAAAATCGGTTCAGGATACGGAAGTTCTATACGGCAACATGTATATCAGTACAAGCCGGATTTCTTTGCTAGCGACAGACACGGATGGCTGGGCTACTGTAAGGTAAAGAAAAGTTTGTCAATATTTGTGTTATATCGGATTTTTTTTTGTTATAAATGTCTATATATTTTTTTGTTTTACAGAACAAACTGTACGTCAGAATAGGACGTAAGAAAAGTGAGGTTTTTGAAGTCGATAAAGAGACTTTAGAAGTGCGAAGCGTTCTTAGACTGGAGGCCGGGCAGCCTGCACCTGTTGAACCTAAATCAGCAGTGTTCACGGACGGTCACCAACTTGGATTAGTACTACTTACAAATTATGTAAGCTGAGATAAGCCGATTATACTTTAGTGTATCGTTTTTTGTAATATTTATAATTTATTTGCGTATTTATAAAACAGGACAACCTAACGATTCGTATGTTCGATGTGGAGACGAACGCGTCTGAACGTATACACGGCGGCACGCACGCTCTCAGCGCTCGTCGTGAACTGAACGTTCATTTACTTCGTCGGCGGACTCTTGTCTTAGGCAGACCGTCTTTCGACGATGGACTTTCGAGGCGTATGGTAGACCTCGATGCACCAGTGGCGATGCAACTGGATGACAATGAAGACGATCCCTTACTAGGAATATGCTCTGGACAGGACTTTGGTCTTTTGACCACATCTTCCGGAAAAGTATGCATTTTAATACACATCCTTTGTTAGAATTATTTCTAAATAACATCTGATAAACAATTCACATGATTGATATCATTTTAAGGTTTATTACACCGGTAAAGGCACAAGCCTCGGCTATAAAGTCCCAGTGCCACATACCGGTCGCTGGACGCTCATGAAGGAAACGCTCTTCAATAAGCATGAAGTAGCGAGTATAAGGAAATGCAAAGTTGTACAGGTGTGTAAAATTCGTTATATGTGTGGTTTCATACTGTACAAATTATTATTATGAATATTTTGAACCAGGTGGCCCTCGGACATGAAGGTGTTCACGCTATACTGGTGTTAGACAATGGCACAGCGTTGTTCACGGGAGTGGCTCGGCGAGGGGAAGACGGTGACGCTAACCGTCATCGACGAACACCTAAACCTACACGGCCCAAAAAGATTTTAAGGGTACTTGTTTAAATTGCACCTTATTACTATACGACTAAAAGCCAAATCACGACATACTATCTACACACTTTGGAACTGTTTGACGTTTTATCGTTTGCATATAATAATTTTTTTTATCGGTAAAGTGGATACTTTTGTCCTTTTCAATATCCTGTATGTAGACAATAAGTGCTTTCCGGCATTGTTTTATAATATCCGAAAAATGTGTAAATGGAAACTTCATTTCTCGCGATGAGATCTTTTGCTTCCTAATGGGATTTCGGTGTATTTTGTCATCGATAGTATTTATAGCCTTTGTAGTTCTGGATGCGACATTTCTTCTGGTCTTGGACAAACTAACTTCTGATGTATCTGTTGGCAGTATGATATACAGACATACGGCTGATAAAAAGCTTTTCAAGTGCCTGGAATATTACCGAACGTTCCAGAATCATTTTGATCAGGAGATCACTTCAATCATATTTTCTTTAAAACCCAATTCCAGATTGGAATTTGATAATGAACACAAAAAAATATGTGAATGGCGCAAAATCGATACAAGTTTTTAAATTATTATACACGTAAATAAAAACTGGGAAAAAAATTACTTTTATGTAACAGCATTTATGGCCAGACTAAGTTATTACATTAAAACTATATTAGCCGCTCATAAAGAACTAAACTTTGATTTCGGCCTTGTGTGCGTTTTTAAACTCTTAATCTAAGAATCCTTAGATCGCTTGGCAAAACAAAATAAGAATACAAGAAATTTTAAACTAATATATAGAAAGTTGTGTTTGCTAATAAGTCATTACACTTATTGGAGATACTATACTGTAAATTTCAAATTATGGTCGGTAATAGTTGCGAAATTTAATTCGATTATATCTAATAACAGACTTCGACGCAAAATTTGTTTCTTCATTGTAATTATTAAAAACAAATAGTTCTCATATTTCTATGGTGTACTTACTTTTCTTTCACTTCTTATATATGTTCTTTTTGATATTTTGGTATTGTAATTTGCTATAATATTTACTAATATTTTCCATCGAAAGCTAGATTGAGATGATCAAGTCCACATTGTATGCTATACTTAATAAAAAATATTGAGAACCAGTATTTTGCCCACGGCTTTGTTTGCGTGGAATTTTCATTTTGTTTGAGAAAGTATTCAATAAAGTATGCTAAAAAAAAGAAGAGTTACCCAACTGTCAGTGCCATAATAGTATATGTATTACTTCATGCAGATTTTGGATATTCTGATGTTTTGTCCACAATACTGTTTTATTTAGTTTCATTTGATATATCTAAGAACTAAAAACACACACAAATTTCTAGAAACAATATTTCGCATTTATAATGCTAAAAATACATACTACAATACAAATCTGAATTAGTGATGGTTGTCAAACATTAAATCTTATACCTAAGTTACGATACAAAATTTGTGTATCTATATATATGATATGAGAAAATATTCAATGAGAAATTGACCATCAATCATGATTAAAACCAAAGTCGCATTACAATTGCTTTACAAAAAAAACCTTATTCTTTAACAATGATTATTGTTTGAACCAGGCGGAGGGCCATCATATAGTGTACGCGGCTTGTAACTACGGGTCAACGGCGCTGGTTACCCGCCACGGACAACTACTCATGTTTGGGAAGGACACTCAACACTGCGATGAGAACGGCCTCGTTACTGGATTGAGACACGAGCGAGTCATACAGGTAATGAGGCTCAAGATATAATGGCTTACTAATATAATGAGATCTAAGATTTTCGCGAGTACTCATTTAAATGAAACTAATATTTTCGGATTTTACTTCGCGTTATTATTTTTGATTACAAACTACATACTCCCGACGTTTCGGCTACTTTTCAGCAACCGTGATCACGGGCAGACGAGATGTGAGTGTCTGTCAGTTGGTCTGGTTATTTCATCTCCTAATTTCTAATATTTTGTTGCTCTTATATCATATGTCCAAATAATGATGAACTATCATCTTGCATATGTCAATTGGTTTCTGGTACATTGTTATGTATGGTGAGAGTTTGAAGCAGGATTCACACATGTGAATTGGAAATTACATAATTTATCCGCTTGGAAGAACGTTTAATGTCGATCGTTTAATGTCGATCACCTCTGGAGATTATTGTTAAGCGTATGTTCAAAACATCTTATGTAAGAAAAATATTTAGTATGGAATTAAAAATACTAAGTTAATGGTCAAAATAATTTCAAAAAGAAAAAGTCGAAACAGTTTAGAAGAAGTTTTAAATATATCTAAAAAATATCGAATATAATAATTTCTCCTTATAAATAATACTGATAAATATGCTTTCTTTAAGATATCTTTAGGATATCGACATCAAAAGGAGTAATTTTGATTTTTACATCCCACTCGATTAAATGGCCCTAACAATATTTATATGAAACCAATTCCACAAAATTGTATATTGTATTAAAACTATCGATAATTTCATTTGAATATATTAACATGTATTTATTCCTGAATAGTGAAATATTAATAGTATTTAACGTTTTTTTGAAATTAACACAGGTTGCTCTAGGTAAAGCACATGCAGTTGCCCTCACGAATTTCGGCCAAGTGTATACTTTTGGCATCAACAACAAAGGTCAATGTGGACGTGAATTTGGTTACACTAAAGAAAGTAAGCAACACTATATTGCTAATATCTTCATATAAAAAATCATGATTTTGAACTAGTTCACACATTCCTACAAACATTTGTTTGAAAAAATCTGAATCTCTTGCTCTAATATCAAAACATATATAAATTTGATATTCATCGTTTTTATTGAATGAAGTTAATAACATTTTTTTCTCCTATATCCTATATAAGTACATAGGAATTACTTATACTTATATATATGTATACTCTGTGTCTAGAACCATTTCTCCGCGAAGGTGCTGATAAAGAGGAATTGAGGATCTGTCAGTCTGCTCATTCCTGGTCTATGGAGTACTGCCGCGTTTGTGTTCTCTGTCGCGAATGTACGGGCTTCGGCAGCGCTTGTCATTGTGCTGCACTACCTATTAGACAACCTGGAGAGTTAGTTGATAATTATACTTAATATTCTATGATTACTGAGAGATTTCTTTTGAGAGCTCACTTCATGCGTGCTCTATAATATCAAACTATAATACATATAATAAAGTTTCAATATCATGGTATAACTCCTAATGGAATAATAATTGTCTCATATAACAAAGCTTTAAAAGAAATTAGACTAACTAAATATGTTTTAACAGTAACAGAATAACGATTGTCTTGGATGATTAGGGTCACATTTATTGCAGACAAGTTTTTAGGCATATATTTAGAGAGGTTCTAATAAAACATTATATTGTTGTTAGTATCTTAAATATGAAAATCACAGAACTATTATCAAGCTGTGAGTAATTTTAAATCAACCTGCTTTAAATGTGTGAAACTCTTAGGTCACTGCTTAAAACACAAAAACACCATGAAACAGTTTTACAAAATGAGTGAGAATATATATACTTCACGATCAATTGATGCCAGCCAAGCCTTCCTAGCGGTTTCACTCTATGCTCCACGGTCGAGTGTTATGCGACATGCGATAGATGGACACAAAATTCTTAGTTTATATATTCTTATATGAATATTTTTTTGTCAATATAGAAAGTGTGGATGTGGTGAAGGTGACAGCGGCTGCAGCGTGTGTGGTGTTTGCAAGCAGTGTGCTGAGGCAACCACATCCAATGCTTCGACATCTGTTTCAGACCCACCGTTTTTCCCATCCGGTATAAATTGGTTTTTAATTCGTTATTTTGTTTATATTCTCATTATAAATAAGGCTTTGCTTATATATGTGTTCCTTTGTGTTATAAGTAATTAATTTATTTTGTAATGGCTTAATTATTTTCATATTAAAAGCATAAAGGTATAGAGATTTTCAGAATTAATTTGATTACTTAACACACAATACCTTTGTATAGATGATTTTAATGCTGTGTTCTATATTATATGATATGTATATAGATAAAGAAGCGACTCAATCGGAAGGAGCTGTACCAGTGTGTGGTGATGAACGTGAAGCCGGTGTTAAAGTGACAAGTCTTCCGCCGGCTCGTGTAGCGGTGCCGGGGGGACATCGGATTGTCGCTGTCGCTTGTGGCTTGCACCACACCGTGCTACTTACGGAGCACGGTTAGTATAGTTCTTAAATATTGGAGAAGATTAAGTTAGAGGGCCAACTACCTGAGAGATAGTCATAAATTCACAATTAATTTGGTGGCTTCAGCAATAATGTATCTAACAATAAGTATCTGTTTAAGTTCAATTTAGGTTCAGAGTTCTCCCAACAAAGTATTAAAGCCTTTTAATGGCTACAATAATTAAAATATATTACTTAAAACTTGACGACTTCATTGAGTTTCTTTGGATATTCCGTATATGAAGACCTCAAAATTTATACAGGTATCTTTCCTCTATTCATAACTTGAGGAAGCAAGCGAAAAAACTTCACAATTTTCAATAGATTATTATTTGCTAAAAGTACATATTACGTAGTTTATAAATAAAAGACATATCAAAACTTCTTTTCTTCCTTTTCTGCCAAATATCTTAAAAATATATTTTCTAGTCATATGAAAATAAATTTTGGTATGTATAGGTGATGTCCTTACTTTCGGATCTAACCAATGGGGAGCTTTGGGTGCGGGTGATGTTGCTTCCCACCATCGACTAGTCCGCGTGCGTGTGCCGCGCGCTTCCGCCGTTGCAGCCGGGAGTAATCACACCGGTGTATTAACAAGGGATGGCGAATTGTACACTTTCGGTAGCTACCAGGTAATATTTACACTAAATATTTTATACTGAGTATAAGTTAAGTGAATTTAATTAAAATGTTGATAAAAAAACAGAAAGGATCTCTGGGTCGTCCACGCCAAGAGGAGCCACGTTCTGACCGTAGTCCAGTGTGGTATGCCACACCGGAGCGCGTGCCACGCATCGGACCACGCCACGGTTGTCGCGCTGTATGGCTCTGTGCTTCTGGTGACCAAACCTTCGTTCAAGTGTCACAGGCCCTCATAAATACGGACACATTGTTCAGTTCAACTATCACGGCCAATAGCAACAGTATTGGTGAGATATTTGATATGTTGCTACTGTTTAAAATGTAAGAAGTCGCTTCTTTAACTTTCATCTGTTTCCAGTTATTCTACCAAATCGTCCAGAACACACATTTAAGTGTATCACCATAAATAAAACCGACGGATCCTGTAACGCATGGACCGGTCCAGAACAAGTTGATTTTGTGAACACTCTCGCGTGTCTCGACCCTCTTTATGACGTACTGTGGTGTTATCAACCACAAATGCGAGTCATGAAATGCTTCAACATTATCGCATTTGATTCACACAAGCTACAGCGCTGCTGCTCTAACGACCCTGAAGCATTTTCGGATGTCGAATTCGATTACCCCAACTACGGGTGTCTGAAAAGACTAGAAGACTTCCGTCACATGGAGAGTTTTGAATGGATCACTAATAATGATGAAGATCAGGAAGCTGAGAACGTGGTACTATCAAATATGTCTGTACTTAATCAAGAATTAGCTATACCGTGTACTGTTGGATGTCAAGTTACGAGAATTCATGCGGCATTGCATTTGCTCGGGTGTTTGGATTCGCTCACTTATGCTCACGATAACAGGTTAGTAATTACTAGGATAATGTCAAATTGATAGTCAACATAGTCGACTGATAAAAATGTTACCGATTCTCTAGGGCCCCTGTTGTGGAATGCAAACGTGATCTGAACATACAACCAATAATTCCTGTAGTCGAAGACTACCAGACTGTTAGCCGCTTTGAAAATCATGGAGGAGGTTGGGGTTATTCGGGACATTCAGTTGAAGCAATCCGCTTTATGTGTGATTGTGATATATTATTGGGTAAGTTAATACGATGGTCAGTATAATATTTAATTACTGATATAAAGTAAATAAAACGATTCTTTTCATTAATAAGGTGGAGTTGGATTGTACGGTGGTCGAGGCGAGTATACAGCCAAGATACGTCTGTATGACATAGGACCGGATGGTGGCGATCAAGAAGGCGATGGTGAAGTTATATTCGAATCAGACGAAGTCTTCTATGAATGCCCTTCGAAAGATAGATTCCCGCTTATGTTCGATTCACCTGTTCCTCTAATTGTATGCTTCTATCCTATTTTATACGGTGAAATGTTTTCTGTCAAGTATTATGATATATGAATAATATTTCAGGCTGGCAGGTGGTATGTGGCAGCTGCTACGATTAACGGTCCTTCATCTGACTGTGGGTCAGCGGGCCAAGCCATGGTAATAAACGATGATGTTGGGTTCCATTTCAAAACATCAAAGAAATCCAACAATGGTACAGACGTTAATGCCGGACAGTTACCTTGTCTTTTATATAACGTAATGGGCCCCGATCATCCGATGCCCATAAGACATTTGGATCCTGGCGAACCAGTGATTGTTCTATCAAAGAATATATCGAGGAAAGTGACGGTACCCTGTTTCCGGTCACTGATCACATTAATGCAGTGGAGTTGGAGGACCTTTAAGGATATTCTACTAGAAACAAACGGCCAAGTGCCTATAAACTATCAGAAGTTGACACTGATGAAGCACCAGAAACGCTTGGTGTACATCATAAGAGCTGGTCTAAGACTTGTCAGATCTTACATAAAGGAAGTGTATCCACAGAGCGTCAAGAGACGCAATTCACCCGATTACATGTCATATTTCGAATCCATAGCGGAAATTCGCAACTTCATACAGTCTATGATGGCTGACCCGACACCGTCTTGTTCTATGCTGCCTCGTCGGCCCGGCCGCAGCAAGGCTCACAGGATTTGCTACGTACAATTTGCTCTGGATTTGACAAATTCTATACTTATGGAGGCCCACGAAACCTTCACTGTATGCTTTTACGCGTTCTTTCCGACGCCAATTCTGAAATGGAATCACCTTTGCTTCATGCTGTGTCATGTCAAGGTATAGTGCTTAAATGTTTGTACTATCTATTAAAATTTTATACAACTTAATTATGACATTGTTCTTTTTGTATCATAAGGACGGCAGTGTAAACTGGACTCATATTCGTGAGTTGACGGCTACTTGTTCAGCCATGTGCCTCTCGCAAAGCCTGAGAGATGTTTTGCAGTACATAGTACCGCTTACTCATAGTCAGAACGGTACATCAGATACACGTAGAATTGATAACAAGGTAAACAAGGTAAATATATAAAGTATGTATATACACATATTATGTAAGTATATATTTACGTATATTCGTTAGTCGTTACTCTACATTAGATCCGATAGATTGAGAATCCGTCACTCTATAGACATACGATTGGTATACTTTAATTTTTGTGTATTTGGCAATGTAAAAATTGTATACTATAAATTACACATTTCTCGAGTCTAGTCTCTAGTTAATCTCGAGACCAGGTAATTGTTGTAAAATGGACACACAAGTTTAAAAATAATGTTTATTATTTCAGATGATTAAAGACGTCCCATGCAAATCAGCGACAGTACCGCGTTCATCGCACGCACAGAAACCCCCACCCATTCCTCCCCGTGCAAAGGACAGAGTATGTTTATAATATTTATTTATATTTCAACTTAACAGATATTCAAATAATATATTATAGATTTCGTTGCAGATCAACGATAACGAAAAATCCAATTACCTCGATTGGCACTTACTGGACGTGGTTCCAAGATTATTGGATGTGGTACTCAATCCGATAAAACAACAGCTGACTCGACGTCAATGTGCGCCCCCTCACGATCACGGGGAACTGTCTACACAGGAGAGACTCTCTGAATGCTGCTGTAAACTCACATCGCGTATCATTGCTGAAATGTCTTTCAGTGCTTTACAAGCTAAAGTACGTTTTAACATTTTTTCTTTTATATACTTTGTATTTATAAACGAACATTTTTTGTGTGGTAGGTCACGTATGTAGTTGATAATAATATTGTTGTAAAAAATTCCGTACGTCTATATGTTTTTAAACAATGTTTTAAGGACGATCCTGAATCCAAATCGAATAAGCATCTAGTGACTGCGTCCCGTTTCATGCGTGTGAACTCTGCCCGTTCTTGGAGTACTGGGAACGGTAGCCCTGACGCTATCTGCTTCACTGTTGATAGACCAGGCGTGGCGCTAGTGGGCGCCTGCGTCTTTGTGGGCAGTGGCCATTATGACTACACTATTGAACTTCTACACGATGTACGTGTATTATTGTATCATGTTACTTATATGACATATTTTGTTTAATGATGTGGTAGTTGAAACGATGTAAAGATTTGAAATAAAATGATACATATGTGTTTCGTTTATAGATGCGTACGTCATCAGAAGAATCTAATGCGACTCACTGCTGGGTCAGTCTTGAAGCTGCCGACGGTTCATTCTCTAGTGGTGACGCGCATCATGAAATGGTTAACATCAAGTTCAATAAACCAGTACTGCTTAAGGTGACAAAAAATATTCTATTGATATATTTAATAAATTGTTGTATATTATTAATGATATGATATTTATGGATGTTTTTTCTCAGGATGAGATACGTTACGCCCTTCGTCTTTGCTGCGAGGGATCTCGTACTGCTAGCGGTGACTGCGGTCTTCCAGCGGTCACTGGACCCGATGGAACTACTTTTCAATTCTCCTCGTGTTCTCTCAGTTTCAATGGCACATCCATCGCCCGTGGTCAATTGCCTTGCCTCATATACTACAGGTATATTCTATATTTAACTATACTGTATGTAACTTAATACTCTTATATTATGATATTCGAGGATCATTTATTTGAGAGATATATAATAAATTAATTATGTTATAGAACAAAGTGGGTGGAGCGTTCTGTGGAGAGCTCTTCCTCAGCGAGTACAAGTAACGCCCGCGCCAATATGAGTCGTATGAGTGAGGAGAGTGAGTGTGATCGTGGGGCAGTCCGCGACGCTGCGGTGTCTGTGGCCTCACTGGTAGCGGAGCGTGCCGCTTTACTGTTAGCTAGCACACGAGCCCTACCACCGGATGAACTCCGTCGCGCCGCACCCGCTCTCGCTACCGCTCCCGCTCTCAACACGCTGCTACCCTATGCATTGGCTAATTTAGAGGGCCTCAACGATTCTAAGGTTAACTTAACTCCATATATTATATGTATTTATTAATAAGAACATAATGAGATCTTCATCTCTAAAGGGACTGCGTTATTATCTCGATATATAAAAAAAAATCGCTGGAAGTTTATTTCAATATTGAAAATTCTTTTCTGTTCTATATTAATTAGTAGTTAATTAATTATTAATTAATAGTTTTCTGGTTATTTAGAGTGTGATTCAATTACTGGAAATGGTACACAAGTTGCTGCCTCACGTGGCGGCTGTTAATCTATTGATACCGAGTGTGGAGGAGGTGTCTACATGCACGACCAGTCAGTTCTACACCTGGGTCGAAAGCGACCATCCATACAAACAAGCGACTGTGGTTAATAAACGGTTAGTTATTTATGATTAACTATTGAAGTTACTTAGTGACTTTTTATGTATAAAACTATAAAAGTTTGTTACATTACTAGAAATGATATATGTTAATGGACAGTTTATGAAAAGATGTATGTTAATCAGGATTAAAGTGCTGCGGCAGAAGAGTTTTAGGCCATTGTGCATAAAAAGGTGAAATGTGGATGTCATATGGTGTTTTATTACTATTGATTATATCTGGCAGGGTACTGTTTCCACCTCAAGTAGCGTGGATTGTATTAGAGATGGACCCGCGCAGTATAACCGCCCAGCCTGAGGACACTTTGACCATTTACGCAGTAGCGGGCGCCCCTCGCCACCGCTGTCATTGTTCCGGTGACACTAGGGTCATCGACCCACCCTTCCGTAAGGTATATAAGGTAGAGATCGTTCATTCACTCATTCATTGTATATACACTGCTACATAACACTCACCACGCTCACACGCCAGCATCTAGGATACCGCGCCTTCACTCATTCATGATATAATAGGAGGGTTCCTGAATTGGTTCATCAGGAATATCGACATCGCTGATTGAATAATGCTTTCGCTTTTTGGATTTATCTATATAAGATATTTGAGCTTTATTATCACGGTTTGTAAGCTTTTGTACAGGATTGTAAATATTTATTAATATATTTGTAATAAATTTTTATGGCTGCTTAGTATATACTGACTTTTAATTAGGTACAAGTTAAAACATGAGACATATATGTTGTGATACGGGTATATGTAAATGCTGTAGCGATATTTCAGTAGTATGTTGTTTACAGAGATTAATCCAGTTGACATCGGAAACAGGAGAAGTCGAGGAATTAGAAGAGGCTAGTTCGGATGCACCTTGCATGCATTACAACTGCACGTACGTTAGTGTGACGCCTAAACTGGGTAATATGTAAGTATGAAGGTTATATAAACTCTCTTATCAGTATAACTATTATAATATTTAGCTTTTAAAACAATGCTAAAACTATACGAGAATTATTTTTCGTAGGCAAGCCGACTGGCCACAAAAGGCGTTGTTGGTACCCGGTAATGAGGTCATTTTCTCATTAGAGACGGCATCTGATTATTTAAATGAATACAATAAATCTGAGAAGTAAGTTATATGAAGAAAATAATTATCTGCTAGATATTTTCTATTTTGAAGACTTATAAATAATATTTGTTTCTCCAGTGATGATAGTCGTTTCGGCTTCCGATGTCTTTGCATCGGGTATGAGGATAACTGGTCGGGACGCTCTGTGCTCGGTTCAGGGTTCCCGTCAGGGTTGGCAACGCTGGAAATGGAACTGGTACATCTTGGCGCTGCTTGTGCTTCACGTCTATTATCACCAGATCTTGACATACCACCCCTAACACGCGGTAAGCGATACACTATCTTTTGTATATCTTCTTATGATTCATTTTTGATGTAAATATAACGTCTTATAAGATGTTTTTCCTATTATACTCACTGAAGTATCTCGATATGAATCAACTTTAAATATAAAACGCTTTAGTAATTACAATCTTATTTTTACGAGTCGAATATGAATAGGTAATAGACTGAACAAAATGATTAAATTAAATCAGATAGACTGTAATTCAAGTGCATTATTTGACTATAAAAGTGTTATAGACGTTATAAAGTTGTAGTTTTGATACAAAGAATGATTACTTGTATATTTCTAGAGACCCATAAAGCGTTAAATTTGTTTTGTATTTCATCAATAATCATTAAATAATATTTCATAATAAATAGTATTTAATATTCACGTGTATGTATATATTTATTGAAGGCGATAGTAGTTTTAACGGGCTTACAATACGCAAGCTGAATGCGACATGCATTTAAAAGCCAAGGTCATAACTATGATGCTGCAATGGACGCGTTTATTAGATGCAAGTCATATTGTTATATATAGATATAATATATACATATAATGAATAGCGATAGACTATTATTGTAAATAACATGAGAAATAGGTATACTTATGTAATTTGCTTTCTATATGACATAGTTATTTTTGATACAAACGTTTCTGATATAAAACCTACAATAGATCTTACCTATGAGTTTGGTTAATATAATGGTATTTTTTTATTTTACTGACAAATTCAAGAAAAAGTATCTCCCATTCGCAAACATATTTTGTATATAATCCTCAAGACTGCAAATAGTATTTTTTTTTATTTTTCCTCTTATATATAAAATAACATTTTATTTAACATTTAGCCGTCGAGTACTAAATGTGGTAAAATACTAAAACTGTCATGATAACAGTGAGACAATAAGCTGTATTGTGTAAAGAAATCTATTAAGATGTATAAGGTAACATAAAATATGAAAAGTTATGAAGCTAGCTCGTGACCGGCATGCGCATGCGCAGGTGTTACACTGATCCATTGTGCTACAGTTTGTGAACTCCCATGGAATTATAAATCCCAATAAGACATACTTTCATTCCTGACATGCTTCATGTCCTAAATAAAATTGATTTCCTTTACGCTATGAATTAAATATGACAACCTTTATGTACTGACTTTTAGGTAGATGTTTGTATGTGTTAAAATGTTTTTCATACATTTGAACAGTTAAAATACACATATTCCTAGGACAACAAAATGTATTATGACAATTTTTTTATGTTATATTCCTATATATATGTATAATATTTATAATGATTTATTGTAATAGCGACCATCGTGGAGGTTCAAACAATGGCGCTGTCGTCTAGTACAACTGGAACGTCTTTCATGGGAGATGGTGCTGGCGCTGCGGTTGATGAAGATATTACTGATCAGAGTGAAGCGCTCCTTATATCACGAGGCCTCGAGCTGGCCTCGCCTCCAGCTGTACACCACGTACTGGATGGACTTCCCTTACTACGGTGAGTGACGTCACGTGAGCTCAGGTCCACAGTTTAAGTATTATATAATGCTAGCTATCCGCCCGCGTGGAGTTCTGGGATAAAAACTATCCTATGTTCTTTTTCGAGTTCAACTCTATCTCTGTACCAAATTACATTAAAATCAGTTCAGTGGTTTAGGCGTGAAAGCGTAACAGACAGACAGACCGACACAGTTACTTTAGCATTTATAATATTAGTAGGGATTACTTTTATTTGGGTTTAATTGTTCGCTTTGCAAGACACATTAGCTAGATACTGATGGTGAATTTTATAATTTATTTATTAGTTTCAGTGATATAGATATAATGTTGATATTTTTATTACAGCTAGCTATGCACATGTATATAGTTTAATTTTATTAGTACTGTTGTTTAATATATCGCTTTCATAGAGGATAGCATTGTGTTATCCTGAGTATCGGCATCAGGTAATATTGTATTATGATTAACAAATCAACGCTCTCCAAATGTCAAGAAGTGAAGATAAGGCGAAGAAGATCAAGGCATGTTTTGATATAAAGAAACATAATAAATATATAATACGTACAAGTAAGTATAATATAGTATGAAACTAATTTTGTTATACTTATACCCTGTGAGTATAAAGACATTACTTTTTAGTAATTTAATTTAAATATTCATAGCTAACAAAATATGATATGATATAAATGATAGTGTAAATATACAATAATAATAAAAAAAATCTTGTAATTTCTTTGTCTACGTAAAAAGGTGTTAGGTAAGACATATGTAATAATATAAATATTATTATTATTATTATGTTATATTTGTATCTATGATTCAAAGTCTTCAGAACGATCGCTGTGCAAGGTCATAATGTTAATGGTCTTCGCAACTCAGCATTATAATATTTATGTATATGTAAATAAACAATTTTAAATAAAATGAAGGAATTAAAAATTGTGCTTATATGATTTCGCATTATAATATACGCTGTTATATTTACGTGGAATGAAACAAATGTTACATGTCTTGTATTTACAGGAACTTTTTAATTATAACAGTGAAACGAATACTGTATGTAATAATACTGGTTTTACATTAAACAATTTATTGTTATCATAATTTTATTATGAGGTAGAATCATTTTTTAGTTGAACAACCAAAGCGTCAAACACTTAGAAACTCACTGGTGGATGTCATTAAATACATAGATACAACGATAACATGGAAATAAATATATGTGAAATTATAAATCTGTTGTCAAAAGTTCCGCCCTTTCTACAACTATATGAAATTCCGTCTCCCTATAAGTTTTACCGTCCGGCATAACTATTTGGACTTTCTTCTTCTTTTCGTTTTCTTTCTTAACTATAAAAAATATCACAAAGGCAGCCGCCAATAGAACGATAATAACACCTACTATAACAAAAATCCAAAATGTCTGTTTGAATTTCCCACATCGGGTATCAACGTACGTCGGTATAGACACGAAATGTTCTTCCAAGTCGTACCAGCAGTTTATTATTCCACCGTGCTCGCTTAAAACACTTTGCCATCCCTCGGCGAGGTCGCAGTCACACGTCGATTTGAGATTCAGTCCATCGATGCGCAGCGATAATGTCGTTCGGTTGTACATGAGCGATGTGGGCGTTATATTAGTGACAGTATTATTGTCCATCAAGAGTTCTTGATGCCCTGTCACCGAGAATACTTCTGGACTCGCAGTGAAACCGTAGAACGCACCTTTCCTTATCGTACTTACTGTATTATTTCTGAAGGTGATTGGTCCTCTCGACGTCACATGAAAACAATCCCCCTCTAAAATGTCTATGTTATTGTTTTCAATCAAAACTCTCTTTGGTAAACTGACAAGAAATGTTAAACTAGATAAACACACAATATTAATTCCGTCTATACGTAAGAGATCAGTCACTTCCACATCAGAGAGAAATCTGCTGGGAAGTACTTTGGCGGAACCGCCGCGTATTAGAAAATTGGATGTCGTGAACTTCTTGAATGCTTGTATTTCAACGTTATCAAACACATTGTTCGTGAGTTCTATGTTCGATACACCGATTAAGCTAGAGAAGGCGAAGGGCTTTAGATTATTTATATAACTGTCACTGATAATGATACTATTTATACGTCCTTGTACGCCATGGGACGATATTTCGCTGACCGTACTATTAGATATCGTGATTCTCAGTCCGGGATTCATCTCGTTGTCCCTCGGTGACCAGGCCAAGGCTCGTTCGTTGACGACCAAGTTGTTCACATTAGAAATCTGTATAGTTCTCAGTTGTATGAGGTTCCGTATTGTTTCCGATAAGAATGTGACGCGGCCGCAGCCGTTAACAATCACTGCAGTCACCATGGTCGGTATTCGATAAGCTCCGTCCGATCTCAGTGTTAGTTCCTGTGTATAATACTAATATTAGTAATGCTATAAAAAGTAATATGAAAAATATAGTTGTTGGTATACCTGATAGTCGCCAGTGCAGTGACATATCAGTCTAGTGAAGGAATCGCATCTACAGGCGTCTTCTTCGCAGGCTGTTGGTATGGAACGCTGGGCACTCGCCAGGCCGAGCACCATCAGCAAGTACTTCCACGTCGCCCACATCATTCTTAACATATTACGTCACCATAGCTCTAAGTTTGAAGGCCTGCAAATTATATCACGTCTACAATAATAACGAAAAAATATAGCTCGGAATAAAAGATATCTTTGTTCACCTACCTGTAATTGTTCTCTGACAAAGACTTTACATATATATTTCTATTAAATTTTTTTCAGTTATTGATGATAAGTTTTCTTGTCCCATAAACTTAACGTTTCAGTGGAATTAATTTTTGATTATCCCCAAATAGATCGATATACATCAAATTAATTGATTGAACGAAAAACGTAGTGATTTGAACGGAAACTTTTTGTAATGTGATGATATGGGTTATTTCGCTTTAGTCCTATCTATGTATGTGACTCAGATAGCGATATCGGTGGTCTTATCAGATATACTAGGTGCTTCACTTATGATACCGAGACAACGCCCGTGTAATTTTAGCAACACTTTCAGCATTGATAGCGCTTTGATAAAGCCGCTGCGTGTACAAATATACATATTTAATTATGTTGACCTAGATATGCGTTTAACTAAGAATGTCTTAAACACAGTATTATAAATAAATATATATGTATGTCTCCGAATGTAAGTACATATAAAATACCTCACAGTTCTCAACCGCGCCCTACGAGACTAAACAGGAGAATGCATTAAAATTAATAAGAGAAGTATATCATTGACGCGTCTTCGTACTTGGCTAATTACGATCGGTGCTATTTTAGATTTAAATACAGACATTTTGAACAGTTATTTTGTTTCTATAGTCTTAAATTTATAATAAATAATTCATTACTTTTTTAAGCTTGTTATGGTGAGATTGAAAATATTATTTATAGGAATATTCTCATCATATAGGATATTTTTAAAATAACCGTATTAAGATTTTATAAATTTAATATTCAGTTTTCGAGCGCATCAATTTCAATCAGTTTTCAGTCTTCTGTGAATAATTTAATTAATATATTTTTCTGTAGTATTAAAATTAATCTAGGCGATGTTTATACGGAGTTAAGTCGATAACATATTATAGGAGCCTGTTATTATTAGAAACGAAAATGTTATCAGATAATGAAATTTCCTGGTAGAGCTATGAGAAATATGAGACTGCGATTCTTTAATGTAGGCAATGCGGCGTGGCATATGCTTTCTTAGAAATTATTATTCTCAGTACAATATGTATATATTTATATATTTGATATTGTATATTTGATATTACTAACTATACTCAGGTTCTGTTCTGGAAATTATCAACACTAGATTTTGCATTGAATTACACATTCAATAATAATTTAATGATATGTTATATTGTATATTAATAATCATGATAGTTGCTCGTATATGTTGGTAGGTTATGAAGAATTTTGTGATATAACAAAGGCGATTATTTCTCTTCATATAATTATCAGATTTAGTTCGTACGTTTAATATGAATGATTGATTTATTATACATTTTTCATTAAGTAGGTACATCTTCATACATTACTCCGTAGTTGACCTGAGTCGTGTGATATAATCGTGTGCATGAACTTAATACGGAACATATAACCGAGAGCACGTACAGGAACAGGTAGAGCTTCAAGTACCATACTACAAATAAACACTCCTATTTCACCATTGTTTAATGTTTATTCCGTGGCCCATGCGGCTGAGAATTGATTTGTGTTAGCCGGTTTCCTTTACTATTAAACCCTGAACTCGATGTGCTTTTGAAAAACAACAATTAAAAAAATATATATATTTTAACATCCAACCGAAGGAAACGTTAAAATTATTCACATATTCGATGTCCTTAATTTTCGATGATTATCTCTTCAAGAATGTTCCCGTGTTATGTGGTTTTTGTTATACATATTTTAAAAATAAATTTTATAAATAAAAATAATATATCTGTACCAGTCTATAACGTATACAAATTATCATACTAATCTAGAAATGTTCACGTTTAAAATATTATAATGACACCAAAAAAAAATGCCTATTAAATTGGACATAAGAAACATTAAATTCTTTTAAAATCTCGCATTAAACCGGTTTTAGGATTTAACCGTTGTTAATATAACGATGAGTAACAAAATCTCGGTAACGATAAACTATTGAGTCATGAAGAAAGTTTTGAAGTTCCCTTTTATAAAAATAAATGTTTTACGTCAGAGCAATTGAAGTCTTTGCTACTTGGGTGTTTTGATAATCGTCGATCGTTAGAAATAGATGATATGAAGTGTTTTTTATGGAGGATATTGAAATGTATCCGAAGGTGTTTATAATTAGAGATTTGACCCTTTGTTGCTATTAAGGTTAATATTTCATTCGTTTGTAAACGTACGACGAACGAGGTAATTGAATTATCACATAACTGCCTGTATCCTGTAGTTAATATAGCAGTGACTGTACCCTATTGAGCTTATTTGATGCCTTCACTTGTTTGGAGATCTGGATTGATTAACAGATATTCAATTGAAAAAACAATTATTTCTTATATTAAGTATAAATCATAATGAGATAGATATGGTACAGTTTATATGCAATACTGACTTTACTTATATATAATATCGTACATATGTCGAAGATGAGCTTTGGAGTCTTATTGGAATTTTTGACACGAAGGAAATTTTTTAAAGAGGCTCTATATTAATAAATACTGGGAACCTTCGTTGAACGTCTGTACCTGTTGATTGTTATCCGCTAGTCTAAGTGGCTCAACTCAACGCCTCAGTCTCAATTCTAGACTGTTGAGTCTTGATTAAACAATTCCTATACAAATTGTATCAGTGTATAAAGGTCAGAATAGGATCAATTCAATTCACACTATATAATAACGATTTAAAATTAATTATTAAAGCTTTCCCTAAAAGAATAATCTACTTCTAGTTGTATGAGCGTAGCCTATGAGGTTGTTTTTATATAATAATTTGACAAGCTGTGACGTCATTCCTATTTTTACCTGTATTAGCAATTATTGATACTTCGCAACAACTTGCTTTGTAAACGATAATTTATACTTTTAGTACATATATCTTTTCGGCTGACAGTTTCTGCTAAGATTACGTCAACAAATAATCTTGATGGCGAGAATTAATTTGTTTACAAATATTTAAAAATAAACGTAATTTTTACAATGCAATATAAATCTATGCTTAGCACAAACTAATAAGCGATTCATGTTAATGCATTTTAAATATATTGTACTGATTCAATTTCAAAAGCTATGATTTGTGTCAGATATTTTATAAGTAGCATAATGTAATAATTTGAGTGGCATGTGTTTTGTTTCAATTCCTGATTGCCTGCCAAGTTCCATCGTCATAATAACTGCGCTATGGAATAACGCTAAATAAACAGAAAATACTAAATACTATAATATTATACTAACCTCGTAGGTAACATTGATAAAGTTTTTTTTAATAAATCCTCGTTTTCTATCAAAGTTTTTTTCAGTCCGACAGTCCATAGAACGTGTAAAAACCGAACATATTAAAGTAACAGTAACCGCTCGTTAATAATAACATTAAATGCGATAAGCGTTCAAAAAAACGACGCGTTGTATGAAAGCATGCGCATGTCGAGTGAGCTCGCACGCTACTGACTCCGCACTAGAGTCGCTCGCGAACAGAGCGCGACCTTCGCTTTACAATAACCCGCTAAATAGTAAACGCTAATGTCATGTTCACGTAATAAATACACATATATGTATAAAAAATAGATAATAAAGTTCGTATTTATTGATATTAATAATATTTATAATGTAAACATGAAATGGATTTATGCTGAATTCTGACTGGTACTTTATTAGACAAACAAATTAAAAGATTATCTTGAGAGTTGTTATTATATTACATTAATTAATTCAAAGAAGAGAAAACGATATGGATACTTGTTTTTTTCAAGTAATACTAATGCTTATTTAATACAATAACATGTTCATAACAAAAACGGAATATAAAAATATATATATATATATATATATATTTTATCTTAAATTGGACGAAAAAAATAATTTAATTTAAGCTTTTTAAATAATATACGGCATAGTTAGTACATTGTATATAATTAAAATAATAAGTTATTAAAAATTGTCACTTGGAATATGACTATTCCTTAATTTTTTTCTTCATAATATTGACTTTTTTTTTCTTAATATATAATTGTTTTTATATCCATCAACTCAATATATAGCTTTCGTCTCGAAACAGTTTAATTTTAAATTCTGTGACTATAAAGTGATAAAATAATCATAATACAATTGTTTTTTTTTTAATTTATCGTTGGGATCAAAACGCTGTGTTCGAGCAAAATACTATATTGGAGGATTCAAACACACCGAAAAACTTAAAAAAATGTTTTCGAAGTAAATACGAATTTTTAGTTCCCATCGAAAAAAATCATGCTTTGGACCAAAGTGGATGGTAAGGTGGAAAAATATTTTCTTCATATTGAGTTTGTCCATTACTTGCAATTATAAGTGGACTTGGAATTGGTTACTCTCTTCTATTTTCTTCCAAAAAAACCCATTGCGAATTAATATGACGTTATTCAAATAATATACAGGGTGACTGGTGAATTACTATCGATACTTGAGGACGTGATATTTGACGATCATATATGACAAAATAAAAATTAATATACATAACATAAATATTAATAAACTTCTGAGTAAAGTTAACCAAAAGTTATGTAATTAATTACGCATCGTGTGAACACCCTACAGATTAGGTATACACACACACACATACGCGTGCGGCGGCGTGGTGTTGTATCAGCACGCCGCCCCACGCGTCCACACTTGGAACACTTGGAACGTGTCCACACTTTATTTATTTATACGGAAATTTGGTCAAAAATTAAGTAGCTATTTTTTTTACATATTTCGAATGAGAATCATGTACCGAGTATTCTCCTTAAATATTGATAGTAATTCACCAGTCACCTGTATATGTACTAGCTTTCTCCCGCAGCCTAGCCCGCGTGGAGTTCGGTTATATCGCGTTTCTAAGAGAACCTTTCAAAATTCGGGATAAAAACTCTGTTCTTTCTCAAGGTCAACTCTATCTCTGTACCAAATTTCATTAAAAACCACTGAATAGTTTAGGCGTGAAAGCGTAACAGACAAACAGACAGACAGACAGAGGTACTTTCGCATTTATAATATTAGTAGGGATAAGAACAGCTTTTATTCATTTGAAATCCACAAACGATGTAAGGAGATGAAAAAGGTTCATTCAGTTGATATCTTAATTTTATATTAATATACTAGAAAACCCGGCAAATTTCGTATCGCTCTATAATCAAGAAATATCTGTTACGTTTTTTATTTATATTTTTGAAGTTTACCTATTAAAGCGATAAAAATCCGTGTTTTGAAGTGCGACAGAATGATTGACATATTAGTTAGTTGTCAAATCTAATGTCAAAAAAACGTTTGTATCAACAACTACTTATAAATTAAAAATTAATTAAAAAAACATTGTTCAGCGGACAAAATTGTGAATCTAAACCATTCCCAGATCCCCTTGAACACACACAAAAAATTTCATCGGAATCGGTCCAGTCGTTTGAGAGAAGTTCAGTGACATACACACTCACATAAGAATTATATATATAAAGATATTTGCTTTGGACCAAAATTGTTTTGTACATAAAGAGACCTCTGTTTCCATTGTTTTTTGTATGGTTTCATATTATTCTGAGTGAACGTATGTTGGCAGCCCTGTGACATTTTCAAATTTACGGCCTCACCACCGGATGTTGTATTTTTGTATCGTCGCGACTCGCGTCAGTGAACAACTTCTTATTCGAATTCCTCTATGGACATTACCATTTTAGAAGGAATAGTTTTCTATTTTGCTACCAATCATCATATAATTTTTCACTTAGATATTGATATGTAATACAATAAAACAATAAGCTGTCTGCATCACATCCAACATTTATTTAATACGTAACATTAATGGAATAACACATACATATATTAAACCAGTATCGGTTATTTAACTACAACATACAACGCATTTTCAATCTACTTATTAAATAAAATGCATGAGACCAAATATTTTTAAATATCCGAAGCTACTATTACAACCTCTAATAATATATTTTTAAATATCAAATACGAAGCTTCATATCATTTGTTATAATTTGCTTAAAATTACAGTTACATCAATAAATTTTATTAAATATTATCTAATAGATTTAAATAGTGTGATGGATGAAAAACTCCCGAACATTGAAATTTGTAGGTGTTACTCGAAATGTATGGAAAATACGCAATTGTATTAGTTAGCTCCATATAACAAATTATTTGTCAGGGAATACAAATTTTATCATATCAATCAAATGCAGATTACAGAAAACAAAATATACATATTTGAATACAACTTTTTATAATTGGACAAAACAATCTTATATAATTTACTAACCTTTGGGATCATAATGCATTAACATATTAAAATATATATACTTCAGTATAACGAAATTAACATAATGGTTTCATCATCCTATCCGGGTAACATTAATTTGGTATTAAATGTTTTAGATAAAAGGTTACCATTAAATGTAGTATTATAAGATTAACATTTATATGTTTCGATTATATTATAGAAACATGTAATACGTAATACAGAAAAAGCATTAGATGTCCTATTTAGGCTAATTATGGCTTCACTTATAAAATATTTACAAAATAAAAGTACAACAGTGTCTGGCAAGACACAATAAATCAGCAAAAAACTTTAAAAATATAAACAAACTAAATAAATATCACAGCAAAGAACTTTAAGCCAACGTCGCGAATGTACATGTTTTACAAAACGATTATCAACTCTCTGTCGCCTGATGAACTCGAGTACAGATCGCGAATCGTGTTCAGCTCTTTTTTTACTAGCGATAGGACTTCAGGGACATATTGATAAAGATTCATCCGTGTCGGAAGGACGTTCCTTCGCCTGGGTCAATCACAGCTGGTTTCTCTGGTAGAGGCCTATTTGACATTTTACCAGATTTATTCGACGTCGTTGAATTTGTAGATTTAATTGTTGATGTAAAATTTGGACTACCGATCGAGTTGTTAAACGCTTTTGACGTAGGACTACTACTTGGATGCATTTTTTCACGGACCGCTCTTAGGTATGGTCCCCGAGGAATGGCTTGCTCGGCAACAACATCGGGCATGTCACCAAAACGACTTTTCTTTTCTTTTTCACAATTTGCTATTTCCGCATAAAGGTGGACAGCGAAATCTTTTGGTTCAAAATATTCATGCGCAAGTGCCGTTTGTCTATTGTACGGTGACAGAGGCATCAATTTGTCCAAGGATGGAGTGCGTGTACCAACACTTATCATTTGCTTTTTATTTTTTCCAATGCGTGGTGTTGTGTTTTGGAATGGCAATTCGTAAATATTCTCTTCAGCATTTAGAAGTGATGTCGTATTATTATTACAGCTTTCTTCAACTTTTATAAGTTCATATAAATGCTCTATCATTTCACGGGCTTCAACGTAATTTTCAGGATCTTCAAGTTTCTCCCGTAGATTTTCCAATAACTCTTTTGTTAGCTCTTCGGGTAACGTTTGTGTAGTTTTATTTTCTGTCGGCAAGACGTCATCATTGTACGAGTTAGGGATAATAGTCTCTTGAGTAGTATCTTGGACTCGCATTTCATTGAGACGATGTCTCTCTGAATATTCATTAACAGATAATTGTGAAATGGATCTAGCATTATCGATGCCCTGATTTAATCCACATGTGCATAAACGATCGCAGAGAGCACCACACGATGAATTTGATGATATGAGGAAATTCTTAATACTAACACAGTGACCGCGTCGTCTCATCCATCGTATAAAACTTATAAACATCACAATAAGAATACATCCTATGGCAGTGACAATTACAATTCCGATAACTTTTTTATTTCTCTCACTTAAACCTTCCTCCTCTTCTTTTTTGTGAGGAAATCTTGGATTTTTTATTTCCGTGGCAGTTTCGTTGCCCTTATAAGGTACACATTGTATATAAGTTAAATTCTGATCACAAACTTTATCAGAAAATTCTTTGAGCAACATATTTTGTTCAGGCACTTTAAAACATCGAGCAAAAACCTCGTTTACAGTGCAATAACTTTCGCTTTCAAAAAAATCCTTCGAACTGGCTCCTAATCCTTCTGCCAGCAAAGTTGTCATGTTGCAATAACAAGGATGTCCAAAGTAATTGTTTTTGTAAATCACATTTGCCGCGTACTTTGAATATGCTTGACCAATGAATCCAAGGCTTCCAGGGTTAATTTTCTCAATTTCATTTTCTACAAAGATTAATTCGTGGACTGATCCTCCCGGAGCCACAATAGCGTTTGGAGCCAATTCATCAAACGAGTTCCTTTCCATTTGTAACTTATTCCAAGAGGATAGTTCGAATCCCCTATCTTTAAATACTTTGAACGTACTATCCGTGATTATGACTGCAACTACAGTAGCATTTATCGCGCCTGTTTGTATATTTTCGAATCTGTAAATTAGAAATAAAATAAAAAAATCAAAATGATAATTAACAAATAAAGAGAAAAATAAAAAAAAGAAACAGATAAATAAATTAAACTAATTTAAATTAATAACCCATAATACAATCAACAATCAAAATTAAAAAGCAAAACATGGAACTCAGAGTGAATATAACGCAAAACATAACCGACCTGGATTGTGAAATATTTAAATTAGCTACAGCAGACTGCAGTGCTTTCGAGGCAAAAACATGTACTTGGCAACCATAAAGATGTAAATTGTTAATGAGGGACTTCGGTGCAAATGATTCGCCTTCGATCAGGTGGAAAGAGCAATTGATTGCCATCACGATGTTGTAAGTGTTAGCAACGAAGGCTCCTGTGTGTAAAGTGTGTACGGCGACTTGTTCCATCTTGATTAACGCAGCAGATGAGCCGAATGTTTTTTCAGGAAATTCCGGAATAACTACATTCCTCATTTCGATCTGAAAAATAAAAGAAAACCTGTTTACGCCCTCCAACAACATTGCATATGACAGCTTACATTTGATCGCATAGCTGCTTTGCTGTAACACTTCGCATAGCATTCTGGCATAGTACAAAACGAGACAGGACTAACCATCATCCCTGGTCCGTGTTCACCTACGTTAGCTGCGGTTGGATCCAACATAAACGACTCTGGCGCCAATTGCAACAAACGAACTCCGAATATTTTAAGAGATAACAGCCATGAAAATGTTCTTCCATCAAGGGAAACGTAATCACAGTCTTCGAAGCTCACAGAAAGTGGTCCTGCAAAATACAGAATAAACAATATTTTTATATAAAAAAAATTACGTAAGTTGCATGTTCTTTGTAAATACAAATACTATTCCACCAAATTTTAAATTGTTCCAATTGTATTACGTTTCTTTGAACACTTCACACATGTATGCGTATAGAATAACGGCTCTATTGTCTACGACATATTCACGCTTTTGTACTACGTTTGGTTCCTCTCATGAGTCATTATCCTGTAAAACACGAATGCCGAGTCGGGGAAGAATATATTTTTAGATAGCGATCCGTATTCAAATGTCCGCTACAAGTGCTCAGTGTTTGCTTAGATTTCTTTTATATTAATCTTCATTTTTCTATAACATTCGATAATTTAATGTATAATTGTATATTCATTCTCAATTCTGATCAAGGAATTTTAACTGACAATCACGTGATGATTTTATAGGTAAAACATATCCAATTGTATTTTTCTTCATATAACGGTTCATTAACATCATTGCGCGGAATAGTCGGTCAATGTTGTTCTGGTGGCTTTCGTTGCCCGCGTAATACAGAGAAAAGTTTAACTAAATAAGGTGATTCAAGTGTTCTACAAATGTCTCGAAAGCTCCATAAACAGTTTTTACATATTTTAAATTATTTCTCGAAATTCTATTCGTAATGCCGTCTCGTACTTCGATATTGCTTTATAATCGTAACATTACAAGCAAGTTGGATCCCTTGAAATGAAATCGACAACCTCATTAATGGTTCAAGTTTAGTCACCAACGGTTGAAGTTATTTGCGTTACACTGTATCGTAAATTGGAGCACTAACATCGTAAAATATAATAAATGAAATCAAACTCATATGTTCACATATCCCCTTCAAAATAGCAAATTTTTCGTACATAAAAAATGTGCCTTAAACGTGGCTATTTTGCGCGGAATAAAATTTTATAAAGCTGATAATACTTTAATAATTGAATTGTAAAAATCGTGTATTTAATAATTATACATTAAAAAAGTCTAATATCCGGAAGAATGGTCCTAATTTATTGTTTTTTTTTGTTCGGGTGATATATATTTGTTCGTATGTGCGTCACTGCACAGCTTCTATCCACATGTGATGGCAGTGCAAGGGTTCCACGCACCAATATGTTATATTAATACCGGAATAAGCATTTTATGTAACCGAGACTAAATTTTATTCGTAAAATTTGTTTACGTCAATCTAAAAAAGGTATGTTTGTAAAGTTAAATTTAACGAAATATATTACACCTTCATATATATTGACGAATTCACTAGCAAGTAATGTAAATTTTATAATCAATAAATCTTAGAAGAGCAAAGCCAATGCACTGAAGTGATTGCTTCAGTTAATCAAAATATCATCTATATGTACTGTGTTAATTGTTTTCAAAGGTAGATATCGACGAACATCACCTATTTCAAACGTCTATCATAACTGAAAATCCGGCCTTTGAATATTGACTGTGGAAATTGTGGACAGATTATAGTTTCTAAGGGATTACGACCAGCGGTATAATGGTATATAAAGCTATATATAGCTGGTGATTATAACCAAGGTGGTCTTCATATCAAATTGACACCAAATACAAAGATATCCGATACAAAAATGATTAACGGACAATCGTTTTGACATTGTTTAAAAACTGATTCATTATTACGTTCGCTTATAAATCAACAAAATTTTTTTTGTAATACTTGTAAGTTTCGTTTTTGAATATATGTAGATATATATTAATACAGAACTTGTTAATAAAGTTTCCACCTAATTTTACAAAGCGAATACTGGTTTTAAGTCGATGCCTGATCTACTCGGTATTAGTTTGTGCCGATTTAATACTAGAACTTTTAGCTTTTAGTTTTGATAAATCTTTAAAGATTAATCACATAGGTCGGTAGGGTCAGTATGATTCAAGAGCTCCGTATGGGATTTGTAACTCGTCATTATGAGAGACCACTTGTTTAGTTTCATCTTTATCTTTTTATAGATTGCTTACAATGATAGTGAAAGATATCAATCGTAAATTAATGTTCCCTAGTATTTTTTCTTTTATGTTTAGTGAGTATTATCGTCTTTATTTCCTCTATTTCAATGTCAAAGTAAATGTAAAATATTTTATTTGTGTTAGACACAGTATGTTGTTAAAATTGAAAGACGGCGAGCCGATAATCGAGCCCATCCGGTTGCGAGGCGATTGGCTTCTCTCTCAAAACCGGTTCGTATAAAAGATTACCAGCTTTTTGAAATTCATTGCTGATTTATAACCACAGCGACAACTCCAGATGAAATAGAGCGCGCAATGTTCACGGTGTCGCAACTAACGGTCGAATATTTTGTTAAAGGTTTAAAACTTATTATTACCTATTCGAACGTTAAAATATATTGAAGTTCTACACAACATTTATACTAAAAGTACTTATCGTAATGCCATTGATTGTTTAGTATTTTTCGCTATCGCCTAAGGAATAATTTTATACATGAATGGATACCGATTTCCTAAACAATGGTATCGCAGGCAAGTCACGCAAAAGAGTATATGTAGGAAGTCATTGTAGAGGCGAGTACCTTCCGACGATCCTTTTTTTAATTCACATACATTGACTGAAACTTATAATAATACTTATAGTTAAAGAAGTTTTACGATCTAAATGATAAATTCTTCGCTTCAGCGTGCAGATTCAATCAGATGTAAATAATAAGGATGCTGAGTATGATTTCGCTTTGCAGCAATATTTAAATTTTATACATATATTTTCCTATTGCATAATAAAAAGAAATACATATATGATGGTAAAAATGCAACATTACGAATGCTGATATATTTTAAATTCCATGCAATATTAGAAAAGATGCGGTGATCAGAAATGTGCTTTCTGTATTAATAGATATCTCGTTGTAAGGAACATTCATATTTGAAAAATATTAAATTTAATATTATGAGTCAATCTGATGTTTGTAGAATAAGAATTTAATAATTTGTTCACAGTAAAATATAGCTAATAAAACCGTAATACTTTTCTATAGACACTATTATGGAATTACCCATGGTGGGGTATGTTTATTATTTTTCGTTTTTGAAATCAAATTTAGTAATGTATGTATGTAATTTTATGACACATTTATATATCGCTTATGTAATATCCCAAACAATTTTTTATGAATAATTTTAAAATGTTCATTTTTTTGCAAATGAGTGAGATATTATAGAATTTACAGTAGTGATTCTATTGTATAATGTTAAATATTGATTATTTGTTTCCAAAGTATGCGGTTGAACGGATAGCACAATATATTCTGATCACCTCTCTTTGTGTATTGTTAATATACAAGTTGTTACCTTTGATGCTGATAAACGATTTCTTCTCCATGCGTACCAATGCGCAACTTTCTATTTTCAGGAAGAGACTAACGATATTAAGGTCGACAGCGGCAAAGCTCTTCATTAGTATGGAATTAATTTTCGATAGATGTATGAATCTGGCGTCTTTGAGTCTTGATAATGCGTTCGCTCCTATTGTCAAAGCATTGGCTCCGGTTACAGTCAAACTGTCCGTGTTGTCGGGAAGGTCGCCATCCAGTATTTCCAGTTTCTATGGAAATAATAATATTTATATAAAAAAAATGTTTAATTAACATTTAGGTACTATTAATTAATGGATGTATAAAATGAGTTGTATGAAGCCGTTCGAATATTCTAGAACTAGTTGATAATAGTAAGTTTAAAGAAACGTATTGATTTAAAAGATTTAAATATCAAAAAGTAACGCTTGTAAATGTCCAATATGGGTTTTAATGATAAAATAATTATAATAAATGGAAGAAATTAATCATCAGTTTCTGTGTTTAATCAGAACATCCTGACTCTGGCCTAGTAATCTATAAATCCAAATCAAATTCACTTTGAGTTTGGTTCTTTGAGTGTCTTGTGTTTTTATATTATTATAGCAGTTCGACAAAATAACCGTGAGGTTATTTAACGTTAGAGTTTAATAGTCTCCTATTGGTCAATGTAACAATAATTATAGCAGACGTATTGTCATTATTCACCAAGATGACTTATATAATGACTAAACTGTCTGATATTCAGTTATGTTATCGTAACAATATTTGAGAAACGATGACTAATTAATGTTTTTGTTATTATGACTCCGTGAGACTTATACAAATCGATTGTGTACGAGGAATATGTTCGCTTTTGTTCGTATAACAACTAAATTTAATTTTAAGCAATAATAATATATATTGACAATGGATAGCTGTATTTAAAACTTTCTGATAAATTTAATAAATCATGTTTGTTTATATTGATAATATGTAGCGACAAAAAATGTTATTTTTGCACGGCAAAATGTTCAGTTTCAATATTGTATCAATGCTTCAAATAATAATGGATGAAGTCGGTGATGTTTGAAACAAATTTAATTACTTGTGTTATTTGTAACTTAAATGATGAGATTAGTATTTAAAGTTGAATTAATTTCTATACAAAAAACAAATTTTAAGCTTTTATAAATAATAATGGTAGCATTCATTTCGACATTATTTGAATTAGGTGCGAGGAACTTTCTGCTCTATTATCATGTTTAGTGTTGAAGTAATTTTTGCTTAGACGTACATGTATAAGGGGAGATTCAACGGATACGGGTAGCTGATTGAATTAAGTATGAACGGGTAGATGTTCAGGAGAGTAAGGGAACACCTACGTAAGTACTAACGACGCTATTATAAAACACTGCTTTATGTAATCCTTTTCTTATAAAAAGCGTGCTTCCGCTATTGTTTTCCATTGTTGTTAGTTGCGGAGTCGTAATATCCGTTACATTTATTGATGTTGATGCGGTCACTAACTACCAATTCCCTGGTTTGGGCTAAATGTTATCAGTTTTGTTCGTCATTCACGATAGCTATTGGCTTCTTAAACGGACCCGATAGCTGTTATCGTACTCTTACCATTCACGACCATTTCCAAAGATAACATTGTCGCACTCACTCGATACTATGCCAACAATTCTACTAATATAAATGCCAATGCATTGTATGTAAGGATACATGACATTATATTACTAACGTTCATGGCTGTCGGAAAATAAGAAGAAATTATAACGGTTTTACATTAGGTAAAAATTGTTTAAAGTACCGTGTGCGATCATATATTCGAAACTATTGAAAGTTCTCGTTCCTATAAAAAAATCCACTATCAATTGTCTATCAAACAGAAGAAGGTGGCTGTCAAAAAACTCTGTACGAAAACATCATAGACTATTCTTTTGCAATCCAGTAAAAAATATATATACTATTCTAGCTTGTTTAAAAAGTTTCTCATTTGTCTTTTACATTTTGAATACTAGATTTTTCTTTCATTCAATTGTAACTGGACTAAGCTGAATGATTAAAATCGTAATAGGTACTTCTTGCGATAGTTTCGAACTATTTAATTAACTGTGCTTTAGAGTATTTGCTTTCAAAGTTATTTCTTAACATTTATTTACTAAAATCCATGTTTTGTTATGTCCCTTTGTCGGGAAACATGCACAGGGACTCGACAATATTTGCTAGAATATAAGCACGTTTAAGTAGATGCTAGACATTATAATGTAGTTATAGACAACTTGAATAGAAGCTTCTAGAAACGCATGTGTGGGTATAAAAGTATAATGTTATATGAATTGCGTTATTTCCTTTTAATAACTAAATTTGCAAAATGTGGTATATTTTTCTGTGACGCCTTAATATGTTAACAAAACGGATGTTTTGGACAAACTCCTTCTTCTTCCTGGCAATTTCCCTTTTAAGCTTTAGCCAGGGTCTGTCTGTGTTTTGGACAAACATAGGCAGGAAATTTTATAAGAGAACTACGTAGAGATGATTATCGTAGTTGGTTTTTTAATTAATTTATAAAAAAAATCACATCACATATATGCTTTTTCTACATATATAATTTATTTTTCCTATAGAATCTACAAACGATTTTTAAGATTTTTTTTTAAATATAAAAGTATGATCTTTAGAAAATATTTGTTCTATGCGGAACCTGAAACGCGATATAAGGGTCTCGTTTACTTTGAGTGCAACCACAAAAGGGGAAGAAGAGTTAAATTCTTCCAACCCATAACTATTTCAAGAAAACATAAATCCTACAAACAAGCTGTATCTCGTCTTAGAATGCAGCCTTTTGAATATTTTCCTTTACGGAAACACTTAGCTATCATTGAAAACGACAAAGACATGTTTTAAATCCCCTATTTTATGTTGTGAAACTTACAAAAGTATTCCTTTTGCATGTTGACATTATACATATGTATATTATAACTTATATGTATGCACATTTCATTTTGAGGTCCCTACGTTTCATTTTCTGATTCAGAATCGAGTTTCGCAATGATTTTTTATAGTTAACCTTTTAAGGAGCTTCACTTATTGGAATTCGAATACAGTTTTTTGTATATTACTCGTTTTTAAGACAAACCGTCGTGATATAAAGTTGGATTTTAACGACACACTTATAATTTATTCTTTATATTGCTGAGTAGCATTTAGTTGAATGTTGCTAAGATCCTTTACTAAATATTTTTTCTTCTTTATACACGCAACATGTACTATCATTAACGGTCTAATTATATAAATTTGTAGTACATAAGACCAGTCATATATAAGGCCTTGATCTCATAACACAAGTAGTGCCTTTTAAGAAAGGTTACAGAACAATCGACGGATATTATAAGTACTAGTTTATTTAAAATCTGACATAATTCAATTAGAACAATACACGGGCTTGTTCACAAATAACATCCATCAGATGTGATACCTGATACAGGCTTTTAAATAAAAATCTGACCTTTTATACAAATATATTAGATTAAATTTTGAAATATTGAAAGGTTTTTACATTTAGTTGGGAATATACATTATGATGTTTTATGTTATTATGTTACTTATACATCGTATATATAGTACCAATATTGAATATATTACGTTTGTGATGTTTTTTTTATATGAATCTATTCCCGTGATTTTCTTTTATTGACCCATTACGAGACTCGTAGGACACGTTTTTTTTATTAAGTCATACTTATTTTTCAATAGATAATTAAGCGACTCGACCGGTTTACGAGCTGCCGCGGCTGTACTCGTACGCACGTACTGTAAAGATCACGGAGTTGAAATTTAAGTATTCCTACAATATTTCAACCATCGGCCATCTGGTTCTGACGTCGCAATAAAATCATCAACTCGCTAGATATAACTAACACGTATTAAATATTAGAAAGAATGAAAGAGAAAGGAAATACTTGCAATCAAGTTATGTACTATCTTCAAATATAAATGTCATGTGTCCAGTTTAACTCTTCGATGCGAAAGATTGTGTATGTATCTCTTTGTTACTCCTACTTACAATAATCTTCAAAACCAATTATGTACTAATAACATGTAAAAATTAGCCTGATGAGTAGTAACAACTGGTACATGTCAACGGTGGCAACTCATATATTTTATATCATTGTCAATTGTATAATATTGTATTCTGTTAATCAAGTGTTCACAACTTACACACAATAAGCATGAGTCATTAAACGTCGAGAGAAAGTCTCAACACGTAATAATTCTCTTTCACATGTTATTTTATACTGTTTTTTTTATAATAATGTTAAACTTTCGATATTTCGCCTTACATAATTGGTCGAATAGATATTAATAATTAACATCATCGTCGTACGTTATACGATATTTTAATTCTATAATTACGTGATCGAATATGTATCAAGTTTTATATTTTAATACGCGTGGATTAAGGTATGGTGTAAGACCGTCGCGGCAGGAAGCGATCTCTCGTTAGTTTTTTTGTTTATTTGCTCCCCGACCCCGTGTATAGTTGAGTTCAGTCGTGGCTGCAGCGATGACGTGATGATAACATTATATCATATTAAACAATAAAGTATAAGCATCATTATATGTTTTTATATATATATTTTCAGCGTACTCTGTCCGTACATTTTCCAGGGCCAAGGAGATATAGCGCGTGTTCTTAAGTCTCGACGGAGGTATTGTTTGTCGGTAGTCATGAACATATTCAACGGACCATATGTATATGAAAAGTTCTCTTAATATAGTTATATATATTTTAGTTTCACTGATATTAATACTTAGATGAAATTTTAAGTTTTATATGTTAAAATTAACATATTTCAAAGAACTGGAGAACATATTTGATATGATTTTATTGGTTTTATTTAAATGTGATCTATATAGAAATGAAATATAATGTTAAAATTACAAAATGTATTCTACTGCTTGTTTATTGTTATACATTGAATTTCAATCTTTTTTTTTAAACTAAGCAGTAGCTTTGATTAGAACACTTGTTAATATTTTCCGTTCTATAGGTCAATTTATTACAGCAATGGATACAAATAATTCTAATTGCAGTCTGTTTGTAATATTAAATGAATAATTTTTACTATGCCATATGGATATATAGGCTGTAGGAATTTATAAAGAAAAATTATTTTTTCATAATTTTTCTATGTCGTTATATTAGTTTGTTCCCATTAATACCTAAAACGGCTAGACCGATTTCTATAGGAGTTTCATTGTCAGAAAGACGTAGTTATATGAACTATGGAGTTACTATACGACTTGTATTTAAGAAATTTTATTTTTATTTCTTTTATTAATATAAATATAAAAATAACGATGGTCAACAGACGAAGTCGGAGCAACAAGTCATGTACAATATGTAATAAAATTTTAAAATCCTTTTCCAAGAATAGTTTATATTAATATTTTTAATATTGCCGCCAACGATATTTTATTAAATTTTCCCAATATAGAGAGTCGACTATTTTAAATAATTGTAAATTTCCGATATTATTTTTTCCATCGGTTTCCTTGAAAAAGCTAAATTAAAGTATGAAATATTAAAAGCTTGCTTTATTATAGTTGGAATATAAGAAAATTACTTTTACATTTTGCTCCTACATTGTTACTTTGATCAATTTAATTACGTAGTTCCTATGCGTAAGTAGATTTTAAATACAAAGAGAAAAGATATGTTTAAGGAACTATATAAGTTTTTATAAATAAATACATATTATGAAAATTTTTACTGTAGTTATTAGACGTGTGTTTTAATTTGAACATAATTATTGCAATTAAATATTAAATCGTTCATATTTATCTTGAAATGATATAATTTTGATTATTAGAAATAACGAAATAGTCCTTTCTGTATTAATTAAAATTAATTAATACTCCATTTATTAACAATATATCGAAATACGAAATTAATCCATCTATATTTCGACGTATTCATATGTTCCATTTTCATCATTCATCGTGTATTTACAGAAATTATTAACAGAAAATTGAGACTCAAAAGAAATAATCAGAATGATGTATGTTAAAACTGAATGGGTTTTAATACTCGCGTTGTAGACGTCAAAGGACTTAAAATAAATAAAAAATCTTTATATCAATTTTAATCCAAAAATACTCAATACCACAAAGTCATTTTAATACGGTACTTAGAGCTCTTCGTGATAATGTCTTTTATTTATTAATAGTTAATAATTTTACCGTATTTTATTCTCATAGCGAGTTAATATTTTTTTAAATCTCTTTTTATATAGCAGTTAATATGTTTTTGAGATAAGTTTAATATGAAATTAATTCCTTTTCTTTACCTTTGTAAGCTTTCTTGCTGCGTTTTAGTAATTACCCTATTATCCTTAGGGCACTTTGTACTTACTTCCTTGAAGTGTGTCTTGTTTGTTTGCGAATGTGTTACAATAGACTGCTATAAATAAATTATATTATCGCTTCTGTATTGTTGTATGGTGAAATGAACACGTTGTTCTCCGCCGTGCAACTCATGCCTGATAGACAACTGTATCACCATAATTACATACGAGCGATATGAAGCAGCTCTGGTCAAGAAGCGGAAACGGTCGTTGACATATTTTAGATTTTTTAACAGAGCAGCAGCTATATATCTTTTTTTATAATGTTGGCAAAGTATACAGTGAAATTTAAAATAGATTGATTGCTTGCGAGTATCGAAACGTATTTTTCTATTTAACAAAAAATATATAGAATTATTTTTTTGTCTGTCTACTTACTAATAAAATAAATATTTTGATTGGAATTGTAAATTTTTGTATGACAAAGAAAAAAATTTTTTGCAAATGCGCCCGCACCGCAAATATCTGGACAGTCTATTTACAGAAGCCCAAACGTAAACGAGTCATGTCGTCCCATTCTAACGTAATGTGCGAGCAAGATAACATTAGGTTTGTCGAATAAATGTATTTGGGGCAAATAGTTTGGCCATGCCTTATGCCGGTGAATGTTATAACTAGAACCCATGGCTTGCTAACGATATGTTGTCAGGTAATTATTATAAATATGAAGCTAATTTGAAACACCCGAAAAATTATGTTGTTGCAACATTAACCATAGTAGGTACTACTACTCCCTAGTCGTAGAATGTTTTTCGTTACTATTGTTTCCTTAGCGTTCAAACACGTAATGAGATAATTAAAACGTGATAAAGCTTATTGAAATTAGTAATTTTGTTCCTTGTTCTATTATCTTGGAACTATTTGTTTGTACAATAAATTTATCGTTTTCATAATGTTTCTTAAATAACATTTTTAATTACATTGTATTAATAATTCTTAAAGCAGTAGAACAAATTGTTAGTTGACAATAAAGTCTCATTAGTTGGATTTATATAAAATTCCTTTTATGAAATTTCTTAGAACAAGTATGTAGGTGTAGCCTTAGTTGGTCTTTAATAAGAATTAAATCTGAAGACAGCTGTGCACCGTGTCTATGTGTGTGTCTCATTTTGTGTGATGTGTGTCTCTGTGTGTCTGTGTGTGTGTGCGTTGTCACTTGTTGCTCCGGAGTCGGTGTCGGGTTCGTGAACTGTCGCTCTTACAGTAGGAAATTACGGCCCGTTTGTACGATCCTTCTCTGAGCTCACTCGTAATAAAGGACGATCTACCAACAGCAGGTAGTCATGTTATCTGATGTTTTTTTGTACGTGCCTCGTCCCTCTCCCCTAGTACATATTAATGATATGGATACGAGACGTGTATTTTAATTACTTTGTCCGGAGCTTATCCTATTTCAACTATAATGCCATATAAGATGACACGGGCGAGAAACTAATTTGCCGATGATTATTAATTTCTCTACACATTATAAGGTCCGCGTTTTGAAAGTTGAAAGTTGTTAAAGTCAAACAGTGCACATATTGTAAACAATCTTTATGTTTTATCACCGATATATAATAATGGCCACAATGTGGATGTTGCATCTACAGTTCATGTGTAGATTGCTGCTATCCTTGTCTCAATGCCTATGTGTCATATCTTTATTCTATTTCTAAATCAGACGTTTTATTTTAATGGCTGTGTAAAATAACTTCCGTTGGATTCTGATCACTGACTACTATCGTAACGAATGATCTACTACACACTATAAAAAACTGATCACAACTACACGTAACAAACTAATAATTAAATTACTTCCATTTATATAAAACCAAAGCTGTTGATGGAGTTTGTAATGAAAATTTTCATCGTGTTACTTAAGTGTGATAAGTGTGTACCACATGCTGCGTTTACTTTGTTTGGATTCGAACTGGTTACCTGGGTGTTGGGTACGGTGCAGTTGATCGTGGTCCATGAGGGGTGTTTCGCTGGCACACATTCGCAGTAAGCCAGACTGCAGACGCCGCTCTCATCGGTATACGCGGACACGGACACGGCCACCAACAGAACGAACAACAGCGCGGAGATAGACGACATACTGCCGCGCTGCAGCGCGACCACCGCGCACACCGAGGGTCATGCACGGACTGTGACTTGAGAGAGCGCCCGGACTACACACGCGGTGGCGCTACTGAATACACCCGCTCCATAGTCATGCACCACTATTAATACTCGTCTCAATTATATCGATATCGATGATTCGCTATTCATTAGTAACATTCGCCTGATTTTTTGATAATCACCATCCACACGATTTATTCATTATAACACTCTAATAAATTTTAAAGCAATTAAGTCAATTATCATTCATCTTGTTTTTTGACGCTACATTTAATTTTAGACTAGATCCTTGGCTGAAATTAAATGTATGTTATACACGGACGGTTTGGTTCGCTGGTATCTCAAAAGTACATATGTTAATTAAATAAATATTTTTTTATACTATTATTTTTTATCATAAAAAAAATATAAATTAAAATCAGTATTTTTTCATATCAACTATCGAATAAGTCCAGCGTCTAAATATCGATAAGCGAATGCATCATCCGCAAGGACAACACTAGCTCATCTTCGGCTTTGTCTGATTCTTTACAAGTTCATACGATCAAATATCTGAACTAGTGACGGCTACGAAAGCGGCCCAAACTTAATTAGACGTTTTATATCTAGCTCCAACTAAATTAATTGTATCCGTTATACTACAATTATTTTCTGCCGTATATAAAGAAAATTATAACATATAATATATTTACAACTAAAATAATATTCCTATAAAAGACATGATTTTTTTTAATCTTGTTCATCGGTTGTATTGTTTTTATTCCAAAACTGTCGTTCATGATAAATATATGTGCTTTTAATTTCATGAGTTGCTGAATATAACGTATTTATACATATTCATTCCTGCGGCCAGTGTCGCTGATAGTTCTCTATCTCCCTACGTATATAAGTGTCATTAAAGTAGACACACAAATTGCTATGTTAATTGCTGATGCATGTACTTACCAAAGAATTTCCACGTTCAAAGTGTATCACGATTGATTTTATCGTAGGATCTGATTATTTTTTTTAATTTTAATCTCGTGATGTTTATTTCTATGTCTGTATTCGAATGTCGTTTTAATGTACAGGAACAAAAGGCCTCTGTTTTGAGAGGAATCTTTAAGATAAGTTTTTTGATGTTGATTATTAAAGAGCATATGATACAGCTAGGCTTGTTAATGAATGTTATAAATGTAATCACCACAGCATTAAATCAAATCCTAATTACCTATATATTAATATTAATAGCGATATGTTTAGTTCACTGATTAACTAGGTTATGATTTTTTAATTTTAATATAAAATTATTAATAATATATTTCAGCTATTTAGTTTTTACAATCTTAAATATAATATTAAAATAGAACTAATCCATTTTTTAACTATATATCTAATGACTACTCCAAATATTCTAGAATTGTTGACTTTTAGCCAATTTTTTATTACCGATAGAGAATTATTTGATAAATTTGTACGTCTTTACGGAAGTGACGTCACATAGAATCTCTACTGCTTGGTTTTCCATATCTGTATTATTAAAGCACAGAATATTGATTTCAATTAAATGAAACAGTCAGAATTAAATTATGTATATTTTTTATTTGCTGGTGTTTGAGAGAAGTCCTCTGAAAATACTATTGACAATTTGTAGAAACAAACTTTAAGAGCCCATATATGTGCACCAGTCCAAAAATGTTTTAGTTGCAAACAAAAAGTTTATTAAATCTATGAAATGTATTTGTCACGTGGATTTCATTTTAATTGTCTGCAGATTCCAAGAATTATTTATGTTTAGAAATAAAAATTCTAGAAATATCCGTTTTTTTATCGAAATTATGTAGGTAGTTAAAATAAGCACGAATTACTCATAAAACTACTTAGGACTAAGTACTATATTAAAATCAATAATGATTTCTTTTGTATACATTTACGAGACGAAACCTCTTAGCATTCAATGGATTCATCGGGTGGTGAATCCATTTAGTCATTGGTGCCGGAAAGGAGCTTCAACAGTGTCTGGGACTTGTGACCCAGGTGTAGGTTTGAGGCCTCGGCCTCGAATCTCGCGGGTAGCGGGGCGGCAGCGGCGGCGGCACGGAAACGCATACATTTCTCCGTGCCCCCTCCCCTCTAGTTTGGAGAATAGTATGCGTTTCCGTGCCGCCGCCGCTGCCGCCCCGCTACCCGCGAGATTCGAGGCCGAGGCCTAAGGGGCCCCTGTCTAACGCGAGATAAACGCTCACCTCCACCGTCCAAGCTCGTCTCTCTACTCAACCAAATCTGAAAAGAACCTAATAAGGCTGCCTTCGAAGTTCCTTTAGTTTTTAATTTATTGATTAGAACGTATTTTTATCAATACTCGCTCTCTTTGTCCTCAGGTGTATATCGACGGAGCGTCAGTTCCTATCGGATTTTGTCTCCGGTGTTGAGAACACTGCCGGCGGTAGACTTGCCCGTTGGCTGGCTCCAGGGCCGTGTGTGGAGCCCTCTCGATGTGAACTCAAACAGCCTCTAGGGCCAGCTGTGCCTTCATCCAGAATCAGCTTGCCCATCATCATTAGAGACCAGTACGGGGACATCGTCATATCCCCAGCACTGAAAGTTGAGGTAAGTCGCATCTATTACATAATAAACACCCATACATATGTTGCGAATTGCCTCTCATGAACATAGGTTAAGTATATTATGTATACTCGTATATTTAAGGAAAGAAATAACGTATTGATTTACTTCAGTGTCCAGAACATTAAAAAATGTACTAATAAGACTTTCTTGCGCCCAAGTTTTCATAAAAATTGTTTAATTAGTCCTTTTCAAATCTCGTACTGCTTAGGGTCTTATTTCTAAAATATTGTACTACTTTTCTTTTTTGTGTAATAAAAACTAATAATATGTATTTACCAAAGATACTTAATAACAAAGATCTGTAACAGAACAAAAAAAATGCATATACTATTATATGTATATTACGTAAATGTACAAAGATTTATTATATATAACAGGTATAAATCACTAACAAATATAAAAATAGATCGTTCAACAGGTTCCATTATAAATTGGAAGTGTTTGCGCGAGTAAATCCGATAATCTCAGGAACTATCGAACCATTATGCTTAGCTTCTCAGTGTCACTTTATTAAATTGACGTTTACTAAGGATTATAGTGCATATTACATAACACTTAGTCTACATGAGTGATGGAATATTAAGAAAATGTTCCAAAAAAGTTTCATAGGACCAAGAACTGTCTGAAATATTAATAATCAAATCTCTAATATTAGCTTGGTGTTTTTGCAACAGCTCCTTAATGTACACAAAAACAAGTTTTTGTCAAAAGCTATTATATACATATGTATCATAGAAAATATATATATTCAAACTACTATATTAAGATCAACTTGATATCTAAAGTTAACTGAAGTGTACAGATGGAGATATCTATGTAAGTAGAGCATCCTAGTATAAAACGGTGAAAATCAATTCGAACAGAAATATTAATACTAATGAAGTCTACATAGTAATATACAGGATATTATTCGTAGAATTCATCTCATATATATGATATATGTTCTGTTATAACTTAATGAATAATCGATAACAATTATAGTACCTGACCTATTTCAATCAAATAGTTTGTATCTGAAACATATTAATTTGTTTTCATAATGTAAATTCTATTGCGATTTCCACTCTATGCGTAATTTATATTTGATTAATTGTAATTCTGGGAAATGGATGTGTAATATTACAATTAATAAAACATGTCACTCGACTAATTGAGAATATTAATTATTTTTGTATTAAAATTTCTATATAAAATATATTTTTTACATAGGTACATGTTACAGTAGTGAAAATGAAAGAAATAAATATGAACACGTGATTCTTTGTTTTGTTTTCTAAACAATCAAGGCAAGTTTTCAATGTAAAATACAAAATAGATTTATCATAAATTTATGATACAGGTAAAAGGTTTTCTTACTATTTCATACACATGTATTATTTTTGATAATACGTTTCCCTCTGAGATAACTAGATGGCGCTACGTCACTCCTGAATCACGCTAGTGAAATATTCCCTACAGTATAGGGCTTGCGATCATCACTCACATTATTTGTGGATTCTCATTTCGCAATGAGTTTCACGATTAAACTTCATAAAAAAATACATTATAAATATCTAAACTAATTTTTTTGACAAGTTCCTGATCGTCACTGATCGAGGGACTTAATAAAGTAATATAATATTTTAATGCACTTATTTCAGTAATAAAGCTTTCTGATATTAATTTTCACATCCAAACATTTATATACATTAATAAAAAAAAACAATTTATATGTGATTGAGGATAGAATACTGAATCTTAATGATTTCTATTATTTAAAGATCTGTAAAATATAATATATAGGCAGAGTCGAATTGAAATAATTATTGGTAGAATTAGTGGTGGCTCAGTGGTTAAAGGGTCCGCCGAGGGTGCGGGTTCGATCCCGGCCCGGGCAAGTACCAATGTGATTTTTCCGAATCATATGTACTTTCTAAGAGTATTTAGACATCACTGATTAATGTTGATTCCCAAAAAAAGGGTTGATGTCAGGCAGGCGGGCCGGTCGTAAAAACAAATAGCCAAAAACTATTCACAACATGTAAGGCAGACCCTGGCTATAGCTGGGAAATTGCCAGGTAGAAGAAGCAGAAGTCGAATTGAAAACTCCCTTTTTGAAGTCTTAAAAATCTTAGCGTATCACTTACAATTGTATGCAGCAAGTGACGATCAAATTAGTGTATTTCTCAAATGTTGTTTATGAATAAAACAAAGCGTGTAACTACCTCATATAAAATTTTAAAATATCAACGATTGAATGAAGAACGTATATAATCCGAAAAGTGAGTAAAAATTAATACCCTCATTTAACGAAATGGAAGAATTTTTCACAGAATTTGTTGTTTATAAGATAAATTTTATACATCTCTCGAAACTAAATTGCCTTTATCACAATGAATTCCGATCGCATTTATATATAGTAAACATGTTAATAACTCTAATATGTTGAGTCAATATTGTTAGTTGTGTTCGTTTGAGGGGAATGTTTAATTAAAAGCAGTGATTCATAATTTGCGTAAGTATAGTCAATGGAATAAGCTGTTTCAGTAACCATATATAAAGAAAAAAGATTTATCTTTAAATTTTTTTTCGTTTAATATTTCAGATTTAGTACTGGAATTTATTTTCTCTAAGAAGTACATTCTGCTTGGTAACTTCTACTTTGATTTCAATGTACTCGTCAAGTTTCTAAATATATTTTTTACATGTACATAGACTAGTTATGAAGCGCTTTCATCTCTTTAATGTTTTCCCTAGTTTTATGGTGTCTAACTAAATTGAATTGGAATACGCGAGGTTGGTAGTAAAGAATCTGTTTGTAGTCGCGTTTAACAAGAATTCTCCTTTGTTGTACTTTTTACCTCAGAACCTAAGTATGAGAAGTGATTGTGGAGTAGTTAAAATTAGTGTTTATGCTGTTTTTTTACCCCTTAGTCCTTACCCCTTGAAAGAACCGGTTTCATTAACGGCATATCATGAGTTTACTTTTAAAGAATGACGTAATAAAAATATTATCGTAAAATTTAGAAATTTCAAACTTGCAAAAGTAATGTGCAGTAATATGATGTAAAATAAGACATTTTTTTAAATCCAGATTGTTACTAATGTATGAATCGCTATCAAGAGTTTTTTTTAAGTAATACTATGCGATATGTATAAAGAGTGAGTCGAAGATGTTTTTGTGAATGTTTTGCCGACACATTTTATTTTTTTACACCAAAATTGGTTGATTTACAAGAAAATTAATTATTTTTTGCCATATAAAACTATCGCGATCATAGTTGCACTGCTGTCTTTATTTTCATATTCATAATGCTTTGAAAAGTTATAGTATGAAACACTATATAGAGAGTATTTTAATTAAGTTGTGAATCAAATTTGCTTATATAAGTCATAACAGTACTTTTGAAGCTTTATCTTTAATTCCCCTCTACGACAACTAGATGGCGCTACGGTACTCCTGAATCACGCTAGTGAAATATTCCCTACAGTATAGGGGTTGCTGACATCCCTCACACCCCACGATCACGATACTTGTATATCACGTTTAATAGTGAATCTTAAGACTTAGATTCGATAACTTATTTTTGAAGAGTTCCGAATCGTAACTGATTTCTGGAACTTAATAAATTATTATTTACCATTATATGTAATTATATGTATAGTACTTATGTATATACATATGCATATATGGAAATCAAAAAGAGTAAATTAAGATAATAATTATATGTACCTTAACTATATTTCCTAAGTAGTATGAATGTTCGATAAGCCAGAGGTTATTTGGAAATCAATTAGGAGCTTAAGGGCTTACAATACATATGACTTATAAAAATCTAAATTTATGAGTAATTTAACAGCTCTATTAGAATTAAAGATTTGTTTATATTTGGAAGTGTCTTTCATATAAAAATTTAAAAAATTATACCCAGTATTTTTGCTACGACGCGTGCTTACTATTATCCACTATTGATTGCTCTTAAGATTCCGTTTTAAATTGAAGCAGATGATGTCTATTATATTTTTTATGACTTGATAATTGTATGGTTTATATAGGTGGTGATTCAACGTGTAGAAGACAGCGGCTCCCGGAGCAGCCACCTGGTGGCCGAAAGACGAACTAGCATCATTGATGTGCCCTACCAGCCTACCGTCCGAGACACTATGAGCTTCCACGCTATCACAATGATGAAGGTGAACGTCAAATTTAAACAGATCTGTAACTATATGGAAGAACTGAGTTAGAATTTTTCATATACCAATGTTTTAAGTCATACTCGTGGGTCATGTTAATTTAGTCATGTCTTTCAAGTTAATGTATGGATATCGTAGAGAAATAAAACTTATCCTTTCCTGATCATCAACGACCTTTCACAAATGAAGAACTGTCATACTTTCCGTGTTTTCGTTAAGAGTAATATCTCTTTCTAAGGCTGTTATTTCGTTAACCGAACTCCAAGTGCAATTCGATTAATATTCTCATGGATTGTACTTCGTATTGGGTGTTGATTGGATTAAACCTCTTTAATAAATTCATTAATTAATCGTATTTCAAGAACCTGCCACGTCTACGTAAGACTCGAAGTCGTTTTACGTAAATATATTGGAAATTGGAGAAAATGACGTTGAGTATTGTGTAATTTAATTTGATTATGCTGACACCTTATTAATTTCTTTACAAAATACTTTAAACACTTTGCCAGTATTCAACTATTTACAACACGAACAGTACATGTGGAAACAAAAATCAAATGCTTCAACAATAATTATATAATTCTATATTAATTACACGGAAAGCTGAAATAGTTCTTTATATACTTGATACAATGTCGAGACGTGCATGAGATGAGAAGTTGTTTAAATATTAGGAACACATTCTCAACGAAACATTCTTGGAACATAATAACGGCAAAGTCGCTTAAACTTTGACTTTGCAACATTTCCTTGAACCGGGAGATTATTATATAGTGCATGTAAATTTTATTGTGACATGTCAGATATTATACTGAAATGTATTAAATTACTTTTTTATTATTCTTATTTTAATTGAGTTCTAGTAAAAGAAAATTATATCTTTGTAGTTTTGATTGACTTTTCTTTAGTGCTTTATATCTTATATATCACGGAGTCATGAAAATCAACGTTCTGTTGTAATTTTTTACAAATTTAAATTTATTTTTTTATTGTAAGGAGATTATTGAGAAAACACTGAAGGAAGAATGTTCCTACTAATAGTGCGTCTAAACTTTCAGCCCTACCAAAACTATTCGTTCGAGGAGATCCGTTACGCGAGTGGAGCTTGGGGCGGTACCAGCGGGGCGTTGGAGGCGATCGGCAGCGGAGGACGAGTTCCAGCTGAGAGGATAGTTGTTGAGGCCCAGAGGGACGGGTCCTACACCGCCGTGTGGGTCCCGCGGGTCTCTGGCACGTACATCTTTAGGTGCACCCTGGACGATCATCCTGCCTCTCAGGTGAACGATAAGTACTAACTATAAAAAAACCATAGGAGTCAATCGATATTAACCTTTAACTGGTGACATGGTTTTTGTGTAACGTAACTGGTGACGTGCGGACTGAGAAGCCAATGCCGATTTTTATGTTGTTGTTATTAACCAATAAAGGACAATACGACGCAATTGTCTCTATGTGCGGCGTGGACGCAACTAAATTTGAATCTACTATGACGTTGAAACAAAGAAAGCTTGGGGAAGGGGCTGAAATAACGTTTCACTGACACCGCTCGGCCTGTGAGACCGCTTGTCACCAGTTAAAGGATAATAACAGCGCGATGAAGTTTACTCTGGAACAAGCATTAGAAGAATGGAACTGTTTAGATGCTACTGAACGTTCATTGGATGACGTTAAAGAACTATAACTTGGTTAAGTTCAATCGATGTCATTATAATTAGTTGATGTCCAATAAAAGTGTAACACGATAATTTAACGCTTTATATGTGTCAGGATTTAAAAGTGGAGGTGTTAGAGAGCGCCGGCGAGGTGTTGTCTGAGGAGCGCTGGGCTGGCTGCTCTGCTGCGTACCGTCTGAGGCGTTACACCGCTGAATGCTCCTCCGGACTGCGAGTGAGAGCCAGCCCCAGTCTTCAAGCCGAGGAGCTGGGTCGAGTTCCCCCCGGTGCCCATTTAGCCTTCGTCGAGGAGGTACAACACATCTCATATAGTGTAGTGTGTGCGCCGACTCCTTAGTGCGCTAGGCACGTTAGCTAACGTTCATGAACTCGTTATGCACCGGTTTGAGGTTTTACGCGCTTCTCATTTTATTACTAGTGTTTTTAGCTGAAACGGCGAATGTTTGACATTTGAGATTGCATGGATTTTATAAGGACATCACATTAAACAGTAGTAATAAGGTGGCTATTGTAGCTGTTATTATAATTATTTTTTATTCTTCTTCTCTCTCTCTAACTATCTCTATCTCTCTATACACATAAATTTCATTTATTAAGTGATTTATGATACTTATTCTATATTATGATCTACATATAATTAACTTATATCTTTTAAAGTATGATTTAATCTAATTAGTGTATATTGATGATTTATATGATTTTATTATTCATAAGCATTTATTTCACACATATACATACTACTATATCTTTAGCTGTATCACTTTGTTTTGCACAATATATTTATATGCTTATAGTTTTCATGTACAGCCGCAATGTTACTAATGTTTGGGCAGTGTGATGATATAATTACAGCAAGCGAATTAATGGGCAGGCGTACACTACTACTATTAATGTTGAGACGATACGAATCGTTGATCGCAGTTGATTAACAAGGATGGCACATGGGTGAGACTGAGCGGGGAGTCGGCCTCCACGTACGCCGAGGGAGGAGGGGGCGTCGGCTGGTGCATGCAGTACAATAGAGCTCTGGACAGGACCCTCCTGCAGCCCGCTGAAGACGACGAATCGCAGGTACATACATACACACACATACACACACACATATATATGTATATCATGTTGGAGGCTAAACATTGTATACAGTGATTATCTGTACTCAATGTACCTGCAATTAATCGTTCATGTTAGAATAAGTTTGTTTGTTAATTGAAATTTAGAGTCTGTTTGTAGTAATTTCATAGATGTGTAAGAAGTATTTTTTTTTTGGAATTGGCAGATTATCACAGTATATTTTATAGTATTTTTTATTCTTATACCCTTTTGATAGTGTATATAACTCTATCTATTTGATTTGTGTATATAACTCTACCTATAAACTTAATTTATTCTGATTTTCTACTTATATTTAAATTTTTATTTAATATTCACTTACAGATAATAATAATAATAAAGTCTTTCGTTTTATTCGATATGCAATGACTATTCCTTCCATACAGCAAATTATAATAGCTTAATTGGTGCTAAATTGTAATCTTAAAATTTATTGAACGAATTTAGCCAAAATCAAAAAATCCTAACATCTGCCTTGCAAGTGTCCCCGTCCGTTTTATAGATTTAACCTTCCAAATCTCAATTCCACTTATCTCAGAGACTTTTCTTATACCAACTTTAAGTTGTTCTGGCTTTTAAATAGAAAATCTTATTACAATTAGAAATGACAGAATTGGTAAAAATAGTGTGGTAGTGGTGTGAACATAGGTAATTTCGGATCATTATCGCATAGCCAGGGCACATTTAAAGAATCTATTGAAAAATTGTGAGTCAGTATATTACAATTGTTATGTACAAATATATGTTTATGTATTTTTGTATATTTATATAAGAAATTATTTCATTTTTGTCATAAAAAAACATTCTAGAAATTGCACACCTACGTACACTACGAGTATCTCTGATAGATCTAGATTAGCTAATAGAGAATGCTGTTTTTATATTAAGTTCATTTGTTGTGCATTTATCAAATATACGTGCAATAAAGAATTAAAAATAATTAGTTATTCTCTTCATATCAATCTTGATATTCGTCTTTCTGTTACATGAGATATATTTATAATAATAATAATAATAATTTATTAATACCCATGAAATAATGTACATAATTTGTTTTTAGCTTAATAACTAAATCTAGGGTTTTTACATTGTCATCTTTTGTAGTAGACCTCTGACTCTAACTCTTTAAATTATAATATAATACTAATTTAAATGTATATTCCTAGATTATTCAGTCTAGATTAGATTTTAGGTTCATTTAATGTTTCTCATAACTTTATTTTATTCGTACTTCTACTTCAGAGAAAAATTACTCATTTTCACTATTTGCAATTGCCCCCTATTTGGGCACCACACTCGTAGGTTACATACTTGTAATAACAAATTTCTTAAATTTTCCACTAGTTCCTGACATTAATTCGATCAACTAAACAAACTACTTCTATTTTATTGCAATAGAATAAAACTAGCTATCGATATCAAAACTACTTAAACAGGCCCGGATAGAAATATTTTTGTTTGATTTTAAGAAACTTTCGTTATTTTATGTTCACTAGCATCATATCTCACGAGATAAAGACAAGTATAATGTTCTTTCAATATATATTGTTAATACATTTATGTAATGTAATTTTTATTAATGTAGGAGGAATACATGGCAAGTTGGAGCGGTTTTAAGGAGAACCAACAAGATCAGGCTCAATGGCAAGAAGATGACGCTGACGCGGCCAGTAACGGTAAAATATTATAGGCTATAGGCTCGCCCTACGACTAGGCTTCAAGGCTTCATTATAACGGATAAGTCATTATTTGTAATACTATATGTTTTTCTGTTTTTTTTCCTAACACAGATTTGAGCTCTGAAGATCGACGCTTCCCATTTTCTATCCAATGTGACTTAACCACTGAGGTAAACTAAGTTTTTATTGTTATTTATATAGTTAATGTTCATAATAAATTTATAAATTTTTCGCGTGATCCGTGAAATTGTTTGAAGCTAATTTTAACGTCCATGGTTACAGAGTGACAGCAGTACAAGTCCACATATCTTTGGCGAGCCGAGCAAAAGGGATCGACTTGCTAGAATCGAGTCTAGTTCGGCGCCATCACCTAGGTATATAATGTATATTACAAAACAATATTATTTATACTTACAAATACATTTAAAATAGCTCTATGTGATTTTCATACTGCAAAATCCATTGGTGTCTTAAAGCTTTTTGCTTGGATAGATTTTAATGAGCCTTACACTGCAACGTTCAAAATCGCACAGTATATTAAATATTAAGCATCATTAGATATAAATGTTTGTTTAAAGGAGGACTCCGCGTCGCAATAATGGCAACAGCGACGAATGGTGTTCACCCATCAAGTTTAGATCCAGCGACAATGTACGTGATTTGGTCGACCTGAAAGAGGTGGGTTTATCATTACTATATCTTATACACATAAAAGAAAGTCATGTTAGTTACACTATTTTGTAACTCAAGAATGACTGCACGAATTTGGCTGAAAATTTGTAGGAAGTTTCTTTGGAATCAGGCGGCGAACATAGAAGAAAAGAAAAAAAATTGCTATTATAACACAAAATCTGTTTATTTACTGCCTCTAAATCGAAACAGTGAGTCTGATCAGCTGTACATTTCTAATTAAGCGACAAACGCCGATAAAGTCGCGGGCAGAATCTAGTATTTAATAAAATAAAGTAAATAACTATATAATATGTATTTTTATTTTCAGTCCGCGATTCTCGGCGGACGAGATGACATAAAGATGGGTCGCTTAGCTCAGACGGGAACACAGACCTCCCCAGAGACTTCCCTCGACGAAGCTGGGAATTCACATTTCGATTCAAACGTGGTAATTATACTCATTAAAGTAACATTTATATGTAGTAAAATTTCAATCACACTAGCTGCTGGCTGCAGTTTTACTTACTCTCGCCTTAGAAACTTCATGGTTTCACTTTGATATAAAAGCTACATTAATGTGAGTGTACACAAGCGTTTTGTTAACGAATTCACCTCAAGGAATGTGTAAAATAATTATATTTGTATCAAAAACTCAATAATTGGTTTCTTAAAAGTACGAAACAAATCTTTGTATCATTATATGAATACTTTTTTTATTTTAATCTGGATGAAAAGCTCGCGTTTAGTCCCTATTACGGGAGAAAAGTAGCAGATTCTGTACCGGCATACTTAATACGCATGCGAGTTCATCATTTCACCTTCCAATCACTTAGCAACCATATAATTATTTACTCGTTTACGATAGAGAGATTTCAAATATAAGTTTATAATTTATGGTTGACTAGTTAGTTATTGTTTATGATCTATCTATCTATCTATGGTTGACTAGTTAGTTATTGTTATCTATCTATCTATATATGGTTGACTAGTTAGTTATTGTTATCTATCTATCTATTTATGGTTGACTAGTTAGTTATTGTTATCTATCTATATATGGTTGACTAGTTAGTTATTGTTATCTATCTATCTATATATGGTTGATTAGTTAGTTATTGTTATCTATCTAGATATGGTTGACTAGTAAGTTATTGTTATCTATCCTTCTATGGTTGACTAGTTAGTTATTGTTTATGATCTATATACAGGATGAATCCGAGAGTCCAAGGCGTGTGTTGTCGAGGGAGAGGTGTCGTTCGTCTCGCAGCTCCTCTCCTCCGCCGCTGCCAGCGAGAACACATCATCCAAGGAAGAATGCTCTCAGTCCAGCTCAGGCAGAGTGTCTTAGAGCTGTATTCGCTGCCCTACTGTGGCATGAAGGTAGTCATAGAAAATTCTATAGCACACAGAATCATATAGAAGTTTTACTAAATGAGTGACAAAAGTATATTAAAATATATCATATCACTAGCTTTCCGTCCGCAGCTTCGCCCGCGTGGTATCCGGTTATATCGCGTTTCCAAGAGAACCTTTCAAAAGTCGGGGATAAAAACTATCCTATGTTCTTTCTCAAGGTCAACTCTGTCTCTGTACCAAATTTCATTAAAATCAGCCTAGTGGTTTAGGCGTGAATGCGTAACAGACAGAGTTACTTTCGCATTTATAATATTAGTAGGGATTGTATATTATAATATTTGAATATATATACTTGATGATGTAATCTAATGACGTCAAATAATAAAGTTTCTGGTCCACTTGTATCTAAGGACTTAGTTCGAATATTTCCTATGAAATAAACCGTTTCTTTACCATTTTTTTTATATTATTCTATTTTATATCTACTTTACTTCATTGATATTTAAAAACTTAAGTAAGTCTCTTGAATATGCACGACCTTGGCTGGACACGTGTCATTTGTAACCAAACAGCGTCTAGAAATGTTCTGTCTAGTTTTTTTAGCAGCTGCCGTTGAATCTTTCCTCCCCTTTCAAGGTCGCTATGACCCTTCATTTGCTCCAGTATTCATAAAAACACTCGCGTATATTTATGTAAATATATCATGTATAGTTACTAAAAATATAAAGGGTAAATAATACATAATTTTCTATACATTTTGTTGAAACAATAAACAAAGTCTATAGGATGAAAATCACACAAAAAGTCTTAAAAAAATAGTGTTATATTTTATCAAGATCCAATCCCTACTTATAAATGCGAAAGAACTCTGTCTATCTGTCTGCCTGTTACGCTTTCACGCCTAAACCACTGAACTGATTTAAATTAAAATTCGTACAGAGTTAGAGTTGACATTGACAATAAACATAGGATAGTTTTTATCCCAGACTTTTGTAAGGTTCTCTTGGAAACGCGATATAACCGAACTCCACGCGGGCGAAGAAACGGGTGGAAAGCTGCTTCTATATTATAAATCAAATAACAGTTCATGATCCAATACTATACTATATTCCAGGGACCGTGCATGACGCTATAGCCTGCGCGGCCTTCCTCAAGTTTCACCCGCAGCTGCCTAAAGGTGGCGCTCGTGTTGTTACTAGACCCCAACCAGAAGCTGCCCCTCCCAGACCACAACGACACTCCGTTGAGGTCACCAATGCTGGTGAGTTATTATTATTGCTTGTGTATGTATGTTTGTATTCCTTCATTACCACAAACGAGCTCGTGTCACAACGAGTGATATATATGTCATGCATAAATAATAATCCATAGAGTCTTTTTGGAATATAAATATAATACCATTTTTCAGCAATTTAAGTTGGGATGTCCTCATAACATGACGTTCAAATAGTCTCCATCACATATATGTATATACAAGTTTACATAAACGTACGATACGCACGGAACTAATGCCAAAATAAAATTCCATGCAATTTTTTCTTGTCTGATTATTCTAGTCAATATCTTGAACTGGTATACCAGTTTTAATGAGATTGGCAGAGAGATGATGAAATAAAGAGTGACTTGTTCAACTATTTTTTCTATGTGTATAGTATAAAAATACCTATTTATTGTAATATGATAATAACATCAATTCATTTGTGAAGGCCAATATTTACATATACACCCGTCTACTTTGGAGACTTTGACACGCTCTGGTACCGAGGCTAGCACGAGCCGCGCTCGGAAAACTGATATAGATGTGCCCATTCGTGAGGAAGATGCTGGAGTGGTGACCCATATACATGAAGGTACTCCAAAATCATAATATATCATCAGTATTTTGTACATATATAAAAATTATTATATGTAATTTCTAAAAAAATTACAGTCATTACGGTAAGGATTCCTAAATGTTGTGATGAGCAAATTATATTTAAAATCTACTAAGCTATACATTAATATGTGTTGTGATGTTTTTATAGTGTCAACACCGGCGGTAGTAAATGTTCTGCCACCGGCACTACGCGCACTAGTCGCCTTATGGGACGCTCTGAATGAGGCTGAACAACTCAATGTTGCTACCGACAAGTAAGAAATTTAATAATAATAATAACACTAAAGAAAGTTTATAATATATAATAATATGTTCATAATAAGTTAAATATGCAGATTTGATAGCGAGAAAAAATGTTTTAGATTCAAGAAGGAATTCTCTGAGAGGAATGAAAACGAAGAAACAAGAATGAGTGTTTTACGAAAGAAGAAAGAATTGAAGAGTGGCCGAGCACCTCTTACTGGTGAGTAAAGAATATAAGTATTGTAATTTGTTAGTTTAAATGCAGGGGCGTAGCTACCGTACTATTAGTCAGCCTATCAACGCCCACTGCTGAGCATAGCCTCTTCTCACATGGAGAAGGTTTTTTGAGCATTAATCACCACGCTTGCTCAAGACGGGTTGGTGATTTCAAACTTATAATTGTGAAACTATAAGTCCAGGTTTCCTCACGATGTTTTCCTTCACCGTATGTATGTACTATTAGTATTATTATATAATACATATTACAAAAAATATATTGAATATTTATTTTAACTATTTACACTTCCAATTGCCCCGCAGTAAAATGATTCCCCCTTCAAATTAAATATGGTTTCCATCAAAGGCAAGCTACTCAACTGGTTACTTAATGGTATGCTAAGCGAACCCGTTTAAAACAATTTATTCATATATCGTGTTAACGTCTCTTCAGTTCGTTGCGAGCTTTGTGGTGGTACTAACGTGCCACCGCCTCTAGCGGCTCATATGAGACACATGCACCCCGGCTGCCGGGCTATCACATCCAAAGGTTACGACCGCGCCGGGGCATACAAACTGGCTGATCCTTTACCGACTAACAAAGACTCGACAACGTCCGAGTGTGGACAAATAGCTCAGGGTTGGTACAACAATAATATAACGCTTCTTATCGTCAATAACTGTTTACCTTGTTTAATTTCTATAATTTTTGTATTCGATACCCTAATTTCAATATAATTTTGTATTATTTATGGCATTCTATTGCATGTTGTTGTGATTGATTTTAATTATGTGTTTTTATTTTCGTTTGTTCCTTTATTTTGCCAACAAACGTGCAGACCTTATCGGTGTGAAAATACGCGCTACGTTATCAGCTTATCAACTGTGGTACATATACTGCGAGAAATGTCGCGAGCGTGCGTTGAAGACGGCGCATCAGAAGACCGCTGAGCCGGATCAAGGGTGCACGTCGCGTGTTAAACCACGGCTGGTACCACCGCCAGACCTCGATCACCTCGCCATTAGAGACAACGCCGTCTTCTTACTGGACCTAGCACCACTCACTAACTCCGGTGAGCTATTTTCCTTATATGACGAAGTATACGTACTTTATCATATGTATATATATAAGAATATAATAAACATAAGCTCACATTGACATTTATATAATAATACTTCAGTCTTACGGGGATGCGGATAGTATAAAAGTGCTAAATAAAGAAAATCAATAAATACCAATTATAAAAAAATGTGATAGTGATGTATTAGGCATAATAATGTTGTATTAACCTGAGTTTTGTATAGAGTCAGGTAGTGCAGGCCGTTGGGGTGAGATCGGTGGTCGTAGTCCTCCAACTCCTCCGGGTAGCGTGTGGCAGCCAGCACCACCCTTCCAGTGTCTGATGGCCCTGGGCGTTGAACCCAAAACAACTGCCCAAATTCCCGACTCAGCGCGCTATCACTCTTTGGGACGACCAATGCAAGCTGCTTCCACTGTAATTATTGATATTTTTATATGCAAATCAATCATATCTCACTCGTATATAGAAAAAATTGTTTATAAGTCCTTTAATCCACAGAATGATGGTGCGTCGACTTCCAATGACCTGAGTATGCCGCACGGTGTACGCGTACCTCGCTCAGTATCTATGGGTCAAGCCGGAGGTCGTGACCTAGCTCACGCCGCCCGACCTCCTCTCGCTAACTTCGAACCTGATACCCAGGATACACTCACAGGTTAAAGATAGGAAAATTAGATTATAAATCACTTGTATGATATATTATTATTCATACTAATTTGTTCATAGTAGGCGCCGGATCATCCCTCCTTGCACAACCGAGCGCAGCTTTACAGAAACTGGTTGGAGGTGGTGAATGGGCAAGTGATATTTGTGCAGTATCAGCATTTGAACCACCCCAGGTTGACCCCGAAGTATTAATGCAAAGTCCGGTCCTGGCTTTCATATTGGCTAAGCGTGATCTACCCGCGTACCGGCAGAAAATGGACGCGTCGGTCAGAATCAATACTGTCCGACAATACGCATTTGAAGTAAGTAGACTAAACAAATATCATACATGGTATCAAATTCAGTATTTGTTACAATATGTATATGCAACAATATTTTTTCCATGTTGTTATTGTATATACTTTCTTCAGTCAATGAATTGGCTTCTTCGCTCTACAACTCAACCAACGAGCGTACATGACGTGATGTGGTGGTTCTGTAACGCACTCGATAAGTTTGCTCGAATCGTACCCTCGCCACTATCGTTCGAAGATAATAAGGAGGTAAATTGATAATTTTGTTTTACCGGTTTTATTGAAATACTAGAAGACCCAACGAACTTCGTATCACCCTATAATCAAGAAATATCTGTTACGTTTTTTTATTTATATTTTTGGAGTTTACCTATTAAAGCCATAAATCTCCGTGTTTTGAACTACGACAGAATGATTGACATATTAGTAAGTTGTCAAATCTAATGTCAAAAAAAAAAAACGTTTGTATCAACAACTACTAATAAATTAAAAATTAATTAAAAAAACATTGTCCAGCAAACAAAATTGTGAATCTAAACGATTCCCAGATCCCCTTGGACACACAGAAAAAATTTCTTCAAAATCGGTCCAGTCATTTGAGAGAAGTTCAGTGACATACACACTCATAGAAGAATTATATATATAAAGATATGTTTTTTAATATGATTATCTTATATAGAATTCAGTGAACTTTACGCCCACTGCGTCGGCTGCTGCCATCTGTCCCGGGGGAAGGTCAGCTCGTGGGGCTCGCGCCGCGTTCCACGCTTTCCTCGGCTCTGTCAGCGCGTTGGCTCCATCACTACACCCGGCTAGCGCTGCAGCGCTGCAGGCCGTGCGCTGTTGGGCCCTGCATTACTCGCATCACGATAGAGCATTCTTGCACAGGTTTGTGATGCTATAATATCAGTACTATGTACCTTCTATTTAGGAAAATTTCCAGTGTCATCAATTATGTTTAATGATTCAATTTAATCACTAAGGTCAGGTAGGTATTTTGCCAATAGGTGTATCTATCAATATGATTTTATATGAACCAAACATGCATGTACTGGTAATAATGTTAAAATCATTATACATAACAAATCTAAACTTGTGTAAAAATTTAATGCTGCCCGGAATTAGATCGCAAGTATTTAGCGTTATCAGCAAGATTTTATCACACTCAGAGGATGTTGGACACGAGGATGGTTTGTTTGGTGCTCTCCAGGAGAGTTACCATAGCTATATGAACAAGGTATTGTATATCACACTATATGTATAGAAAAAAAGTAGTATTATCTTATATTATTAATATCAAACTGAAGAATTTACAGGTTTACAGTAAAATGTACTATAGTATGTAATGTCTATTTTACCAGCAAAATTATGTTTGGGGTTGTCCTGACGTGACGGGCTGGTGTGAAGTGACTGTGTCATCGCGACCTGCTATGGCTGGGTCTTTGACAGACGGCAGTACGGAAACCTTCTGGGAGTCTGGAGACGAAGATCGCAACCGCGCCAAATGGATCCAACTTGCGTTTTCGGGTCCATCGCATCAAGATAGACCTCATGTGCTCTGTGTACACGTCGACAATACAAGGGATACTGTGGTATGTGTTACAATATCAGTTAGTAAATAGTCACTACTTCTGTCTGCTAATATTAAAAACCAAATATTACGTTCACTCACTTGTAATGAATTCAAATTGTTCTACAGAACAAGACTCTGCTGATGTCATTCCTGTACAGCAGCGGTTCAAGTGAAATGGCTCACATGCAAGACATAGAAGTGGACGTTAAATCAGCTAGCTGGATTTGTTACACTTTACCTAGTGAGTTATATATAGTATTGTGGTTATGATTTGTTAATTTCTACTGTCTGAGGTCACAAGCCGATTATAAACGGTGAATTCTATATGGATATGAAATGTAAGTAATAAAGACGGTGTGCATAGCGTGCATGTTATCAGGGACTTCGACCTCATCTGTGCGTGTGCGCTGCGAGCTTCGTGGGCCGGAGCCGTCCGTGAGAGTCCGCCAGTTGCGCGTGTTGGGGGCGCCACTAGCGCTTCACGATCAACAAACACCGCACCCCCTACATTCTCTGGCAGAAAGGGACACGCTGAGAGTCTTCAGACTACTCACCTCACATGTATACAATATTATCTATTTGTTTGTTAGATTTTTTAATGCTTTTCATATATTGGTTATACTATCGTTTGCTTGTCAGATGAAGTTACATAAATATCAGCTTGAATTTGAATCGGTTTAAAATTAAAATAAAACATATGTATGTTTTTAAATACAAATTATTTCTGATGGTGAATATTTTAAAAATTCATATCGTCACCATACTATAATTATCAAGCTTTTTGATTACATTTGGGGCAGAATAAAATTAATTAAATTTTTGGGCTGTAGATAACCAAAACCTTAGATTCAGCGAAAGACGTTTTCATCAAAATGGTTGCTAAAAATTTATATTTTTTTCTTTATTATTGAAGAATAGGTTAAATGTAAAATAATAAAATAAGCAAGTAAAACCCGAAAACACATATTCTAAGTATTCATGACAACCATAGTCATCTTTACAGTCTCATATTAGTTAGTATTTCAGGTTTATGCTTTTATAAAAAATATACATTTAATGAATAACTTACATTAACAAATTAAACGTAACGAATACCATTGTCTTTTTTACTTATTTTAATAATAAAGAATTAGAATATTAACATCTAAATATGTTAATTTGTCCTTCAAATTATGATTTTTTTTTATAAATGTTGTTTTAGGTGTTTGGCAAACTACTGGAATGGGAGCAGACTAGCAGCGATTCAAATGAAGGTGCCATAGCAGAGGGCGCTGTTGGTGATGATAGTGATCTTCGGGAACACGTGGTCGGCATTCTGTTCGCTGGACATAAACTCACCTCCCTACAAAGACAGGTATACAGGCAGCACATCATAGAGAAATATAAGTACTAGTTTTAGTAGTAAAAAATCAAGCTCTTAAACATATGTCAGTTGCTTATAATAGTTTTTTTAGACAATGTTGGTCACTGTCAAATTTAAAAATATACTATAAACACAGTGTCTATCTCATGATTATATTCGGTGAAGAAACGTTGTTATACGCTATTGACATAATTTTTGAAATTAGATGACTGTCTATCGAAACCCAAATCGCGTGATAAGCTTGGAAAAATCATCATATATTAATTAAAATTCCTTCCTTCTTCCAGGCAATTTCTCAGCTTTAGCCAGGGTCTGCCTTACATGTTGGGAATAGTTTTGGCTAATTGTTTTTACGACCGGCTGCCTGTCTGACATCAACCCCCTTTTGGGAAATCAGCATTAATCAGCGATATCTAAATAATCTTAGATATCGCTGATTCTTATGTACTCTACATATGATACGGAAAAATCACATCTCGTGTATGAGAGGCGGGCCTTTTAACCACTAGGACAACACTGACTCAATTGTTATTATTATATAATATGTGTGTGCAGGTGATGTCTCATATCGTGACTGCGATCGGTTGTGAGGCGGCGAGGGTGAGAGACGACTGGGAGACGGCGCTGCTGTGTTCTGAGGCAGTGGTCGAAGACTCTCCCCGCCTGCCCCACATACAAGACAACTATTGCTTTGAAATGCTTTCCCTTGTGAGTATTCTATCATATCAAATATAATTACTCTCTTTAGCCATCGACTTTGTCGTCATGGAATTTGAAAATAGGTCCAGGCTGAAAGTATTAATAGCTGATTAGTCATAACAGATGGCGCTACTTACTGGTAAAGCCATCTATTGTTATTGTACTTCACAAAAAATAAAACTGGCAAAAGTTATTGATTAATTATAGAACAATATGTTATTGAGATGAAATATTGTAAAGATTCATAAAAATGCAGGTTTAAGTGTAGACATTTACATTTTAATCCATAAAATATTTTTTCTTTTATAGTATTAGTAGAGCAAGTGACATTGTATAGAATAAAATCCGATGAATTCCTTAAACATCATCATAATCATTTCTTTTAGAAACTAAATCGGTGAATTTTACAGGAATACATAGAAAAAAAATTTGAATTTTACAGTTACAAAAGTATAATTTGCTTCTGATCTTAAAATGATTATTGCAGGAAATTTTGTTAATCTCTAACGTTTGGAATTGTACACTTCAAACATATTAAAAAATATTTAATATTACACGACATTTATATGGACCTGAGTTGTTTTCTATGTCTAATTTGTATGAAGAGTAGATAATAGTAACATTTTTTATTGTCTACAGTTACTAGCTCTGAGTGGGAGTGCTGTGGGGAGAGTGCATCTTGCCCAGCGAACTGAACTGCTTGTGGATCTATTGGCTTTGCTTCATACAGGAAGCGAACGAGTACAAAGACAGGTATTTAGAATGATGCTAATAATTTTATATCTTATTTATTGTTTTATTTCACCGTCAGTATTGGTAGTTAACAATTTCAATCTGTAGGTCATTTCTTTACTGCGACGGATGATAGCGGAGGTACCGCCACAGAAAATGCTCTCAGCACTCAACTATGGAGGCGACGTGTCCACACAGTAAGTTTATGAAAGATATAATCAATTACATTATAAAAACCTGATGGTCATACGTTTATAGTGTTTATCTTACAACATTACAAATTTTTGGGTGCCATGTTATTGTAGTTCCAACAAAAATATGTGTCTTTCTATATGTGTCTTTCGATAAGAAAAAAGTATTGTAAACATTAATATAGTTGTCAATGGTAAAATCTTTACTCAAATTATCAATTCAAACACCAGAGTGACGCTACTGGATCACCTCGTCTGTTACTTGGGGAAAGCAATCACTGTACAAGTGAAGGTGAAAGGTGCGGGTACAATGAGCCCTGGGACTGTCACACTGGGTGGGAGTGTCACGCCTTCACCACCCGCGTTGTGGTTCATGAGAGGGGAGACCACGAAAAAACACGCACACCTTGTAGCGAGACTACTCTCTGATATGGCTGAAGTGAGTGTCATTTCTCTATATTCTACATATAAGTGTTTTATTTAGTTTATTGACTTTGGAACACCAACAGTACACACATGCAACATTTACACAAAAACACAGTCAAAAGTATAGGTCTTCAAATGTGTCTATTACAGGTATTCGCAGCACTGTTTAGAAAGTTTTATGACAACGACAACACATTAATCTAACTAAATTAAATTACTTTAAAAAAAAACACTATTTAATAAAAAAACAACACTTAATTAAAAGTGAAACATTTACAATTTTAGAGACTAATATTTATGCAAATGTGTTGATGGATCTGTAAATTAAACACTAATGTTTCAGGATAAAGTATCAGATTCATGGGGCATGGAGACGCGAGGTGCGCTTGCGCGGTACGTGTGCGTTGTAGCTCAGATGGAAGACAGCGATAGACGGCCGCCGCGTTGTATTTCTCTTCCAACCGTATGGCTTGCGCTGGCAGCATTATGCGTCTGCGATCATAACCATATTGAACAGTACGTGTATTACTTTTATTTGATTGTATAAAACTGATATGAAGCCTTATAGTTTCCTTAGATCTTTAGAGTTGATTATGTACAAATTCGAAATAGGCTTACAGTATACATATATATTTTTTCATCTTAGTTTCGAATTGACTTTTTTGTTTCGAATTGACTAAAGCTGTTAACCCTAATGGCTTTCACAGAGTCACCGAGAGGGGAATCATCTTAGTAGTAATAGTATCATTTGAATTTCACAAAGTCAATTTAATTTCTTTCCAAGGATGAACGTTTCCGGCGATGGTCGCGAGTCTCGCAGCCGTGACTCTATAACCGAGGCTCGTTCTCATTGCGCCAACCACGACGACGGCTCCACGCTGGCCGTCATTGAGTGTCAGTCGTGCGGGCCGCTGTGCGCTGAATGCGACCGGTTCCTACATCTTAACAGAGCCGCTCGCAATCATCAACGACAGGTTATCTTTATATATATAATTCTTCTGTGAATGTGTATGTCACTGAACTTCTCTTAAACGACTGGACCGATTTTGATGAAAGTTTTTGTGTGTGTTCAAGGGGATCTGAGAATGGTTTAGATTCACAATTTTGTCAGCTGGACAATGTTTTTTTTATTAATTTTTAATTTATTAGCAGTTGTTGATAAAAACGTTTTTTTACATTAGATTTGACAACTTACTAATATGTCAATCAATCTGTCGCACTTCAAAACACGGAGATTTATGGCTTTAATAGATAAACTCCAAAAATATAAATAAAAAAACGTAACAGATATTTCTTGATTATAGGGCGATACGAAGTTGGCCGGGTCTTCTAGTATTATATAAATTATTACGACTTATACCAAATTTTTTACCTTTTTTAACAATTGATTCCTATTGTCAGATATGCAAAGAGGAAGAGAGTACAATCCGCATAGATATTCACGAGGGTTGCGGACGAGCTAAGATGTTCTGGCTGTTGTTGCTCGTGGATAGACGCACACTGAAAGCGTTGGTGGAATTCCGTGGAATCGAGGGTTCTGGTGAAGATGGCGCGGTGGCCGGGAGTAGTGCAAGTGGTTCGGGCCCCACAGACGGTGCCTTCATGCTGGCGGGTATATGCCGCTTCTGTGGCGCCCGTGGTAACTCCGGCTTGCTTGCTATTGGAAACGTATGCGCCGACCAACAGTGTCAGGTAAAGTTATATCAGCAACAGTATATCATGCATATCATTAACTTATAAAATTCGTCGAGTGGCATACATGTATTGCTTTTGTAACCGTTTTGTATGAATAAAATATAGATGACATCACAAAAACGACTTTCAGAGAGGTTTCGATATCCCTAGTAATATTATAAATGCGAAAGTAACTCTGTCTGTCTGTTACGCTTTCACGCCTAAACCACTTAACTGACTTTAATGAAATTTGGTACAGAGATAGAGTTGACCTTGAGAAAGACCAGGATAGTTTTTATCCAAGACTTTTGAAAGGTTCTCTTGGAAATGCGATATAATCGAACATCACGCGGGCGAAGCTGCGGGCGGAAAGCTAGTTGTATATAGATAGATATAAGATGTCCTGTCTAATAGAAGTTTTGTATAGGAGCACGGTCGGGAGGCTTGTTCTCGTGTGTTAGTCTGCGGTCACGCGTGCGGAGGTGTGAGAGGCGAGCGTTCATGCCTGCCCTGTCTGTTTGGATGTGCGGGAGCGGAGGCACTCCGGCAGGATGCAGACGATATGTGCATGATATGTTTCACTGATCCTCTACAAGCAGCACCCGCTGTACAGGTTGGTATTGAAAATAAAACTGACTTTTTTAACTTTATATGATATGAGAGTGGGATTTCCAATGATCCAATGAAACAAACTATTATACCTTAGTCGTTTTCCCTTTCTAGCGCGACGAAACTATGCTCCATGTGCTTATACATAGGTAAAACAGAAAATCTTTAGAACTGGCCACTAAGAAACATTCCTGATGAAAACGTTTTTGAATTTCAATTCTATGAATCTGGTTACGTAATGTAGAATATTGCATTCATTTATCATTTGTTTTTGTGAATTGGCGGCTAATGTAAAACTTTTGTTACACGTGACAATGAACCTGACGCGAGAAAATTCTCGGTCAATGATTTATAATGATTTTCATTGTGGGCTTACTCAATAACAAAGCTATGATTGGCTCCGATTAGCATTTTTTATTGAAGCCCCATCTCGTCCCACTATTTACAATGGTTTAATTAGTTTAAGCGAGGATATAGCAATCTTAATAATGATCCGCGTCAAGGATCTCCTTGAAAAGCGATTACTGGTAATAACCATCAGTTCTAACGCATGGTAGAAGAAGATAAAAGGGTGACAAATCAGTAGATACGGGTAAGCCTAGGCATTGGTTTAAGACAAGTAAGGAAACGTTGTACCAGATAGATTCATCATACTTAAACCGGTGAGCAGAAACACCTTCGCATGGACAAGTGTTAGATAAGTTCAATGGCGGATATTCAAATGCTGTATTTGACATCGTCACTGGTGATGAAATCTGGGTATATGCTACGAATCTGAAACCGAAGACAATCTGCGTAGTGGGTGTTATTAAGACAGTTATGTTAGAAGATGGAAGGACAATAACTGCAGAGGCCCTTCAGGCCCGAATTAAATTGGGTTGGTCCCATCGGGCCACCCACCCCTTCGGGTGACGCTGTCAAAGTCATTAGGGCTAACAGTAACTGCCAAGCCGAACAAAACAAAAAAAATACTGCAGACTGGTATGTCAATAGCTGTTTGCTTGTTGTCTTGAATAAAAATTCGGCAGAAGCTCCTCGAAGCAAGATCCTCCTTCACTCCCACAATACCTCAGCTTACTCTGCAAAACGGAATGTTGAATATTTGATTATGGCAGGTGTCGAGATAATTAGTCATCCGCCGTACAGTCCTGATCTGGCGCCCTGCGACTTTTATTTGTTCCCGAGAACTAATGATAAAATCGGAGGTATTCCTTTTGCAAGCCCTGAGGATGCGGTTAAATCCTACAAAAATGTCATAGTATTGATCTCACAATCCTACAAAAATGGCATAAAAAGAAGAATGGGCCCCCAATTTTTTCAGTGGTTCCATCGAATGCGACGATGTGTAGAGAGGATCGCAGATTACTCCGAAAAATAAGAAAAGTTTTTGCAACTTTCTACATGAAGCCCGTTTTCACTTTCTAAACTTTTTCAATATTATCTTGATATACATATAGTTTCTATAGTAATATATCTTGAAATAAAATATAAAACGGTGACAGACATCTAAACATGGAGTGTTGGAAAAACAAGAGGAATTCTAAAATACTTCTTAACATCATTTGTTGATACAAATATCCAAGCCGATGGCACTGAAAAGTCTATTGTGAAATTGTTCCATTTCTTGTTTCTTTACAAAAATTATAATTGGTTATTTACCCGATATTAACAGATTTAAGTCACGTTTGTATAATTTACAAAATTTGATCTACTACTGAAGAAATTGAAAATTTATCATGCTCTATCGTAACTATGGAACAAATAGAAAAAAAAACAATTTATTTTTATTGAATCATAAAAAATATAGTACCTATTTGTGTATACTCAAACAATGCTATTGCTATTTGTGGTACATTTGTGGTACATATTTTTGATAAATCTCGTTACGTTAAGGTTGATAAGTGCTCCGCTTAGCGATCAACGTTCTAAATTCAGAGAAAACTTACGTATCGTAGGTGGTCGGGATGCATTGCCAGGGGAATATCCATATGTTTTAAGTATGATGTTGAGTATACTACTACCAAATAATACTAAAATATATGAAGCCTTTTGTTCGTGTGCCTGCCTTAAACCAACTTGGACGTTAACAGCAGCGCATTGTATAGAGTCCTCAAAGTCTCCTAACCTTCCCGAGACCGCTGAGTCAGTGTTACGGTATCATAAAACCTCAAACGAGGTTGGCTACGCTAAAATACTGTCTATGTTCACAAATCCTAACTACGCTAAACACCCAAACTTCTGGCTCCATAACGACGTCGGTCTTTTAAAAACTGAATCTATAAAAATACCCACGTACGGAAAACTAAGTGCTGTCGACTATACAACTCTTTATGGTTTCCAAATATTTGCGGTGGGCTATGGATTAACTGTAGACGATGAAGGCCGTATGAAAAATGCTCTATCTATTAATAAAACATTGCAAGTGGTGGATGCGGTGATTATCAAATGCAAAGAAAATATCCATCCAGTTATCTGCTTGACGGGTGTATGTGGCCGATGGTCTGCTCTTTGTTCCGGAGATTCTGGAGGTCCCGTCATACATTCTTCCGGAATTATTGGTGTTAATTCGGCTTCAAAGAGGGAACAATGCCAAAGCCGAAAAAAATCAAAACCTAAAAATGGATTGGAAACTACCGTTGGCATGATCACGCCGATTAGCCCTTTTGTGAATTGGATCGTTAATGTTATAAAGTTAAATGAATAAAATTATTGAAACATGCGTATGGGTACCCATTCAAACCGTTTAGAAACTGCCTTCTTTAACAGATACTGTGAAATAATTCGAACATTTAACGAGATATATTGACAACTTTCCAAGACTTAACGGTTGTAAAAAAAAGTTATAAATAAATATTGATCGAACTGCTTTTTTTTTATGACTGTATACTCCAAATAGACTGTATGCCTTTGTTTCGTTTAGTTATTATTTTCTAATAAATACCTTTATTTAATCTCGTATAGTTTCTCAGAAGGCTCGAGCCATGTTCCATAAGGGGCTGTGTAACTACCCAACTGATCTGATATTTTAAATTATAGTAGAATAATTTATACATAAAATAAATAGTCTTTTGGTGATTTTTTTTCAAGTATTATAGTTAGTTAAGCAGTAAAATGTTTCGTATTATGAAATTTTATGTTTGGCTAAGGATATTTGAGATACCATCAGAAATATTAATTTTAATGTTCTGATATTCTAACACTACAAAAAGAAAATAAATTGTGAAGGTGGTAGAAGCTAGCTGTTGTCAGTCATTACAGCTCGAACATGTGCTGGCTCGACCGGGGAAGTACCACCCTCTCACAGAAGATCGGCGTAATGTAGCCACGTTGAATGGCTATGTTTCGCGAGAGAGTCGCTCGCCCTTTCCCTGTTCCCACCCGTTCCTGCCATTTCCTTATTCCTACCCCACCCTTTTCCTCAGCAATTAAGATTGGCAACGAATCCGCAACATCTCTGTTGTGGATGTCCATGGCCGACGGTGCCGACTGCCCATCAAGTCGTCTGCTCGTTTGCCATAAAAAAAAAATTCTTTATTATTTTCAACAACATCGTAAACTAGATCAATTTTTACTGAAATTGATCACTTTCAGGGCCTTGAACATAAGAGTTAAGTGGTAGAATGGTAAAATCAAAGTTTAACATATTTATTCCTTTATTTCCAGCTGAGTTGCGGTCATATTTTCCATTTGCACTGTTGCAAAAAGGTGCTTGCTAACAAGTGGGTGGGACCTCGTATTACTTTCTCATTCTCACAGTGCCCCATATGCAAGGTTAGATATACAGAAGATGATTTATGGTATTTGTATTAAGATTAATCTGTTTTTGACCATTTTTATTGTTATTTTAGGAGGACATGAATCATTGGACCTTAGAAGAATTTCTTGCCCCTATTCGAAACCTTCGAGATGAGGTGAAACGCAAGGCGCTGATGCGTCTCGAGTACGAGGGTCTCGCTGCGGGCGGGTCCCACAGCCGGGCTCAATCCGACCCAGCTACATACGCCATGGAGCGTTATGCTTACTACGTGTGCCATAAGTGTGGAAAGGTAAGTGGATAAAAAACCTCGTCTGAAAAATTTTATCATTTTTATTAGTGTATGTTCCAAAAAAATAAGGGAATAAAAGAAAAATAATCTCGATATTGTCAATTCTGAATAATTTCAAATTTTGTTGGTTTTTATTTTCGACTTTTCGAATTTCGACTGGATAGAGCTTGATTTATATTGGAAGGTGAATATGATAAAAGATACAATAATTTAAAACTATGAATTGGTTCTATAATCAACTTCCAAACCTTGTTGAAACAGCTACTACCCCCAAAAGCCAATACATACAAGACATTGAAATAAAAGTGGGGAAATTGTTCCTAAAATTCTTTTATTACTGTAAGGCGTATTTCGGTGGTCTGGCACGATGCGAGGCTGAGTCCAACGGTTGGTGGGAGCCGGCTGAGCTAGTCTGCGGCGCCTGCAGTGACGTAGCCGGTGCAAGAACATGTCCTAAACACGGAGCAGACTTCCTAGAATACAAGTGCCGATACTGCTGCTCGGTGAGTTAATTATATTAAGCTCCTAATGTATGCAAAAATGTATTAAAGAGATCTTTGTATGCCCAAAAACGTAAAACATTTACACTATCATTATTTTCAAACCCAGACATAGTTTTATAGAAACTTGCAGACGGACAGCAAAATTATATACTATTGCCACAATAATTGAGGACCTTGTATGCTGCGGTATTTTCCTCATCTTTCATAAAATAGTACAGAAGCGCAGAACAGTTATGTACTGTCAATATAAATTTTCTTATATATTTAAACAAGTCTCTTTTATTTATTGATATATGTAGAAAGACAATTTTCTTGGTTAAGGTTCTTCCTAGGTTTTATTTGATACATTTGAATCTTTTGTGACCTAATATCAGGCAGTAATCAATTAATTAAATACAAAAAAGAAATAAAAATATACTAAGTTGCCTTCATATTGCTGGCATATAATTAATTACCAGAAAATAAAACAAAAAATGGCTCAAAAAATTATTTGAACGGGCTTAAGGGGAGCTAAAAAGTATTCAAGAGTAATCCTACAGCTTTTTCACAAAATGTGGATTCATTTTGGATATATTAGGACGTCTTATACATATTGTCATAGAAAATATACAATTTCGTATTTACTATCTTTATAAGTATATTGGTAGTAGTGGTAGTGGTAGTGGTAGTATCATAGTAATCCCGAGATCAATTGTTTGAGTAGAATATTTTGTCTCATATTGTAATAGTGTTTGGTATTGATACATTGTCATTTATATATTTCCAGGTTGCAGTATTCTTCTGTTTCGGTACATCCCACTTTTGCAACGCATGTCACGATGACTTCCAACGTGTCACCAACATTCCAAGGCACTTGTTACCTCAATGCCCTGCAGGTAAATATTATTCTAGTAACTTTAACAGATTTTGTAGAACCGAATTTATTTATGTGCATTACTATTGAAATTAAACTATTTCTGCTTATAACAGTTAAGAGATTATAACAAAAATGTCAAATACATGCACTAATATTAATGAGAATTTTGTTGATTCGCAAGGTCCAAAAGGCGAGCAGTTACCTGGATCGGCAGAAGAATGTCCTCTTCACGTACAACACCCGCCTACTGGAGAGGAGTTCGCACTGGGATGTGGCGTGTGTCGACACGCTCACGCGTTCTAAACTATTAATACGTACACACTTTTTGTATGGATCTGTATACCACTCAATATATGTAAAGAAACAACTTGAATGACTGGGGATATACAGATCTATATATGACTAACTCGTTCTGGACAAACAACAGATATAGAACAATAATATAAATTATTCATGGAATTGACGAATAAACCTAAAACGACTGTTGTAATGGCGTGCCCTCCAAGAGCTGTATTTATTATTACTGAAAGTTTTTATAGACACGGATTTTTGGAGTTATGTACACTTAAATGTACTGTAAGGTCAATTGATGCTAAGTTATAACTATCCCTATATCTCTATTACATTGATACCTAAAATGTATTTAATTGTATGTTAGGCAGAAATGTGTATTATAATAATTAATTACATAAAATCTACTAGGATCGTATGATTGAAATGTTTGTTGAGGAACATCCTGACATTATAATCTGTCGCTGTATAAAATTAACTTTTTCATATAAGTAATTAACTAATTTGGCTGACTGTTCTTCTACACTTGTTATTTTCAAACGTTTCATTATCTTCTCGAGCCTTATTGTTTATTAACTTATCGACCAATCACCGACCCGATGTGACGTCACCGTATTTGATATTCCATCTGTTTTAGACAAAATTGATTGGATGATATAAACCAGAAGAGAATTATTATGTAACCTAATCTGACTCAAAGATTTTAACGGCGATTACAGAAATGGCTTAAGCGCAACGCGTTATCCATAACAGCTTGTAGATTTAGGGAATGGTGAGGGAAATTAAGCCCATGTGTACAAGAAAATGGTGTTAAACTCGCGTGAGCTTCGCATATGAGCAGAGCACAACGTCCATATTTATCCGCATGATTTAAATACTCATAAATGCATAATTAATGACTTGACTATTGTCTAAGCTAATTTAAAACTATTTAATGCGACGCAATAATAGTATTATGCTGATGGAGCTCTGAATGTTACCTTTTAATATAACGTCTCTATAAAACGGGTAGTTTTATGTTTAGTATGTTATTCGTACTTATTAAGCAGCAATCTGTGTCCTAATGTTTGAATTAATTTTATTTAGTTTATTACTTTAATATTATTAAACGCGTAAATGTATCTGTTCACGTCGATAGATATACAATCTGAATTAATTCTTACGTACGTATATATAAGGTCTGAAATCAATCGCAGAAAACTCAAAGCCGTCGTTTGTTAATACAGTTCCTCGTTTCATACTATGATAAGTTTTTATCGATGTTTGTATTTCATGGTGCAATATTATACATATATTAACGAACATACTTAGCATTGGCTGTATAGAGAGCCTTCTACTATTTCATACGGATCGTACGAGTATGCTAGTCCTTTACACGATTAACTTCGTCGAGCCGACATAGGATTCGTATCGTCGATTTTGAAAATTTAAACTTTCATACTTTCGGTTACGAAGTCGATAATGCTTCCTCGTACTAGGCACACAGTCGATGTGAGTCTGCACTACTGAGTACTGTCTCTACTACTAAGTATTACTAACATTTTTGAGTGCTTAGAAGAGAATCCGAAGCCACCTGTAGGCCTATGTTATATAACCATATATTATTATATGATATCATTATTATAGATGTAATCAAGTATTCACTATCGATGTTGTGAGACCCCAAGAAACCCCTTTTAAAATTATTTGATTCTATGAATATTGATTTAAATTAAAATACGTTATTTATATATTAGTTTATTTGTTAAAGTATACATCTATGTATTATATAATTAGATTTTTGTACTTAGAGTTACTTTGATGAAGACTACGATCAGGACGGAAATGAGTTTATTTAAATATCATTATAACATTTCTCGTTTTCTTAAAGCTGATGTATAAGTTGTCTTTATGATATTGCGATTTTTTGTTGCATATTTTGTCCTCCATTTTGATTAATAAATGTTGTGTCACATGTTATACGATGAATTCAGTAGTTGTTATAAGTATACATCAATAGTATCTCCATAGGCCGCTGTTGTTATATCTACGAAATATTCCGAAATTAATTCGCATGTGAAAATTCCATCCTGAATACTGTTTCTAAATTCATCGAAGAAACAATAAGGTATCTGGAGAAATTATTGAGCTATAAATAGATTAAAAAATATTTAGTGGAAATCGATGTCTTAATGTAATTGCGGTCTTGGAAAATTTCTTCTTCTATCCAGTGGAATGTTGGGAATGTATTGAGATGAGGCAACGTCAAAAACTCGCTTCACACGGCTCGAGACTGTAACGACTTTCGGTGGACTATCTTTATCTGTATACAAAAAGTGTTTCATAAGTTACAGAAAGTAAATAACTATTTGGCATAACTTCTTCTACCATTACTTGTATTCACTCACACGAATTTATTTCCCTTTTCATTGGACGCACTTTAGAAATCTGTATAATGAAAAAAAATTGTAGACTATCCTAGATAAGAAATTTTTCAATAAAGCTTACGTAACTACCGTAATATACTTTTATTTCAAATTTCCTGTACTACTTTCTAAATATTTAAATTGTGTTGTAACCTGTTGGTCCACCAGAGAAACATAAGCTCTATTAACACAACGCGCTTTTATATTCCCGAATACAGTAATATGTCTGGTTTGGACACCGATCCATAAATATCTTCCTGGACTGTACATTGTATCTTGTATATCATTAATCATTATAGCCCAAACCGGGGCTGATTTAAGGATAGAGAAAGATTTGACGTTTGATTCGTTTTGCTTTGGGAAAACCCAAAAACCATTTGATTGACCCCTATTCAGGAGTACTTTAAATCTCACTAGCAAATGCTTAGCAGTTCCAATTGCCTTCCCGAAGATAAAGCAAATTTTTTGGTGCCCTTACCCCATATTAATAAATTACTCTGATCTGGGAGATTCATCTGCAACGCTTTGAAATAAACTTAATAAGTAGTGCTAGCGACCAATCATGAATTAAGGTTAATCATACTTTTTGCATTGCTGAAATCATTGCATGAATCTTTTATCTAGCATTAGATTGCCGAACGTCCATGCCTGTCTAGTATTTATGTGATGATCACCACTGTTGAGGCGATGATGATGAATTAATTTAAAGAATAGTACGACTTACTTTTGTATGTACGATACTATAAAGTTTAGATCAAGCATAACACGAGGCAATAAACAATTAGGCAAATCGAACAGTAAAAATTAATTTAAGCTAAGCACATAATACATTACTCACACGTAATACATTCAATCTGAGGTGGTAGAGCCTAGCTGTGGTCAAGTTACTCCAGTTCTAACATGGGCTGGCTCGGCCGGAGAAGTACCACCCTCTCACAGAAGATCGGCGTGAAGTAGTCTTCAATTTTTGCGTTTCGTCCGATGTGTGCGAGAGCCGGTTGCCTTATCCCTCTTTCCGCGCTTTCTTGTCATTTTCCTTTTCCCTCACTTTCCCACCTTTTTCTCTCCCTCTTCCAAAATCAAGGTGGCAAGACGCACGTAGCGTTCCGTGTCGTGGTAAGATAAGTTAAGGGCGGCCGGCCGGCTATTCCAGCGCAGGCGAAAAAGTGGCGAACAAAATACTACCTACTGGGTCAGTCTAGTCGCACTACTAAGGCCATGGGTATCGATATTAATTGATCAATATTGACTAAACGATACTGCTACGGTCGAAATTTAAAAGGAAATTGAAATTTATCTTGGTTGATCGTATACGTTAAAGAAATAAACTAAAAACAATTTATTTTTATTGAATCATAAATAAAAATGTGTATTTCTGTATAATCGAACGATGCTATGCTTGTGGTATATCGTGTTGTTAAACCTCGTTCCATTACTTTTGATAAGTGCTAAATTTAACGATCAGCAATCTAAATTCAGAGAAAACTTACGTATCGTAGGTGGTCGGGATGCATTGCCAGGAGAATTTCCATATGTTCTGGTTATTGGATTGAGTGTACTACTACCAAATAATAGCAAAATATATGAACCCTATTGTTCGTGTGCCTGCCTTAAACCAACTTGGACGTTAACAGCGGCGCATTGTGTAGAGTCTTCAAGGTCTCCCAACATTCCCGAGACCGCTGAGTCGGTGTTGCGATATCATAAAACCTCAAACGAGGTTGGCTACGCTAAAATACTGTCTATTTTCATAAATCCTACCTACACTGAATCCCCAAACTTCTGGCTCCATAACGACGTCGGTCTTTTAAAAACTGAATCTATCGACATACCCACGTACGGAAAACTAAGTGCTGTCGACTATACAACTCTTTATGGTTTCCAAATATTTGCGGTGGGCTATGGATTAACTGTAGACGATGAAGGCCGTATGAAAAATGCTCTATCTATTAATAAAACATTGCAAGTGGTGAATGCGGTCATTATCAAATGTAATGTGAATATCCATCCAGTTATTTGCTTGACCGGTGTGTGTGGCCGGTGGTCGCCTCTTTGTCCTGGAGATTCTGGAGGTCCCGTCATACATTCTTCCGGAATTATTGGTGTTAATTCGGCTTCAATCAGGGATCAATGCGAAAGCCGAAAAAATTCAATACCTAAAAATGGATTGGAAACTACCGTTGGCATGATTACGCCGATTAGCCCTTTTGTGAATTGGATCGTTAATGTTATAAAGTTAAATGAATGAAATTATAGAACCATGCGTATATACACCCATTCAAACCGTTTACACACTCCCTTCTTTAACAGATACTCTGAGATAATTCGAACATTTTACGAAATATATTGACAACTTTCCAAGACTTAACGGTTGGAAAGAAAACAAAGTTATAAATAAATATTGATCGGACTGGTTTTTGACGCTAAATAGACTATAAGCTTTTGGTTCGTTTAATTTTTTTTTTTTGATAAATACCTTTATTTTATATCGCATAGTTTTTCATAAGGCTCGAACCATGTTCTATAAGGGGCTGCGTAACAACCCGCTTATCTTTAAATAATTAATCATTACACTTTAAAGTATAGTAGAATAATTTATGCATAAAATATATAGTCTTTTGGTGTTTTCTTTTCAAGTATTATAGTTAGTTAATCAGTACAATGATTTATAGCATAAAATTTTATGTTTTAATATGTATATACTACCAAAAAAGTAAAGTAATAAAAATCGCTCCAGAGTCTAAGCATAAGTCCCAAAATTTGCTATGAGACTCTTGTAAACTGTTTGAAGACATAATTCATCATCATCATTATTTAGCCACTCTTTGTCCACTGCTGGATATAGACTTCTCCCAATTCGCACCACAATACACGGTCCTCCGCCTTCAGCATCCAGTCCCCTCGAAAACATAATATTATAGAAGATTGTAATAAATTCATCATAGTTAAATATGCTATCATTTTCATTAATGAAATGTTCCCATCACAATTGTCGGGCTAATGATATTTGAGATACCATCAAAAATATTATTTATTATTAAGTGTAAGTGTGGGCCCGTTAGTTAAGAAGTGAGATGGAGTTAAATAATTCATATCATCAGGATCTTTCGATAGGGGACATAATGTTCTGATATTCTAATACTACAAAAAGAAAATAAATTATTATTTTCAAAAACATCGTATTCTATACCAATTTTAACTGACTTGAGTAAGAGTAATCTGAATTAATTCTTATGTGTGTATATATATAAGGTATGAAATCAATCGCAGAAAACTCAAAGCCGTCGTTTGTTAATACAGTTCCTCGTTTCATACTATGATAAGTTGACACTTGAGTACTGAAACTGAGAACTGAAACTGCGTGTTAAAGAGAATTAAAACTCCTCAGCATTCCATGGATTCACCGGACGGGTCCCGTGTCATTCGTGTTGCTAGGAGACGGGCTTCAACAGTACCTGGGACTTGCGACCCAGGTGTAAGATTAAGAAGCCCCTATCTAACGCGCATTAAACGCTCACCTTCACCGTCCAAACTCCTCTTTCTACCTAACCAAAATTTTAATTGAACCTTCTAGGGCTGCTTTCGAAGTATATTACCTTGTAAGTATTGCACCAACCTAAGTCTATTAGTAAGTTGTAGAGAGATTTAACAGTTATTCCTCTTACTCCCACTTTTCAGCGTAGAAATTTACCTATTACTGTATTATATTACGAAACGAACCTATTTTTAGTGAGCTTGTCAGTGAGCTCGTAATACTTATTCACCTTGATGGCATGGTCTTTGGGGATGTTGGTCTACCAGGGAAACATAAGCTCTATTAACACAACGCGCTTTTATATTCCCGAACATAGAAATATGTCTGGTTTGGACATCGATCCATAAATATCCTCCCCGACTATACATGGTGTCTCGTATATCATTAATAATTATAGCTCAAACCAGGGCTGATTTAAGGATAGAGAAAGATTTGACGTTTGATTTAGTAGCCCTATAGCCTTGGGAGAGCCCAAAACTAATTGATTGACCGCTATCCAGGAGAACTCTACATCCCACTAGCAAATGCTTAGCAGTTCCAATTGCTTTCCCGAAGTTATAGCACATTTTTTGGTACCTTTACCCCATATTACTAAATTACTCTGATCTGGAAGAGTCATCTGCAACGCATAGAAATAATCTTTAAGTAGTGCTAGCGACCAATCATGAATTAAGGTTAATCACACTTTTCATTGCATGTATCTTTAGCATTATATTGCCGAACGTCCATGCCTGTCTAGTAGTTATGTGATGATCAACAATTTTGTTGAGTCGATGATGATGATTTAATTCAAAGAAAAGTACGACTTGTGTGTGTACATATAATACTAAGTTTAGTTTAGTTTAGTTTACAGGAGGCAATAAACAATGAGGCAAATCGAACAATAAAAATTAATTAAGCTAAGCACATAATACCTCACGTATACATGTTATACATTCAATCTGAGGTGGTACAGCTAATAGCCTAGCTGTGGTCAAGTTACTGTAGTTTTGACATATGCTGACTCGGCCGGGGAAATACCACCCTCCCACAGAAGATCGGCGTGAAGTAGTCTTCAATGGCTGCGTTTCTTCCGATTAGTGAGAGAGCCGGTTGCCCTATTCCTTCCTGTCCTTTCCCTTTCCCTCTCTCTTTCACCTTTCTTTTCTCCCCCTTTTCCAAAATCAAGGGTGGCAACACGTTCGCAAATTTGTGTTGCGGATATCTTGCTACCATTAGGTTTGTCTCCATTAGGTAGACCGTCTGCTCGGTTGCCCCTTTTGACATAAAAAAAAAACATATTAGCGATGTACAAGCATTTGAATTGGTATGTAAGTAAAACAACAAGCCACGACCGTTCCGAGTCGTGGTAAGATCCCGGTCGTAAGTCGTGGTAAGACTCCTTAATGGCGGCCGGCCGGCTGTTCCAGTGCAGGCGAAGAAATCGTGAACAAAATACTACCTTATGAGTCGGTCGGTACTGCTATGGTCGAAATTTAAAGGGAAATTGAAATTTGTTTTGTTTCATCGTATACGTTGAAGAAATAAAATAAAACTTATTTATTTTTATTGAATCATAAATAAAAATAAGTATTGCTGTGTAATCGAACGATGCTATACATGTGGTATATTATATCGTTGTTAAATCTCGTTCCATTATCTTTGATAAGTGCTAAATTTAACGATCAGCAATCCAAATTCAGAGAAAACTTACGAATTGTAGGTGGTCGGGATGCATTGCCAGGAGAATTTCCATATGTTCTGATTATTGGATTGAGTGTACTACTATCAAATAATAGCAAAATATATGATCCCTATTGTACGTGTGCCTGCCTTAAACCAACTTGGACGTTAACAGCAGCGCATTGTATAGAGTATGAAAAATTATTCAACATTCCTGAGACCGCTGAGTCGGTAATACGATATCATAAAACACCAAACGAGGTTGGCTACGCTAAAATACTGTCTAAAGTCATAAATCCTAACTACGTTGCCTCCTCAAACTCATGGCTCCGTAACGACGTCGGTCTTTTAAAAACTGAATCTATTGACATACCCACGTACGGAAAACTAAGTGCTGTCGACTATACAACTCTTTATGGTTTCCAAATATTTGCGGTGGGCTATGGATTAACTGAAGACATTGATGGTCATATGAAAGTTCCTATATTTATTAATAAAACATTGCAAGTGGTCAATGCGGTCATTATCAAATGTAATGAGAATATCCATCCAGTTATCTGCTTGACGGGTGTGTGTGGCCGGTGGTCTGCTCTTTGTCCTGGAGATTCTGGAGCTCCGGTGATACATTCTTCCGGAATTATTGGTGTAAATTCGGCTTCAAATAAGAATGAATGCGTAAGACGACAGAATTCAAAACCTGAAAATACATTGGAAACTGCCATTGGTATGATCACGCCGATTAGCCCTTTTGTGAATTGGATCGTTAATGTCATTAAGTTAAATGAATAAAGTGTTTTTTTTTATTATCAGACATCAATAACAGAAGCATTTGCATGAATATACATTCAAGCCGTTTACAATCTGCCTTCTTTAACAGATACTATGAGAAAATTCGAACTTTTTACAAGATAAAAGATATTAAAGACAAGATACTTAAAAGATAGTCAAAAATTTAATAGTTCAAAAGAAAATAACAGTTTTTTTTTTAATAATTGTATATTCCAAATAGACTTTTTATTTTTTATTGCAAATAACTTTTTCGTTCAATTTAATTATAGTTAATTTTTTATCGTAAATAACTAATATTTTACAGCATTTTATAGTTATTTATACTTAAAAAATTAAATAAATAATTTGATGAAGTTTTTTTTAAAGAATTTATTGTTATTTAAACAATACAATGTATCAATTCATTTATATGAATTGTTCTGAAAATAACATAAGTCGCAAAGTTAGTCATGAGCGTTTTTGTTGATTGGAATACATAATATTATAATATAAGATTTTAATATATCCCCCATGAGTAAAGACCCTGTGATTTGGATTGATGCAACGTTGCCATCAGAACTTTATTAGTATATTTTAACTTTATTATTTAACTTTATTAGCATAACTTCTACAACTTCGTATTTACTCACACCAATGTATTGTATTTCCCTTTTATTGGACGCACTTAATAAATCTGTAGGTTGTAGCCTAGTAAGTTAAGAAATTTTTCAATAAAGATTACGTAAAATTACCGTTTTATGCTTTAATTTCAAACTTCCTGTACTACATTCTAAATATTTATATTGTATCTTAATGTAATATGTTGCGACGCTTGTCCCTTATGAAGACTGAGAGCAGCCTGCATGTTAAATAATATAATAAATGTACTCATGCGATTTCTCTGACTTTTATTAGCAGACAGTGAGCTGAAGTTCTTGTCAATTGGGACACAAAAGATTGCTGCTATCAATTCAAAATGTCTCTGCACCGTTATAGAAGCTGATTGTGTGAGGTGTCGTTCTATCTTTACGAATATCGTAGTCAGCCACTTCATATATCTTGTATCGATAAGTGAACTAAACGAGATCTATTGAACGCAGTGGACGGTATCTCGTTATCTGAAAGATATCTGGGACGTAGCGGGAACCATATCTTGATGCACATCCAGCCAAATAGTAGTGTTTTGTTAAGTGATTTAATGTTGCGTGATCTTAATGTATGAGAAAGTATGGGATATTTTAATTATAAGGTGAGTTTACAAACTGTCGTTGCTGTCGTGTGTCTCTACGTAGAAATTTGAATGATTTCGTGTGACATTAAATAGTTCATGTAGAAAGATATAATTTTAACACTTTCTAAGTTCGTAGAATTATGTACAGAAATAAAATATTTTTTAACAGAACTGGCTAAGCTGGCGTTTGATTCGCACTCAATTGTACACTTTGGCTGTAAGTGCAGGCTTTAGTAGTAGTTGGCGGACTCCAAGGGAGGCGTTTCTGTATGGAGGTCTTAGTTTTTCTTTAGCGCAAACTGTAGCAGCGGTACTGGTTGCACTGCCGACCGTGTTGCTACAACTTGCAGTGGGCCAGCTCAGTCAGCAAGATGCTGCGGGAGTATGGAGAGCGGTTCCATTTTTTAAAGGTCAACATCAGTTTCTAAAGATTATGCTTCACTGCAAAAGTTCCTTATAAAATGTAACAGCAAAGTTTTTCATATAAAATAATATTTTTTTTCAGGCGTTGGCTTTTTACGGCTGTTGATATCTTTTGTGGGCTCCATTTACACTGTTATTTATGTCGGCATGTGTGTTGTTTATTTATTCTACACAGTGAACAATACCTTTACTGACTGCATGGAGTCAATGGCGATGGTAGGTTATGGAATTACTATAGCACATAATTTGTTAAATATTAAATATATAATACAATATCACCTATAACCATTATTAAAGATTATTTCTATATTATTTAAGTAGCCCACACAAAATCTTTAGTAGAATTATTAATACATTTTCATTAATTTATGTTTGCAGGATGATGTTTTGCAGGTTGAGAGCGATGTGTATGCAACTGCGTGTTCAAAGTAAATATATTGATTTGACTTCAATGAAGTTAAAATTGTTCAATAAAAAAACTTTTGACTGCGTAATTTTGTTCCAGCGGAACGTTTTTGGCTCCTGTTAATGAGCAACCAGAGTATTACGTAGCTCTTGCATTAATTATTGTTGTGCTTTGGACAGTGTTTCCTTTTATGTGAGTAATGGATTTAATTTATAGCCCTTTGTTAACACATTTTTTTTGTTTAACAATACCATCCTATTATGCTTAAATCATTAGCTATTGAGTGTTCATATTTTATTGATTATTTATTTTAATTACACAATCGGACTAGATGTTGTTTATGGCATTCGTTTGTTATTATATTTTATAACAAAGGTCTTTTATTTCTTTTTTCATTAACCACATTAATGAAAAACATTTCAGTTTTTACAATCCAGTAAAATTTATGAAGAGAATATTCTACGTTACTGGACCTTTAGTATATTTACTTGGAGTTATTATTGTATCTTTTATCGGTACGACCGAGGGTTTATCGTCTTTTACGGAAAGCGATGATTGGATTAACTTTTTGAGGCCTTACATTTGGTATAGTGCGTTAACTCAGGCTTTGCTTTCCACACAAACAGCTGGAGGCTATCTTATATCTTCCGGTGATACTCTGTATTCCGATAGCGATGTTCAGTAGTAAGTATTATTTTCGAAATTTCACTACAATATATTATAATTTGTATTAATGATTGTTTTTCTTTCAGTACATCTTTTGTTTTTGTCGCCTTCAATATCGTTTCATGTTGGATTGGGACATTGTTCTGGTTCGCTATAGGCGGAAGTGATGCCAAAGTCACCAGTAACGCGGCCGTGCTTGTACAAATATACAAGGTTACCATAGAACGAAATCTAAGTAACGCGTGGCCGATCTTGGTATATTTACTATTATTTATATCGGGCATTATAACCATGGTAAGCATAACACAGTATTTTTATATAATCGGTATTATATTCATACATACCTCTCTAAGTAATGAATGATTAAATGTTCATTTCACCTTATAAAATAATAGATTGATAGTCAAACAGTTGTTGGTTTTTGAATCAAACAGGATAATACGTGGAATAATTTCAGTGGAACAAATCGCACGCTTCCAGGTTACATTCCTGTATCCTTTGTATGATCGTTTTCGTCGCGTGGGCGGGTACAAATGGCGCTATTTATCAGTGGGCAGTTCGACTGTGGGCGTTGGGGCCGCTATGGCCGTGCTTGCTTTCGGTCACTCACCGCTAACTCTGCTTGAGGACATCGTTATGCCCCTCATGATCAGCCTCGCTACCTTAGTTGAGATATCCGCTTTTATATTTATTTATGGTTGGTAAAAGTTAGTACATAAATTAGTTTTCAGTTTTGCTTAGATTGTATACAAATGAACCTCCAATTTTGCTTATTGTAAATGAGTAATTGAACGTAAAAATTGTACTAATATGGTCGCAATATACATTGAAAACTTTTCCATATTAAAAACGCGAACTGTATGCTTAGTCCAACTTAATATCGTCACGCTATATGCGGTAACAGTTTTAAACTCATAAATCTCCGCAGACTATAATATTAACGTAGGTTGTCTAATGAGAAACGTGAAACGCTTCGTAAGTTGTATAACGCTCCAAATGTGGACTATGCATACTGAGCGGATTAGTGTGACTTCGGTTATTTTGAGCTCTACTAAGAACCACAAAGTTTATAAACGTCGATTATAATTTGCTTTGCAGGATGGAAAGTGTTGGTTGAGGATATTGAATTTCTTACTGGGTACAATCTTCGCAAGTACTGGGTGTTAGGATGGTTCCTTGTCATCGGAGTACTTGCACCGTTCACAGCCTGGTGGACAGCAGACTGGTTTATTGACACACCTAACTGGACAGAGCCTCCTTGGGAAGCGACGAGCATTGTTATAACTGCGGGCTTCTTTGTTGTATCATTTTTAATTTTTGCTGCTATATCCATTTCAAAACAAGTCCAATATGATTTCATGGGGGTAAGATATAAATATTTAACATGTTGTTCATTTGTTATGACCTCGCTGTGCGAATTTTTACGCGCTCGTTGAATGCGAAGTGGCCGATTTTCCCTAAACACTAGTCTAGGGGCGACCTTGTGTAAAATGAAAATTAACATAAGACTTGCGTTTTGGTCACTTCCTTGTATCATTTTAAGGAAGTGGATTGTTTTGGTTTACAGAAATTAAAATCGTCATTTAAACCTTCGAGGCACTGGGGTCCTCGGGACCCCATAACCCACTACTATTGGCTGGCTCGTCGTGAGGGGAGCCGCGATGTCCCGCACCCGGTGCATCGCCGTCCAGTTTTAGGAGAATTTTCAGGAGCATCAAGCTTGGCTACCATTATTACCCCATCCGAAGATTGTGTTCATGAAACTAAACGGCGATCGAACTCTGACGATCAGGTCGTCGTGAACAGAAAACAATATAACGCGGAATTAAATCAAATTAAAAGCGCCTTCCAAAAACGTCCTAAATCCTTAGATTGGAATTTCTCGACCAAAAATAATATTAAAAATAATCTTTTCATAAAAAAGAGTCACGATTTAGAGAGAAAGACGCACCCAAATGAACCGATAGTTATTATAAAGGAGATGAATAATAATACTATTTCTTTAGAATCTTTAGACATTTAAATGTTTTGTGTGAATCGAAGAATACAATTGTATGCAAGTTGTTTTTATCTCTAGTCACGTTTTAAAATATTGATTAGGTACGTCGTTAAATTGTAACGGGAAGTACCTTCATTGATTATAAACAATGTGAAATTAAAGATGGTTGTTCTGAAGCGTTTAGATGTTACATAATTAATAAAAAAATATTTAATAACATTCTCAATAAGAAACAAATCGTGTGTGAAAATTTTGTATCAAATAAGATAATGTTGTGTTCTGTTTAAATATACTTGCAGTGGAGAAACGTGCTGGGATACTGTGTTTACTGCAAGTTACCCTTGACATTTCCCATAATCAATACACTTTCATTAATTTGCTCTTGCATTTGTATCTACGTATTCAGATATTAATTATGTATTGCAGAACCGGAACAATCATTGTTATATTGTACTACTAAGTTATTTATAATACAAAAGCAACATCCATAGACACGATAAATCATATTTCTTTTATTTACAACCTTTTACGTCTTTAATTCTTATATCCCAAAGGAAGGAAGACTCATATGGCCTCGAAGTGGTCTACGTGATATTTGTTCCTCTCTTCTGACCTTCCTACAAGAAGATGACTCCGTAACGCCATAAAAGTTTGTCTATCCTTTGTCACTATATTTTATGCTACTTAAATATTCCACACAAGTTGCTTGTGCGTCACTTAAATGATGTAGTGAAAAATAATTGCTCATTTAGTTGCTTTTTCGTGTGGCATTTGATGTAATTGTACGGGCTTCATATCTATAGCGCATTAACAGGATTTTTTTGATATTTGCAATTTACATTGAGACGAACTCATAAAAAATTATATCGTGCCTACATATTGATGAAAACATTAAATTGTGTTTAATTATTTTAACTATACTTTAATAATAATAAATCTGTTCATTATCTTTTCATTATCTCTGTAAAAATAAACTACGTTTTTCTCGTTACCTTAAGTCAAGTATGGGAATAAAACAAGTAGTATATAAGTTATAAAATATTATAATTAATTAGTTTAGCTATTGATTTCTTCGAGCATTAATTTAAATCACGTTAAATTTAGAAACCTGACCAAAGAAAGAACGCAGATGAAGCGTCAAATATAATATTGGGAAGTATATTTTTTTTCTTTAGATTGTCATCGTTTTGACAAGTGATCGTAACGAGGTCAACAATGTTTATTGACGTAACGTTTAAATAACTTGTTAGCCATGAAAGGTTTTGGTTACAAATGCAGTTTATAATATCTCTAAATTAAAAGAAAAAAACTAATATCTACTGCATTAGAATTAAATATCTGAACACATTTATAAGATAGGCACAAATACGTATATTCTATGTGTGGAGATTTATACGGCATAAATTGTTTTCTTTTAAAAAGTATGTAACAGTATTCAAAGTAAAATATTTGGAATTTTCTTAAGTCCTAGTAGGCTAAAATTTCCTAGTAGTGCTAACTTCAAAAAACTTTATTTAAGTGATAGATTTTAGAGAGGTCTACTTTGATAAAACTGTGTTTAAATACTTTGATACAGCTCTTTATCTATTTCTTTTAAGTAGTAAAGAACAAATTTATGTTTTCATTTAATGAAAAAGAATTACTGTTTGTATAGAACTAAAATCCTTATCCGGTATTGAAAGGATAACATGTTGAATGCTTTATATATTGAAATATAAAAATGCTGACCGAAGCTAGATTAGACTTCTGCTCCTACATATTATAAAGAGAGTAATTAAAGATTTAATTTTTATTACAGTAGTGTCTTTGTAGATTTATAATAGTTTATGGCGAAATATTTTACAATATTTATATATGTATAATATAATGTTATTGCTGTTAAATCTGTGTAGATCAAGCAATTTGTTTGATGTATATCAAAAAATAAAAATTACTTTCGATCCATGCTATTATAACAACCTTTTCTATGGGCCCAGCTAATTCGGGGACAAATAAAAAAGAACTTATTAAAAATAAATGTCTTCAATAATGTCTATCATCTTGGATAATTATTTGATTACAAGAAGAACTCTCACTAAAAGTTTTTCGAAGGCCAGACTTTGAGTGAAATTCATTAAATCCTATCAGCTAAGTAAATGAAAACTATTAATATTAATTTATAACATCATAATTTTAAATTTCATTATCTTCCTGTATCTGTTCTTATTTTTGGTTTTTAAGTGAGTGCATCATCACAAGGCGAGATTTTATAAACGAGAAGGTCAAATTTGACCGCAGGAACCTTAAGAACCTTAAATGAATCGCATAAAATGAATTTATGATGCATCCCAAAAACTATAGTATGAATAATATCACACACACACACACACACACACACACACACACACACATACAATCAAACAATATATATATATATATATATATATATATATATATATATATATATATATATGTTTTATTTAGATGAATTGCTTATGTACATTGTTATAATATATACTTTTGTATTTTTAAACATAATTAATTTCTTCAAAAAGGCACTTGTATAGCGTAATAAAAATAAATTTACTATCTAATAAAATGTGGAAAATGTTATAAATTATTGAATTGTTTACTCCGTCTATTAATAATTTATTTCGATATAAATTGAATAGTTATTAAAATATATCTGTTTTAATTACGACAATTAACGTCGACGATTTATTACAAATAAATTATACTTTTAATCCGTTTCTATCTTGTGAATTTCTTTATATACGTATATTGTATCTACCTTTATATTATTATCATAAAACAGAATTTAAAGCAGTAGTAGTCGGTGATAGCATTTAAATTTATAAAGAACTTCAATTAGATTTCTGGAATCTGGTTTGTTGGTATGGATTATGGAGTCACCACGCTACGTCGTCCCTAATTTAACGTGATCGGCAAAACTGTCGGCGTATGCGCATTCGTGTTTGAAACTGCGTCCGAAGCGGATCGCTTTGCGGTTACGGTCGTGCGCGTTATTGAGAGGCTTTATATTGTGTTGTGTACATTCAGTGATGTCCAAGGATAGCCCCAGGTTGGGCAGGCTGGGTGTGTTAGCGCCCGCCGCGCTATCGGCTTGTATGGATGCTTCTGTATTGGCTGTACCCGCCGCTGGTGCTATAGTATCCACAGTCCTTAAGGAACTCAGCAAGGCTTTCATGTTAAAAAAGTGAGCACTATCATATACACTAAAAAACAGAATTAAATTTTTGTGTTATATTTAAGAAACTTAATTTCGGTTGGCAAAAGATACGAGCGATATGTTTTTCATTATCATTTAACTAATTTATTTTTATGTTCACTTTTGGCAATATCTGTTTTGGTGTTTTGAAATGTAAATGAAGGTTGTGATAAAAATAAACAAGCGTCTCAATAATATGTTATTCACAACGTATTTACTTAAAAAGCTCATTTCAAAAATATTTATTTTAAACCGATGACTTACTAAAAATGTTTTAGTTACAGATTTAATTACTAAAATAATTTGGAAATATATTCCGCTCGAATTTAGCTACCTGAGCTGTCACGGGATAAGTCCTCGTAAAATAGATATAAAAGGAAGCTTAAGTAACTACTTATTATTTAAGTTCTTTGCTAGCGTAAGCCTCATCAAAAATGGTTCAGCCGTTTTAGATTTTAATCATAACAAAGACAGACAGTCAGACAAAAATTATTAAATTTTTTCGGTACCCTGTATACTATATTCATATAAATGAAATAAAAAATGGATACATTAATGTTACAAACGGATATTATAATTTTATTTCCTTGCATACATAATTTATTGATTAAGTTGCAACATTTCTTTTAAATAATTAGTATATATTGAGTCATTCAACCTTCTTCTTCTGATCAATCGTAAACGTCACTAGCTGGAAATAATTAAAGCCTCATTAGTTTTCTGTTGGCTCGATATTTTCTAAGCTCAGCTTAGCTCATGCAAGACACAAGATTAATATTTTTGATTCTTTTTGCTATATCGTCTATCGAAATAATAGATAAATTTTATTCCTTTCATTTCGATATAGCTAACATACCTGTCTTGTTTACCTGCATTAATGATTGCAAAGATGTTTATGTATGGACTGCTTTATTATACTCTGAAAATACTGTACTTAAATATGACACGCAATAATTATTTTAATCGAGGTTCCAATATAACTAACTGTGATCCCTTTGTAGATTATCAAAATTATACCCGTTTTTTACTCCCCAATGTTCTTTTTTTACTTACACATTATAAACCTAATTATGTTTACAGATTTCAATAAATTGATGGTTAAGATATGAATTAAACACACGAATAAAACTATTTTATAAAGGGAATTATTATGAGAATCTTAGTTAGCACAGATTTTAACATTATCCTTAAGGATCAAAACTAATTTAAAAAAAGGAGATACATTATAAAATTATTAGACCGTAATACCGTATGTTTTCTCATTTTTTCTCTTTATGATCGTGTAATCAAAAATAAACATTATTTAAAAAACTTTATAAAAGTATTCTTAAAATTACTATATATAAAATAAATTAAATTAAGCAATTTAATTTACGTAAGTTTTCAATTTACTTTATAATCTATATATGCAATGCAATATATAATTATAAGATTCACATTCACAGTAAAATCTAGGCTTGTTTGTGATGCATAATTTATAGATTGACCATATTTATCGATTGATCACATCGGCTTGTAATAAACATTGACCGATCGAAGCGTCGTTTCTTTATTTAATTATTTACTTATTTAGAATGCATTTCAATAATAGAGACGTCAGTCTTTTCAATTAATTCCACTTTAATTTTGTCTTAATATCACGTTTGTTTACAGTTGCATAATTTTTCTTATTTAACTCTCATCCTTCTATAATATATATTTTTTATTCCAGCTCTGCGGCGTTGCACAATCACATAGCCATTACGAATGCAATATTTTAAAAACTTGTTTTTATAATTTTATAATAGGAATTTATTTAATTGAAATAATATCTTATTATTTACCTATAAATGTTTACGTGATTATGAGTGACATAATGTAACACATGTTCTATGAGTTAAGTTATAATGATGAACAAAGTGACGAAATTTAATGATAAAATAAATAGCATACTTCCTAATGTGGTGTCGGTGAGTAAATTCGTGACGAAACCTGAGTGGAAGTGGGGGCGGTACTAACGTCGTTCACCACAGTATATTACTTCTACAGGCACCGACTTCCTCAAAACTGACCTTATATATATTAAATATTTGCTATCTATTAAATAATTTTTAAGGAAGTTATTAGAATATCACATTTAAGTACAAAGTAAGCGGCATTGCTGACGGATTAATGTCAATGTTGTACTGATCTTTTATTTGTTACAGCATTGACTTCTTGGTTGGTAATCTTTTACAATCCAATCTCATTTGTACGTTGCTTTAACTAGTTTAATGTGTTTTCTTCATTGAATATGCATCTCTCAAGAAATGCATACAGATTTTAATATGTTGTATAACTTTATAATCATCACTTACGATAGTATGATTAATGCGTGTAACTGTGAAAATGATCGAGCGTTTTTTTCCTCCGTTCATTAAATTTCAACGATGTCAATGAACTGCGTTGATTGCATGTGAAAACTACTTATAGCCCCTGGTGTTGCTTCGAAGAATTGCAAATTAACATACCCTATGTTGGTGTGGTTGAAATATTTTTTAAATATGAGTAATATATTAATCAAATGTATTCAAATTTTCTATGATATATTACAAGTTTAAAAATCACAAATAATATATATATATATGAATATGTAATCGTTGTCTGCGGGTATTACTTAGCCTTATCGAGTTTATGCTAATTTTACGTATTGACGAATTCTTAATTTTATTGCCCTTTATCAAAAAACAAAAAATGTGCGTAAAAGTCTACCAATTAATGGGTTTTTGAATAAATTAGCGTTTATATTTGATTTCCTATAACTATGTAAACGTCATACGTGCATATCCTTGACGGGCGTAAGAACCAAATTTAATGTCATTTATAAATAAAATAATATATGTAAAAACCTTGATACATTGAAAAATATGTATTTTTTAACGTACGAAATTAGAATAACACTGAAATAATTCTAGTAGATTAAAGAGGGTTGATGTCAGGCAGGCGGCCGGTCGTAAAAACAATTAGCCAAAACTATTCACAACTTGTAAGGCAGACCATGGCTAAAGCTGGGAAATTGCCAGGTAGAAGAAGAATCCTAGTAGATTAAAAATTAAATAGCAAATAGTAGTTACAAGTTATTGTATTGATGTACCTAACTCAAAATCATTGTAAACTACGCACATACAGTATTCCTTCACCGTGACTATCATTCAAAATTAGTCTGTCAGAAGAAAGACGAGAAAGGTCAGTGGTGGCTCAGTGGTTAAAGGCCCGCCTCTCGGCCTCTCGTCGCGGCCGAGAGGCGGGCGCGGGTTCGATCCTGACCCGGGCAAGTACCAATGTGATTTTTCGGAATCATATGTACTTTCTAAGAGTATTTAGACATCACTGATTAATGTTGATTCCCAAAAAGAGGGTTGATGTCAGGCAGGCGGCCGGTCGTAAAAACAAATAGCCAAAAACTATTCATAGCATGTAAGGCAGACCCTGGCCATAGCTGGGAAATTGCCAGGTAGAAGAAGAAGAAAGACGAGTTTACTTATCATCAGTTCACTGTATTTAGTACGTGTTTACGAAAACTAAAAACCTATAGTTTCATGGTTACACGTACGCAACATGTATTTGGATTTTATCTACTAAGAACAGTTTTGTTATCATTATTATAATAGCAATAATGGAGGCAAATTACTCATAAGTATTTTTTTAACGACCTATTTTATACAAGTACTATATTTAAAATATTCAAGCTTTCTTATTTTGATATTTTTTTTCTTTTACTGTGGTAATGAATTTATCGTGTTAAGTATTTGTACCTACCAAACCGAGAATAAAACACCAGTTCCAATAAGAAAAAATGTGCAAAATAGTATAGTTCAACGTGACGTGTATAATTCCAGGATTCTTATATTAAATATAAAAAAATATACCTATACTGTTCTTTTTTTGCTAGAATAATATACAATTTAGCTAAAATTTTAACTACTTCGCTGAGGTTGAAATTATAAAAACTTTAACTTCATTTGAATTCAAATATACGAATAAATATTGTTCACAGACAGCCATAAAATCTTTTCTGTATGATTTTTTTTATATCGACAAGTCCTTTTGAAGTCTCGTTACACGTTTCGGATAATAGCACCGCAATTTCCTGACAAGTGGTACGTTCAGGGAGCTAGTTCTTAACAAGACGTTAATTGCTCGAAGGTAGCGATGAAAGAATATTTTTGTATACGTATTTAAAATTCCGATATAATTATTTAAATTATTATAGTTTTTTATGTTGCAATTGATATAATTTTATTTCGGTGTTAACTATACAGAAAACGATTATTCTGTGTGCACAAAAAATATTTTTTTTTACAAATCCATACTTTAGGTTTTTTCTTTACAACTCGTATTTGTTGTAGCCTAATTACATTATTATCCACAGAGGCAGAAGACGTACGAAAAACAATAATATTATTATTCAATAATATGAAATTTAATATAAGCCCTTTGCCAAAATTTAAAACAAAATATCATTCCGTTGCATGCAAACGGTCGCAAGGTATTGAGTCGCCCGACCGGTTTGAAAAGAGATCCTCCTTTATAGTGAACATAATAAAATATATATGGATCACAACTTTTGTTAACAAAAATATTTATCACTCTCATTATAGAAATATAATTTTTTTTTGACTAAACGTTAGAACACAAAAATTTAGGACGAAATTCTTGTAAAACGAAACGTCAGCTATTATATACCGAAGCTCGAGTCATTAAAATCGCATGAGGCTTATTCTAAGAAACAGATAAACTTACAAGTTACAACCTTCAAACCTATAATTTGTGAGTAAAATGACTATCTCTGGGAAAACCGATTCCAAATACTCCATTCATTAAAAACCGAATTCTATACAAGATAAAAACCACTACGCCAAAGCTCGATGCGTGACGTAGTTTGAGGAAAGGCAGCTATTATTTTATATAAATTATAATTTGCAATTATTGCCATTTCTACAAGGAAGTTACAAGTTATTACTGCAATTTACTACGTCAACGTAAATGCATATAAGATGGGTAGTTTTCATCGATTATTCCATTTATTATTGAAAACATGTTTTCTACTGAAGTTCAGTACGCTATTGGTTAATAGTAATTAATGTATCTGTTGTTTTGTTCTAGATGGTTCCATGGCGTTATGTCAGCTAAGGAAGCCGAGCATTTGATGATGGAGAAGGGTCGGAACGGGTCGTTTCTGGTGCGAGAGTCCCAGGCTCACCCTGGCGAGTACGTACTATCTGTGCGTGTGAGAGGTCGAGTCAGTCATGTTATGATCAGGAAACAGGTTAGTGGATAATCCTTAAAAGGAAACATTATTATAATACCATTAATACTTTTTTTAAGTTTTGACGTATTTAAAGTTCAATCAAAGCCGATATTAAGATGCTCATTTTGGTATTATTTTTACGATTTTCTTTAAGAAGCGGACATAGTGGGTGATCTTGATAAACAATAGTTATATAAAACCTTATTTTTTACTACAAGTCTGTCTTGGAATCGCGTGCTATTGTAATTTCCTACTAGTGACACAACGAGGGAAATACTACAATATTAGAAAAACAGAAACATGTTGACTTCACGAAGGATTCCAATAACATTGTTAGGGGGCAATAAAATATTTCTAAAACATTAAAAAATAACTACAACAATAGAACAGAAAAAATGATTTCTCAAAATTTTAATAACTACATATTAAAATTAAGCTTTCGTAGCAGAAAAACTCGGTAGAAAAATTATTATTTTTTAAATAGGGCTGTAAAATTAAAATGTTGAAATTATTTTCAAATGTTTTTATGTCATATCAAATCTTATTGTTATGGATATAATCTGTTATAAAAATTCATACGTAGGTATAATATTTTTTGCTCATTACATATATATGATTTAGTTACTCCTACGTAGTATTGAACAAGTTTTAGAACACTTTTTGTTGATATGGATTTTGTTTTGGATTACCATTCTTTTAATGTGATGATGTTAAAAAAATCTTTAAGCGTAATGTAATATTATGATAATAAACAAATAAATTGCAAAATAATAAAGTACCTTTTGAGAAAGATTTCATATTTAGTCTCTAGACTAAAGAGTGGAACTGTTATAATTAACTTTTAAACCATATTTTAGTGGTACTTTAGTCGGATTATTTTAACACGCATTTTTCAGAATCATATTCTTTGTTATGTGCTAATGTATGGGAATGGTATACAGGATTGTATCGTGTATTGACTTTTATGGAAAAACGTTTTGCTAAGTTCATCGATAACGAAATCGAGCCAGTGTAGGATGCAGTGCGTGGGTGATTGCGAGATCCAATATAATAATCATTTTATTAACTTAGATTGCTTAATGAGGCAACAGATAGTAATATATATATTTTTTTATCACTACAGTTAAAAATTTATAATAATTATTATACGATTTTTAAAATGTATATACGAATTTAAAATATATACGAATCTAGACGAGAATCAATATATAAAATATACTCCGTACATTCTTTTTTCTTCAATACAAGTAGAAACAATTCTAGATAATAATCAATATAGAACCTAGGAATACTCTTTTTCGTTCAATAAAAAAGTGAATAATAATTGGAAGAAGACGTCGTCTCACTTTAAAAATCACGTTAAAAAAATATCATGTGAATAAATTGTTTTGTTTGTTATGTTTAGAGTTGTTGTCGTGAAAACGTTAATACATACACTGATTAATATTCTACTACAGAACTTACTACCACCTTTAATAACTAAATAATTAAATTAAAATCAATGAGTATACATTTAAATAAACATTTTAATACTTACTTTTTTACATTAATGAACAGCTAGCAATTTTTTTAAACTCATTGAACAAAACTTATAAAGTTTCTTGTCTCACAAATATTCCTTTTTCAATATATAGAAGATGATCTTAATTAGTAATTTAAAAAAAATATGTGTTTAAAAATTATAAGAAACTATACAGGGATCAAATATAAGGATCAGATATTTATTTAAAAAAAACACAACTACAGCGTTGCTTAACATAAAATCGTTTTCTTATAATATTAAAGAAGATTTAAACTTGCCAACCGTCATTAATATTAATAAATCATTATTATCATATTGTTATAAATAAAAAAAATAGTATATAGCATGGTATTAAATAGCACGTGTAATAAAAATTGTAATTTATCAATATATTGCACATACATGCATGACATAAAGTCCGCCTAGTTAAAATGCAACTGATTGTTGACAAGGAAACGAATAATTCAATGAACATTTTAATTATGTCACTTTATATATACATTATGTTTGAATAAATAGTACGTTATGAAGTATAGTGGGAATCATAAATGTAGTCAGTTTCGAAGTTGTAGTACTTTATTCCTTAGTAATGAATGACTTAACATGTATGTAATCTTTTTTTGCTGAAGGTTCATTGAAATGAAATTTCATTCAAACAAGTTGCTTACTAATATTGTATATAAAAAACTAATTCAGAATGATTTTATATATTATTATCCTGGCAATTTCCCAGCTTTAGATAGAATAGTTTTGGCTAATTTTTATTTACGACCGGCTGCCTGCCTGACATCAACCCTCTTTGAGAATGCATTAATCAGTAAAGTCTTAATACTTTTAGAAAGTAAATGACTCGGAAAAATCACATTGGTACTTGCCAGGATCGGACCCGCGCCCTCATGCATGAGAGGCGGGCATTTAAACCAGCAGGCCGCCATTGACTTATAAAATGATTTTATATATAAATATTTAGAATGTTTTTTAAAGTATTACACGGTGCGATGGGCTATCACTTAGAATTTTTAATAAGGCAGCCCTAATTAAATAAAACAAGAGTTTCATATTATGCAGTTAGTATATGTGTATATATAAAAGAATTATCATATACCATCAGTTAATCCCATATAAGTCTCAACTTGATTTGGTAGACCGATCTCTAATTCTTAGAAGTAACAGTGAGTCAATAGTTCATTATGTACGTGACTAACTTTGGTTCTTCTGGAAATGTTGTTTAAATATTCTACGTTTCCAGTTTCATTGCTTTTCCAGTCATATTTGAAATTTTTTAACCTTCCTGTATAAAAATTCCATTCCAACACAATTTATTTCCATTCCAGAAACAGAATCATAATAATCGTTTCATTACCTTCCTTAAATGTTCCATATATTTATTTACATTTAAAATCATATCCATATGATATAATTTTTGGGTGAAAAAATACATTTAACATATAAGTGATACATAATTTATGTACCTTTTATATTTTACACGGTGAGTCTCATGTTCAACAAAGAAAAATAAATGCATTTTTTATTTAGTAATTAAGTTATGACAATCGATGGGAAAAACGTAAAACCCTGTATTTGTGGTAATCAATTACGTTCAATTTTAATAGGAGGGTTTTACTTTCCAACATCTAATGTTTGAAACGTTTGTTTTCCTTTGAAAATTAACAAAAATAATAGTTATGATTGTATATGGATAGCTTATATGAATCAAATTGGTAGATAGCAGAAAAATTTTGCTAATAAATATATATTTTGAAACTCTCACGAAGTTATTGGTAATAATGTATTATTGACAATGTTTTTTCTATTAAATAGTTGCATCACGGATCTTTTTGTTTATCTATTGTTCAAATAATATGACTTCTTAATATATTAATCAAGTAACTTTACTGTTTTAATACAATTCATAATATATAATGATTATGTTTACAGTAAATAAATTTCAGTATAACTTATTACTTGCTTGTCTTAATATATAATATAAGTTAGTCACATTAATAAGAATTATATAAAAACCTATTGATTTGTAATGTTTATTGCCTTGTTATTTCTTAACATGATAGAATAACATGTTTTAATTACTTACATTTTTATAAAACACGTGTTATTATATTTTAAATATATATATATATGTGATAATTGCATATAATATTATTTAATTCTCAGGTAACTATGATAATTTTTCCTTTAAATTAAAATTTATCTTTTATTCAACATTGTAAGCATAAATATGTATCCGTGTTATGTGGATCACTCGCATAAATTGCACATTGATTCGGGAAAATTTGGTGCAACTACACTCCTATCAATTTATACTTTCCTGGTAGAAAGTTAAATAAAAAACTTCGTCTATATGTACTTTAATTTCTTTTTTTTGTTTTCAATGTCTATTTTATTTTCAAATTTAGTCGAATGTTCCTCATATTTTAATGCAGGCAGCGTATAATTTTATTTTTCTTAAATGCGCTTGGAGTTACTGAATATGACATTAATTTATGTAATTTTAATACAGGATGTAAGTATAATATGCACAATCTACTGATAATTAATTAATATATAATTTGCTAGATTTATAGGACTGTATAAGATACTGCAAGCAATGTAACATGTACCTTCTATGAAACTTATGCATTCCTAGTACTCACTATGAGTTCAGTTGCACTTTTATATATGCAGTTTCTCAAACAGGTCTTAGGGGAAATTTAACAAAATAAGGTTTATTTGGTATTTTTCTTACAATATTTACTGAAGACGTACCCTAGTCAAAAAAGTATCTCACCTTGCAATTAATTTTGATAATTTATAGTGTAAATAAATACACAAAAATTAATTCAAAATAAAAAGAAAATTTTTTGATATATTAAAAACAAAACCAAATAAAATAGACCTTTATTGATTAACTTATAAAGTCAAACTTATTTATTTATTACTAGGGGTTTTTTGTAAATGCATGTGTGTATCCTACGTGCATACGGCGCTCCGAAGTGCAACGCTCCTACTAGGAATCCAGCAATGTGTAGGAGTTGTAAGTTATCACTTAGCATGCAGCAAACCGGGACAAAAAATCTATGTCGTCTAGACTTAATATAGATCACGGGTGCATATAAAGATGTAATAAAAGAAGTACGGGAAGTTTTATTTTAACTACATATACAATTTTGTACAAAAGATTAAAATTCATACATAAACTCCATAACAATAACAGGGCGGTAATTAAAAATTGAATATTTTCTGACATTGATTGATATGATAGAATATTAGTTTTTTTTATTGTCACTATATTAAAAAAATGTTTTAAAAGCGAAGCTTTATTACTTCTATAAATCATTTAATGTCACTTGCGTTGTGCTTGAAATCCAAATTAGGTTAAGATAATTAATTAATTACAATTGCAACTTTGTTTTCCGTATAAAATGCATCTGTTATCTCGTAAATGTTCCTATAGAAGCGTCACTTCATTGTATTGCAATTGTACTAGGAGAACAGAAATCGAGAGAGCTAAATCATGACATGCGCGATAAGTCTGGATAGAAAGCTGTATAGGTCATTAGTGCACTCAGTATGACCTAACTTCACTCGCTAGTTGTTTAGGTGCGAAGTTGTGTCATGCATCCGCAGAGTGCATATATTGCAGCAATTTTACTAGGAGACCATATCAGCGGTGGAGCTAAAATGTCTAGTGATTGGTCAATCTACAGACGTGAATATAGGAAATGCATTGTGCATCTGCGCAAATTTGATGTGCGCCGCTTTAAATAGCCGTCAGTAGTCGAAAAGGTGTTAGCTGAAGATAGGGCATTCGTTTTATCTAGAGTGACTTAAATAGTAATAAGGTGAGTAAAAAATCTAATGATTGTTAAGGAAATGTGAGTAAACACGATGACTAGTTAATACTCACTAAGTAATGCAACGTTATAAGCGTATGTAAATCGTGTTTTAGCAGGTATATATGAACTTAAAAGGGGGGTCGCTTCTAAATATGACATTATCGATTTTAGTGTAGAAAATTACTAGAATACTTCATAATATTTCTCCTCAATATTTTATTAGACCTAATAAACACAAATCATCTCTTATAGAAGCCGGATGTTTTGAGAAGAAAATACTCAACCACTTTGACATTAAAATTACTATACTTAGATGAAATAAATTAATTATAAGTTTTAAAACATGACGCTTATATGTAATTTTACTGCAAAATCCGCCTTAGAATCTATAAGTGACGTGTTTTTAAATGCATGATAATTCTAAGATGCTCAATTTTATGTCTTAGTTATCGTTGTAAACAAGTATACTAATAAAGTATCTAGGTAGTTAGTGTGTAATGAATAAAATAAGGATATTCTTATTTTTGATTGCGTTATAACCATTAATTAATAGAGTAGGGTGAAGCATATATATTTATATAATATGTATTTTTCAAGGTAAAATATAAACTATATAATATTGTTTAAAGTAATTTAATATAATTTACTACCATGATATGTAATGGTGGTTTAATGTGAACAATTTTACGATTAGTATGTATATCAAACGACATAACAAGTCCTTAATAATTCCAGCGACTCAATGCACTTGTTGATAATCGTACAACATAGTGGTTTTTTTTTCATACCTATATATCACTATTGAATATGATTTAAAATATCCTAAATGCAGTTAGGTAGTTTTTTTAATGCCCTATTTTAAAGTAATATTGTAAACAAAATATACGATAATACAAAACTTATAAGCAATAATTTGAAAGATAAGATTTTATATTGGTATCATTATATACAAAAGGGCATCGGTTAATTGGCACCCACTTATGTAAATTGGAATATAATTTAGGGCTTACTGATAAGAGAATTGAAGTCAATGATACTAGTAAATAAATATAGAGGATTACCTTGTTAAATACAATTAACCTAATCTCTTTAATTTTGACGATGTATATATAAAAAACATGGTTTTCCCGCGACTTCGTTCGCAATAATTTCGGAATTAGTAATATATGTATAGCTGACCGGGCGAATTTTATTCCCCCCTAAAGGCCATACATAATTTATATCAGATATTGGAATTTTTTTGGTTTTCTTTTCCGATCGAACAGAAATAAATATCCTATTTCCATCTCCTGGTTTTAAGCTATCTCTCCAGCAATTTTCAACTATGCCCTAACAGCCGTTCTTGAGTTATAAAAAGTTCTAACTAACACACCTTTCTTAAATATTATATGTAATTAATTTGCAGCAAAACAAATACGACGTAGGCAGCGGTGAGCAGTTCGATGATCTGGTGGGTCTGATAGAACATTTCCGATCCTATCCCATGATAGAGACATCTGGTGACGTTCTACGTCTTCTGCAACCAGTCAGCGGAACCTGTCTCCGCGTGCATGATATAGATCAGAAAGTACAGGTGAATATAATAATATTAAGTATCTTGGAAATTTAATTAACATCAGCAGTGTTCGAGAATATATTATGGATTAAAATTAATATCCATAGTTTGATATTGATTGACAAATCAATGGCTTTTAGTTCATACTTTTAAATGTATCGTAATTAATTTTAGCAAATGGATAATTTCCAAAAACCCGATCAGAGAAACGGTTTCGACGGCGAATTTCAATCGTTGAAGATGGTTGAGGACATGCACGTATTTACAACGACCGAAGGCATGAAGGCGGAAAATTTTAATAAGAACAGATATCGAAACATTTTACCTTGTAAGTATAAGTCTCGGTTTGATAATTATGTATCTCACTAATGCTTGTAAGTTACTACCAATAGATAATAATTACATAAGGTAACTATGATTTATGCTATGCTATGTTTTGCAGCGAAATTATTACTAAATATTGTTGTGTCTTACGTATTTTATGCTCTGACTGAAGACAATTGTTTTTGGTATATTTGGTTTAATGTAAAGGTTGTAATGGTGATATAATGTGTCTAAATTTTCAGATGACCAGACGCGTGTGCTACTGCGTGGACGTGACGGTCGCACTGAGTCAGACTACATTAATGCTAACTACATTCGTTCGTCCAGGCTGAGTGATTCCTCTAGTTCAGTACAATCTTCCAACGAAAGTCTGAACAGTGTCAATTGTAAGTATACTATCAATTTTACCTTTTTTCTAAGTAGCATTATCACTTGGTGTGTTAATACTAAACATACCGTTACATTAATTAAATGAAAATAAAATTGGCTTTCTATTACCTTTTGATAAAATTTATACTTTTATTTCATTGAATTTGTAAGAGACTAAGCATCATAAGTAAACTTTAGTCATCGATTTTGACAACACAAGTTCAAGCCAATGAGCAATGTTCGTATAGGTTTACCTACCGAGTGTAGGAATATTACCTTCGTCGTCTCAAACCACGCCACGTTAATGCCATACTAATGAAGTCAACTATTCTATGGCATACATGAACCACATCTAAATAATTTAAACACGAGTGCCTGTAATCACGTAGTCCTTTATTTATATCGGATCTTATTTATATTGACAGAATGACTTTGTGATGCCATACCTTGTTTATATTTCTGTTTCCGTGAAGGCCATTATTATTTTTATATAAAATACCTATAATGCATTGCACTGTGTTTATATACCTACATATAACTTTATAAATGTATGCATTAAATTAATTTATATTTCAGCTTTAATTCTTGGTCTTGACACAAAGAGAACAGTTCCGCTAGTCACCAAATCCCTATCAGAAGAGGCGCTAAGAGATGTTAAAAAGAGTATTAAATTGGAGAGGATTAACAGAAATATATACAGAAATATAGGTAAGCCATCAAATCAATGAGCTCTCATCCCCGATGTCTAAGCCTTAATAATCAATAAAATTTTTATAATAATCAAACTTTTAGTGAAAGAGAAAATATACATCGCAAGTCAGGGCTGTCTCTCAAATACTGTTGATGATTTCTGGAGAATGCTTTGGCAAGAGGACGTCAGGGTTATAGCAATGATCACAAACGAATATGAAAAGGGAAAGGTATGGTTTGTTCCTAACATTGAATTATGTTATATATCCTCCTATATATAATGCTCACAAAAATGATTTTACAATACATGTTATGTTAAATTACAGAAAAAATGCGAGCGTTACTGGCCAGCATCAGGCCAAGAAGAGCGTTACGATGATCTGATTGTAAAATCAATTTCTGAGACATGCTACGAAGACTATACTTTGAGAGAATTTGATGTAAGCGATAAAAACATCTGCAGGACCATCTACCAGTACCAATATACGGTAAATATTTAATGAATAAAAAAAAAACGATACTATTGTTTAAAGAATAATCCGTCTTTATTTAAAGAATAATCCGACTTTACTATAATTTTTATGGACGCGTCTAATTCTATAAGAAATATTATTTGAATACAGAAAATATTTGTCGGGACATATTATGACTATTACTTATTTTGTTTAGTTCTAGATTAATATATGCTTAAATAAACTTTCATTTCAAATTCATGAAATATTTTAGAATTCTACATGGATAGGATCTTTAGGTGACAATTAGATTTTCTTTCACTTTTTGTACCCTAACATGTTACCTACTTTAATAATATATACACATAGTCTGGTAAATAAGTGGATTTATGTAGATAAGTATAGACAGTTTAGAACAATTTTTGTTCCATAGATCTTTATTTTTACTTCTATTTTTATAAATCTGAAATAACAATCTGCTTTATTGTAAATATTGAATACAGAAAGTCCCATCTTGTGTAATGTTACATATTAACTATTACTGACACAGCTGACGTCACTTAGAAACTTATTGATTGTTTAGTAACAGGTACATTGACATGAATACGAACGTACAAGCAAAAAGGGCAATTATATTTACCGTGTGAAAGCCTTTGTATAAAATTGAAAGACGTTTGAGAATAAATGGTGATGCAAAGCATCATTAAATTAATACTTGTAACGATTTTCTAGGTATTATTTATTGTATAGACTCTTAAAACTACAATAATTCAAACTCCAAATGTTGACACAAACGATTAATTAAAAATTATGATAGATTCCATTGATTGGAATAGGGCATTTACAATACAATGTTTTTGAAACCAAAGTTAAACATTCAACGAAAAATATAAATAGTGTCCAGTCGATGAACACAACAACTTAGTATATAAATTCTTTTAATAGATCATTATGCTATATATATCCTGCACGTGAAGAAGATGGCAAAACATAGTATAACAAAGATAATTGAATATTAATTGCTTGCTTACATTATCAGACGTTTTTATAGGGAAAACGAATGGCTAATACAATAGGCACAATTGAAAAAGAAAACCTATTTACATACTTTATTATTCCCCTTTGAACAGTGTTGGCCTGATCACGGCACACCAGCTGAACCCGAGGGCGTGCTTTCCTTCATGGAAGATATTAATAGGAAGATGTACCAAATATCCCAACAAAAAGATGTACCGGAACAGGTAATACACGAATAACTTCTCCTTGTACCTTTTAAACACGCTTAAAGAGAGTTAATGCTATGGTCATTGGCCATATATGGGCATCAAAATTTATTTTTACAGAATATAAAAATATGAATGTCTTATTATTATTGAGTTTACTTTTCTAGCCCAATACATATCCAGAAACGAAGAGTTTAAGCAGCATGTTTCTTTTCAGTAAAACTCATAATAGAGTAATGAGTAAAGAATTTTTTCCGAATCATATCTTCTATATTTAAAAAAAATATAATATAAATATATTTTGACTCCTACATCTTCACTTCTCTAATTTTACATTTTTTTCATTTTGTGCATTTTAATGAATAGCGAATTAACATACCTAAAGGTCGTACAATCCTGTGTATATATAATTATAATTTTCTCTTTTTCAATCCCCTTTTTTCATCTTTTGATTAAGAAGGATGCAAAATTTAATTTAAGGATATCTGCTAGCAAATAATTTGAGTTTTAAGTCTGTACTCTACATTCAGTGGCGGCGTAAGGCGTGGGCGTCGTGGGCCACCGCCTACGGCCTCGTGGTACAAGAGGCCTCGCGGCTCAAAAAATTTTAAAGGGATATTCAAAAAATATATTTATAAATAAATGTTGTTTTTAAACGTATTTTCTTAGACTGGCAACATTTGCCGCCGACCAGAGTGCGACGAATCCCTGGTTTTATTTGCTTACGTTCTTTACTTGGAAGCCAACCAATCAAAGTACGCAACGCAGTCGCTAGGCACATACCAAAAGAAAGGCATAATTTAATAGTTATTCAATATTGTTTATTTTTATGACTGTACTTACCTATTTTGATAAGAATAGTGTATTTAACGTTTTAATAATATTTAGCGAATAAATAGATAGTGTTTAAGTACATTGGTTGCTCCTGAAAACAGTGACGTTTTTTGTTTTTGTATTCTTTGTGATTTGTAATACCTACTCCGGTACATACATAAAGTAAGAAATATTAAATTGATAATAAGTATGTAACGCAGTAATTACTTGTACCTATATAAAATACGCTTTATAATATCTTTTTAAGGAAACCAAAGCTTTAAGGGTAAAAGTTTTTAAAACTAGCAGGTAGTAAGAGGTTCAGGTTGCCATAGAACTGGGCCTCGCGAAATTTGTCTTGCCCACATCAAATTTAGTTCTTGCCCCGCCACTGTCGACATTACATATTTAAGAATACTATTCAGGAAACACAAATTTGTTATCGTCTAAATATGCTGACTGAGATTATAACTCTTCACTGACTTGTCATAATTTGTTGTTATTACCAAATAGTTTACTAAATTACATTTTTATGCTTGAATAAAAGTGATTATAATTTAATGAATTCACTGTTTCAGAATGTGCTGTGTGTGCACTGCTCAGCAGGAGTTGGGAGAACCGGAACCTTTATAGTATTAGATATGCTTATTGATAAAATAAAGCAAACTGGTCAGTATTTATTTTATTTTCTATGTGCGAATCTTTGCTATTTATTAACAAATGTTGAAGCTATCGGCGAATTATTCTATTACAATAAGTTGAAATTAGATGTATACTGCGAATTTTTGATGATTTAAACAAAGCCAATATTATGAAGCGCGATTTTCATTTTGTGCTGGTTGTATATAAATATATTTTGACAGGTTTTAACTGCGAAATAGACGTCCATAGCACGGTGAAGTTGGTGCGAGCTCAACGAAGTGGGATGGTTCAGAATAAGGCGCAGTACAGATTCATATATCTCGCCTTGCAAAGTTACATAGATAATAATAATAACGTTAAATTAAAAAGGAAAGTCATCCTGTTACCATTCCTACGAAACATGGTCTTTTAAAAATATGCATGAGAATGATCTTAACATAGTTTCAGAATGATAATTCTAATCTATGTATTTTGAATACATTAAAATACTGGATAACCTTCACATCTTATCCTATTTTCTGTGCATTGGCTGCGGGTCATTTTACATTATAAATTATGTCAGCACGAGTAAGAAATACAATTTCACAAGTCATTACTTGTATGCGTTAACTTAAAGTGTAATGAACCATTAAAATATTAAAAGTTTACCAAAGTACATTGTATTAAAGACTAAACTATATCTGTTTTATGAACATTGTTATTGTAATACATTATTAAAATATTGTGTAGACATAAGCACTAATTTATCTTTAAAATTATCACTATACATTAAAAGCTTACAAATAGATATTAATTATTTCATTTTCTCACACCTGTATGATATATGTATTGTTTGTTTATCGTTGCCAGTAATTCTCTTTTTTATAAAATGAATTATTTCTAATATGTTTTTTAAACATTTTGTTTCGTGTACTTATAGGTAGTTATGATAGATTTAAAGATTTACTGAATAATTTTTACCTTACCTTACCTTTCAAGAATTTCGGCGTTGTATTTGTATATAAATGAGTTATGTTATAAGTGTTAAATCTGGATACTATGTCCTTTTTATTTTACTATCATGTAGAAGAATGGTAGCGAAAAACTTTTAAGCGGTCAGTTAGTGTTCACCATAGTTAGAGCTACGTCTCCTCTACTTATTACAAGACGTTTTGGGCCCTAAATAAATGTCTATTTTATGTTTTTTTTTTTTGGATAATCGTTACTACCTACGATTTCATATATGTACTATAGATTTGTTAGTCAGTCTCCACCAACAGATACAATTTGTATAAGATATATCAAAAATGATATAAAAGACGTAAAACGTATCGGCGATATGACATCAGAATGCAGGCATCAATAGTTTTACGGTTCAGCAGTAAAATCAACTCAACACCAAGGAATCTATATACGTAATTATGTATATGATTCTTAGAAAATTCAATGAAGCTTTAATTTATCGCTATAAACAATTATTATTGTATGGTTGTCAAAGTTGTGGCTGGCTTAATTATACATGCTATGAAAAAAGCGTTTTTTTCATATACGATGGGGTTATAGTAATATTATGTGTAGAGGTATTTTATTTTTATGGGATAATTATCTCAAAAACTGTTATGAAATAAATTTCTTTTTGAAATGTGCAATGGGCGGTGGCCAGTTTGTTAAAAAAGACAGTATTTGTTTATGTAAAAAGAAACTAATTTAGAATATTTTATTATTAGCAATGCACATATAATACTAATTTCATATATCATGCTTATTCACAATCCCAGCTGAGTGGATTTCTGTTAAAAGCAGATTGTTGTTTATTTATTATATTTTTTATACTACATATATACAGACAGGGGAAAAAATGAAAAAACGCTCTAGACGTGTATATATATAATTCCACATTAAAACATACTGAAGCTATTTCGGTTATAAACTATTTAAATAACATGAACTAGTAACTAAACAAGATAATACGCAGTGTAAAGAAATTAACAACTAATAATAACTGTTATAGCTTCGAGCTATAAAATATAATAGACAATTGTATTAAGATCAATTAATTGATTTAATAAAATTACTAACAATTGATTCAACAAATTTGACATGGCTATAGAAATAAAATAAGTATATTTCGACCTAAGATAAGTACATAATGGACAGAGAAGAACTTGTAGATACTGTTTATCTATTATAAATAAATAAATATATGTATTTGCTGCTGAATTAAACAAGCAAATAAATCCATTGCTAGATATAAGTGGCTTCCAGGGCCGAAATTATCAAACATTAATTCATACTAAAACTAACATAATTAAAAATAAAAACGATAATAATAACATATATATTGTGGCTAGGGTTAACATTTTTTTGTAACATAATATCTCAATACGTCTACACATCATTATACATAGAAGTCGTGCTAGTTTAAGTTAGTATAGTACCTTAATATTAATTTACATACATGTAAAATGTTGAATGAGTGGTATTTTATAATTGGAATGCAAAAATATAGTTTTACATCCCAATCAGTATGTTAAGAAATTGCAGATGTACGCGGATGCAATGCGATATTTCATAGTATGTATGATATAAATTAAATAATTTGTTCAAATCCTTTAAGTGCTCAGATATTTTAAGAAACTTAATTTTTCCGATTTTCATTTCAAAAATATTTTCTCTCTCTGTAAATGAAACCGATTCAATGCTATGCAAAATGTAATATTATTGTTAGTCTACATTGCATATAGTATTTGGCTAGCGCATGTAATGTATGTATGAATATGTTGTTTTAAATTTTTTCTGGTTGCTATTTCTTGACATATCATCGCTGGTGATTTAAATTAACTTCTAAGTGCTTATGATACTGTGCTTGTATAATAAAAGTGGTGAAGTGAGTTTTTGCGGTGGCATATTTTGGAAATCTTGTTACTACTTTGTCACAATGGGATTGTCGTCAGTGGGATGAATAGCAGTTTTTTCATTATTTCATTATTATTTCTATTTATCCGACTTTATTATTTCAATGCCACCGCAAAACTTTAGTGTTCACAAATAACATTAAAAAGCATACACTCATTTGGCTTGACATACGCTAACATAGAAATATGATTACTAAATCTAGATTCTATACATTGGTTAAGACGATATACTTGAGTCTAAAAATAAGAATATTTTAAAAAACACTCATATTACTATCACAAACATACTGAACATTAATATACTTTAACTGAATACTGTTAACTAACATAATATTATTGACGGAATTTGAAATTAAGTACAAAGTTGAAATAACATATCCAATTAATTTAAGAAAAATAATCACATTGGTAAGTTAAATAAAAAAACTGTAGGAACATATAATGAAAACCAAGCCTTAATCAGTTATAACACTTAATAAATATCAACAGACTTAAATGGCATTAAATATTTTACACTCAATTTTTTTTTGTATTTTCCTTTGACTCAACGACGTTGCAAAAATCTTGGTTGTTCAAATGTCACCGTCAAAAATATTATATAGTTTATAAAGAAATTTATAATTTCGATAAATTTAATTGATAAAAGTAGTATTTTCGTTGTGATAGAACATATCAAATTGTAGAAGGTAAGTTGCGGTTGGAGCAGATATTTAACAAATTGGGAATACAAAAACATAGATGTCATCTATGTTATAAAATTAAGCTCACGGCAGATTTGATAGGTTTTATCGATCGCCATTTATGATCAAATGGACCATAATGTGGCGTGTTTTAAATTCCTCAAAGCGAATAGTGTAAATTTTACAAAAACTTTTGAGTTTTGGCACTTCATAATAGAATTCTTAAGCTAAATTTAAGGGGCTACGTTGAGTCACAGATTTTTTTACACAATAAGTGAATGTGGATTTCTTAACCACATTTTCAAATTTATGCTTATTTCAATAGGCTATTCTCGGATTTTCTCATTCTATTGTAGAATATAGTTAACGCAACTTTAATATCAACAATAGTGTTATAGAAACGTAATGTCACAGACAATCATTCACAAGATGTTATTGGATATGCGTAAGTATAGATAAATGTGTATTCTACTACAGAATGGAATGTTTTAAATGATATCCAAAAAGATATTTGCAAGTAGATATAATTAAATATATAATGGAATTGGTATTTACTGTTATTGAAATTGTAAACTGCTCGGGCTGATCAAGAGAAATGGTATATTTATATACATACCTCATTCTTTCATTAAATTATTTTCAGATTATATCTGCTTGCAAATTAACTGTATTTACATCTAACATATATAAGTTTGGGGTACAGGGTTAACATTTTGTTCTTAGGGATACACAATTCACATTTATTGAAAGGGATTATTACATATATTTGCATCTAAGATTCCTCAGTGGTAGGCATTTCGTTATTCCATATACTTGCCAGGTTGTTGTTTTAATATTATTGTTAATTATTCAGCTAAAGCGGAATATGCTTGCGTATGTTTTGGAATCAGGGTTAGAGATGGATTAAGCGATTTCTTAATATAGGACTGACACTAAATTATACAAAAAGGTATCAAATATAAAAAGTTTCAAAGATAACATTACGAATGTTAACAAAATTGTTTAAAAAATTTATAATAATTACAGTAATAAAATACAAATTACTAATGTATACATGGTCTATAACAACGTAGGTGTAACGGATATAAAACAAAATGTACACGGTCACAGTATGTCAGTCTCGTAAACCTTATTAGTAGTGGCCATCGCGTCAGGCACTGTCTCCTTAGGATTCTGTTGCTCTGAAGGTAAATCGTTTTGTTTCTTTTTACTATCTCCTGCTAAATGTGTCATACTGCCGGACATATTCGCTGGTGCTAGATTGAGATTTAATTTAGTGAGGAGATTAGATTCACTGCCAGTTTTTTTCAAGTCAGGTTGAGCGTTAATCGGTAATGTGGGCCCACTGCGTTGGATCATTTGCAGTCTGGCGTATTGTTCCTGTAGTGCCTTTTGTTTCTTAAGGAGCTCCTGGTGGCGTTGTTCTAGGAGAGCTTGACGCGAGGCGTTTTTGTCGTCGTTGATTTCAGCGGTGTGTGTTAGGCAAGGGGGTGAGCGGGGGGAGTGCGGCGAGGGGGGCGAGGGTGGTGAGGTCGGTGAGGCCAGGGGAGAGCGGGAGGTGGTGCGGGGCGGCGGCGGCGGCGGGGCGCGGCGGACGGCCATCGCTAGAAGTTCAGGATGTCGCTCCGGTACTGGAGGTTTCGGAGGGTGTTGGCCGCGAGCACGTACCGGGGGGGAAGCATCAGTGTCGCTGCCGCTGGGGTAAGAGTGGAGGCGGCGCAGAGGAGCGTCTCGGGGGTCGCCGCGCCCGCCGCGTTCCGCCGGTTTGGCGAAAGTTTGCAGTTCGTCTAGTAACGCATCGAGGGCGTTCTCTGGCCGCAGCTCCGTTGCTCCCCGGGGCGCAGCACCTCGCCCGGAGCTGGCGGCCTGCGTACCATTCCACCCACTTCTAACTTTGTCCAGCGAGCTTCATGGAAGTCAACGACGATTTTGCAATTTTAATTACATTTCATGAAGCCGATTATATTATACTTATCTAGATTCCCACTTGAATTGCAACATCGCCGTTTGTATCGGAATACATAAATACTTACTTGACAGAAACATCGAAAACAATCATTCAATTAGTACGATCCATTAAGAACACTCAGTATTCACAGTAATGTATAGAGCTAAATGTCTTAATGCGACCACAATCATTCAAAGTAATAAAAATGAATAAATGGCTATTGTCCACCTTTGCCGTTGAATAGATTTGTTCTAGGACGACGAATTTTAGAATAGAACTAATGAGATGATAGTTTAATACATATCTATTCCACGGCAAAAACTAAACAAAAAGATGTGTCGAGCCTTTGTCATGTGGTAAGTAGAGCCGATATGATGTTTGTAAACGGACAGGGCTTATAGGCGAAGAGATAAATGTAAAATATATATTAGAGGATACGTAGATATTGGTTAAGGCAAAAAGATATTACACAAGTACTTTATGTGTCGAATAAAATGCATGAATATTTAAAGAATAATTTCACTCTTAACAATTGTGATGATTTTGCCATTAGTCAAAAATTTAAACATACGTGTACAAAGTGACTTCAACAATGTCTACCTACTCAAAAAAAGCTATTTAAAATTTAATCTCAATACAAGAACTAAATATATAAGCTGGAGTGAACTGCATTCTACACAATTGTCTATAATACATTATTTCAATTTATAGTGCTTTATATGGAAGAATTATATATTGTAATAATCATAATTATTTTTAAAGCATACGAAATTTTGATATATTACCTGTGCTCCGGATGCGAGGGTTAGTCATTGTTACCAAATACTTCAATACATAGAATTAACAGCAAACGGGAAGGAGAGTAAGATAATGTCCGTTAGTTGATGGTGTGATGTGGAGTGTACGGGATCGGTTCATAAATGAGAAGATTCCAGTAAGAAAGAAAGAAATATATTGTTAGGGAGGATAGTAAAGTTAGAGAAGTATTGAAAGGATTTCTGTGGGTTGGGATTCTAATGGATAATTGAGGTTTTGTTTTGTAAGCTGCTTCTGCTATCGAGAACGGGCTGCAACAAAAATAAAAACAGCAAGATGCACTATCTATTTACGAAGCCACTTCAAAATAATACCATGCCATTAATCACTAACATACTACAGAGTGATTTTGTGCCCAAATTTTTAATTTCCTATATCCAGGAGGTTTAAAATTAATATGTTAAATGAATAACCATAAATATTTATTAATAATTTAAACTAACACACCTGGATAAGTATAATACAAATAATAAATTATGTATCGTTATTTTACACACACAAATGCATGCCACTTTACACTTCACAAAGCTTTGATCAAGATGCTCCATATATATTTCGTTTAATAAATGAGGTTGTCAACAAATACTTTTTTAAAATCGAAGTTTGTAGTTCAAATTATAATTAGCAAGATGGTAGAGGTAAGTAGTATTTGTTAACAATTTTATTAAACGTTGACAGTCCTATCATGCGACACCCCGTACCATAAGGTGTCTGCGGAGATTAATATTGCGAATAATATAATAATAGCCGAACACTTTAATATAAATACATGTATAATGAAAGCATGCGTACCCATTCATTCAATACTGTCTGAACTGGAAAAAAAATATGCAGAAAACTATGAGTTAATGATTCGATTGAAGCTATTTATAATCGCCATGATGTTGCTAAAGCATCACGTGACATTGTGCAACATAGCAGATAGATAGCGATGTCGTATTCGTTTATATAAAAAGAAGATGAATATTAAAAAAGGAAAAAAATATAACAAGAAAAGTAATAAAAGTACTGATGTGTAATAAAAATATACAAACATATTTATAAAACGTCGTTTATGAATAATAATAATAATAAAAATAGTTATAATAATAATAACAATAAAAGTATGGATATATTACGAAGAGATGTATTACTCGGTAAGAACTATAGCTTCTTTGAAGTATTGGCTCTGTCTCCAGGCGAACTGACGGGTACCATCACGGAAAAAGACGGGAAAAAACATCAATAACAAAATTTTATTATAATCATTCAAATATGTATAAGAGATGTTCATCATCCGCGTTACACAGAACGATTCAGTCCATCTGATAACTTTGTTAAAAACTATTCGTAAATCAGAAGATAAATATAATTCGATTCATGCTAATCTAAAGCGTTGTGGATCAGCTTGTTTCCATTCACTTACAAAATGTAAGGTTTTATAATAATTAATATATAATATTATTACATAAATAATGAAATTCGTGTAAAATATCTATATTATCATTGATATATTCATTAAAATTGGCATTATTTTCCTAAAGCAACGACAAAAAATGCAACGTTTATGGATGGTGCATTAGTTGCAGGGTTTGTGCAAAATAATTGAAATTTGATAGTATTCTGTTTTACGTCATGCTCTGTCCTTGGATGGGTAGAAAGATACATAGCATGTATATTATAATATATGGCATGGCATATTATAATCCAGGTTTTTTATATTGGTTTTTTTTTTTGTAAAAACTGCTGTCACCACAATAAACACGACGAGTGAAGTATTTTAAAATATAAATTTAATAAGAGTCTTATCATAGTAATAATACTTATAAATACATTTACAATCACATATAATATATGTATGTACATATACAATATTATAAATTATTTATAAATATACACAATAGTACAAAAAAAGAAAAAACTAAATTTCAAAGATATTACAAAAAAAGTGACAGAGAATGACGTATATTGTGTTAAACGAAATTTAGATTTTTTTATATGCCAATTTCTTTTTCTCAATGTTTCTTTCGAAAAAGATATATGAATGTTTAATTGATTTTGAATAAGGGCCGAATTGTTTATACGTCCAGAATACATAGGGTCATAATAAATTGATAGCTTTCAGCATTCCTTAAAATAAATTCTAAATTTGTGGGAGAAGAAAAAATAGCATGCATGACTTACAAAACATAATATCTTGTACTAAAATAAACAGCTAAGGTATTTATAATAGTAGGAGTAAATAAATTAGTTATTAATTAGACGGACTCAAAGGGCTGCGTGCATTCATGATATAAAGAACAGGAGCGTAAAGTTACTTGAAGTCGCATCAACTAGTTAGTCTACAAGCAACTAGGGTTAAATTAAAATACAAAAGAAATCAATACGAACACTCCGCAAAATAATGGAAGTGTCGGAAAAAAATGCAAATTTTAAACCTTTGGCAAACCTGCAATTGTTAAGCGGTTATGCTAGTAAAGTGATTGCTGGGCAATAAATAATGTTGTCAGCTTGACCTTCATAAAAATTAATTTTCAGTTAAAAATTAGACATTTATATTAAGTATTGGAAGAAAATTTCTATCAGATCTATATGAATACTTTCACAATTACTTTAGTTTTTATCATTAGTATTAATCTCTAGTGAAATTAAGCACGCCAGTGTTTTTTTAAATTGGCTCCAAACCCAATGCAATATGAAAAAGAATTCGTAATTTCCATACACAAACTGAATATTTTCTTCCAAAATGTTAAATTTTTTTTTTGCAATCATATATTTGATTGAACAACAAAGCTAACAACCTTGTTGGTGGGCGCACTAGCACATGCGGTTTCAGAAGTGTATTCCTCAGATGAGGGACCCACAGTGATGGAGCTCTGGGATGAGCTCGGAGACACGCGGCCATCGGCGACCGGCAGGCGCTGTTCTTGGACGCAAGCCAACCTTCATCACGAAAAAGTACACCATGTATATAGAAAATTTACTTACATTTCCTTGTCCTGGAATTTTACTTGAGATTTTAATATTCTTACTAGCTTCAAAAACAAATTGTTTTCAATACTTGATCTATAATGAAACGTACATACCTCTTCAAAGTCACCAGCGTGCCTGTCAATTTTTTGCAGCGACGCAGAGCAAGCTCCAAACGCTCTGGTTCGTCTTCAAGCATTTTCTCCTTACGGACCACCTAGAAGCACAAATTTGTAGATTTATCAATAGAAATCTAGGTATTATAGAGCATTAGCCGTTTCCAATAAAAATATTGCAAATAATAATGAAACATGATCGCTCTTAGCACCAATAGCTCTTTCAGTTACGTATAGGTAGATTTAGGTTTATTTCTCTAAAACTCGTCAAGTTAGTCTCATTCATTCTGGTTATATCTATAAAATTCCAGTGGACAAATGTATTATGAAATAAAAATCTTATATATTATTAGTTTAAAATATCAAATAATATGGGTAAAATGACATTTTCTATTTTAGCCAAAATTAGCCGATAAAATCGGTTACAGGATAAAAATGAAACTATCACGTCACACCATCTTTTCTCACCTTTTCCATTTCACCAGCAAGCTTAGTCTTCATTGTTTCCTGAAGGATCGGGAATTTCAGTTTCCAGTCAGCTACAGTTTTGCTGCTCTTTGAAAGCACCATTGCAATGCGCTCGATGTCCGCCATATTGACGCGGGTTTCCCTGCAACTCGTGTGAAAATTCCCAATATTTTATTTGTCGCTATACAAATACTTTATATGTAATCATTGTGAATAGTCGTCAAGAAAATTAAAACTATAGTACCTATTAGCCGCTTGGCCACGTAGACGTTCAACTGTGGCCTCTAATTCATACAAATCGTTCTCCAAAAGCAGCATATCCTGGCGATAGATCTCCTCTTCGCGAGTCAATTGCTGAGATAAAATATGAAATTGTCTTTAGATATATTTGATATTATAAGGTGCCAAAAAAATAGAAAGCGATTTTTATAGTTTTTGGCGAATGGTATAAAATATAATATTTTTTTAAAATAAATATTACCGAGTCTGGATCTTCCTGACAAAAGCTCGCAGCGATGGCACCAATTTTTGTAATGGTATCGGCCATCAATTGCCTCATCTGCATGGATTGATTTAAAGTAGACCGACGAAGATTGCGGGTCTGTGGATAAACAGACCATACTCGTACAATAGACTAGATTCACATTTGTGGTGTAAAAAATTCGCATTTGCTCATAATTCGCTTGCACTTATACTTTTGCAACGCGTATGCAATGTACATATTTGTATTTAATAGTTTTATACCTCAATACGTAGATCACGGCTTTGCTTCTGGAGAGAGCGTAGCTGATTAAAGAAATCTGGGTTGACGTTAAGAGTGCAGGTCTTCTGAGGTGGCAAAGGAAGCTGCTGGCCCACGAGTCCAACAGGCTTGGGAGGCGGAGCGGGCTTCAAGCGATCACGTTCTAAAATAGAAGCGAAGTATATTTTTTATATACATTCTAAGAAACCTAGTTATGCACATAAATGTTTCTTGCTAGTAGGATCGTGTTACATACTTAGTAATTGTAGATTGATGAAAAATCGAAGTTAGAGACGGCAAACGGCCAGTTACTTTCAATGGTTAATTGATAATTGGGTTCCGATTACGATTAAATTGGAAAAGACAGTAAGCTATTACAGCATTTCATGTTAAATCAAAGCAACCAACTAATATCAAGATAAAACGCAACCATATCAATCAAAAAGTTTACCTTGAGATGATGTCCTCGGCAATGTAGATGACTTGATTGCCGGTTTTGTTGGTTTTGTATCAGCTTGTTATGGCAAAGAAGTAAGCGGAAAGAAATCAAATACAAGAATTATGAATATGGTTATGATTGTAACTACGAGAAGAGGAAGACAGTTATTATAGATTTTTTGCAGTCCAAGAATGAATAAATTTACGCCATTATGAGATAGCACGCACCAGTGTAGCACGCAAGTCGCTCTAAATGAATAATATTTAAATTTTACATTTTTGCTCGAAATTTAATGTAATATTGCAATCATTATTCATTCTTGGAGTTGTAATTTCTCTGTGATATTGTATGTGGCGACCCTATACTCAATGTTAAATAAAAAAAGATAATACTCAAATATAACTAAATTAAACACATAACCAAGGAATAAAATCATAGCATACTCTGATTGATCCAACAAAACGTTTACTTAGTCTGGTATATTAATGCTCTGCACATTCGTTGTGTGCGATAAGTAATAGGAATGTCTGTTGTTAAAATGGAAAGATATTGATAGTGGGAGATTGTATGTAAAAACGAATGTTACGCCAGCGAAATAAAATATTTTATAAACCATCACCTGACATAAATAAACATATAATTAATTTACTGATTGCTACATTCAAATGTACGACTGATGTAAAATTGTATTTAGTTATTTATTACAATTGATACGCTTACCTGAGTGCTGAGGCGAATGCTGTTTGGGAGAATTCATATCTGGTGGGTCATCGCTAAAGGATACCGATTTCTCAAAAGAGACAGATTTTTCTGAAAGCATAAATTTTGTTTTAAAAAAATTGTATTAGAAAGAACATTTTGGTTTTTTGCCAATAGTCACAAGACGACAAGCCAATAGGTTGTGCGAGTTAGGGACATTGGAATCGGTTTAAGTTATTCTTTCAATAGTGCAAGAATTCAAGTATAAATACATTAAAGAAATAACTGGGTGCTTCAAAATTAGTGTCAAAATTTATATTACAGGGAAGAAATTTATATAAAATTAATTGTGTCTTTGTTGCAGTAAAAATTTTGTATCGAAATAGAAAAGTGTTTTTCTTTTTAAATTTAATGAAAGTATTGATGAGGGTGCGGGTTTAAAATAAATGACTAGTACGTTAAAATTAACAAACACATTTTAAGGCAAAACAATAGTTTAGACATTACGCAATATGCAAACATGACTTACATGCCCTTTAATACTCAATAACATTATTAAATACATTACGTTACATATTCATACCCTAAAAAATGAACATAACTGCTAAGCATGTTTATGATCAAAATACTCATCTATCTACAAATATCTGAAATGGCAAGTCTTACGATCATGACTACAAGATAACTCGAGGAAGCGATAATTATTTCAAGACTGTTTCACTGGCGTTTTTGTCCAACGATTTGAAACGTTTCATGAATTTGATGCATACAATGATGCTGACAATTATTGTACATATTTTCAATCGTCTTAACGCCGGCAGTAAGTAATCACACGAGTCAGTAAGCAAGCGTACTGCGTGATAATAAATGTTGAGTGCTTAATGCATCGCGAATGTAAATTTTGCGTAATAGGAAATTTCCCGAATTGCAGTGACGTATAGATGATGCTCGTTGTTCAAGAGCCAGTAATAGAGTGAAAGTGGCACTTTCCCTATACACATACCAAGAGGCGCGGAAGAAGCGCACTATAAGGACAACACATTAACTGACTGGGTAATAGAATGTTGTGGAATCCATAATTTGCGGTTTCCATTAATAGCCTTCGAGATGATAGAAATGTATTATATGATAATATGTAATATCGTAAATTTATCAGGTATAAGGGAGACGAATATAACAAAAAAATATCATTAGCAATGCATCAGCATCTTCTCTGGCCGCGTTCAATCACACTTACGAAATCTGTCTTTGCCTAATTTTGGAGGTCTCTCGGTGCTGGCAAATCGTGCTGCATCTGAATGTAGGAAAACGCAAGCTACATTAAAGAACAAACCTGTCATAGTCCTATCATACGATATTAAAATTATAAAACATTTTGAAACGGCATCTTATTAAACTAACATAGCATTAGAACTAAATAAATATTTATCTTAATTAAACGGTTATGCTCTAATTATGACAAGTACATATATAATTGTTGTTATGTTGACTAACATGGGACGAAGACAATTAACGCGCATTGTTTCGCAGACGAGACACGTTCCGCTGATATATTTCCATGCAGAAATCCTTTTAAAACGTTAAAAGTTTAAATGACGTCTTTAATTACCTTGCGTAGTTGGTCTTGCAGCGTAGGGTTGATACTCCTGCCTAGGAGCCACGGCTGGAGGTGCTGGCACCACCGCTGGGACCTGCAAAGCCTTCTGTACGAGTCCCGTCAGGTTTGCGAGCTGACGTTCCATCTTCTCTACACGAAGACGCTGCATATCTTCCAGAGGTGCGCCAAGCCTTTAACGTATAATTTACAAAATCGAACACTTGAAGAAATTATTAAGAGTATATCGCCAGCTAAATATCGCAGGGTTCCTCATTATTGTGGCCACAATATCGCACAGCGTAGCATTGTTAGTTTATACCAAATGTTTACCTTTCGTATGGGCCGGGCCGCGGCATGGGCCGAGGTGCTGTTGTTATTGCATTTACGCCATACATTTGGTATGCATCATCTATTATCACCGTGTCACTGTTGAAATAAACAATTGTTTGTAATATAATGCGACATTTATTAAATAGCATACTGATTTAAAATGGTTATACTTGGCTTCTTCATCAATAACTGGAGCGATTCCAGCCCTTCCAGGAGATGGTCCAAGGAATTGAGTGTAGTAAGGATCTTCATAAGGCCGTGGAGCGCTACGTTCGGGAGATGACATGTATCCATCACCAGAATGAGCTTCAAAAATAATATAAGATGTAATTTTTAATTTTATAAATTTTGTTTACAGCACATTTCTCTAAACACCGATAGTACAATATCAAAGGAGATGGGATATAATCAACGCAAGAAATTAAAAGTACCTATTAAATACAAATTAACATAAACAATATATAATTTTTTTATTTAATGCATAAAGATTGCAGAAAAGAATAAAGCCTAGGCGTAAAAGTAATATAGTAAACGAAAAAACATTTTCTTAAGACGCGCAGAGTGTTGCTGGTAGCAAACAATAAATGTACTTACTTTTAATTAGTTGGTACGCCGTTACAAGAATTTCATACATTTTTCATCTCTGTCTATATTATCAATATTTTTGAAATTTTTGCCACATGTTAAAATATAAAAAGAAGAAAGAAATATAACATCCCACGGAGAGAGCGTTGGGTATTTCGTGGTATAATCGTTTTGTGAACACATCGTTAGCAAAATTAAGCTTGAAGCAAAAGTTATGATGTAAGCAAACAAACAAAGCGCGTCGACAGGAGGCCGGGGTTACCAGGGATAGAGTATAGTTGGTCGGTACCGCGAGGGCATTCAGCTGAGGCAAAGGGGAAACACCGCTCCGATCCGCTTCCCGGGATGTACGAGCGGACCGGTTTGCTGGGCGCTGTAGGACCTATATACATATACTTTTAACAAAAACCCTACATATTTTCGCGACCTTCATCTAGAGAGTTACGAAGACACAAAGAAGTTGAATTCGTTATGAGGAAGATTAATATCCTTATATTACCTGGTGGTAATGCTTTGACGCGATCAGCTGGAACAGGGGGAGCAGCGGGAGAAAAAGCACGAAGAAGAGACCCTCCACGAGGAAGGGTACTAGGAGCGGGGGTACCCATGTAGTAAGCGGGAGCCTTTACCTTAAACAATAAACATTAATTAAATATACAGTTTATTCACTAAGAATATAACATCATATTATCATTCGAGCGGAAATTAACTTAACACGACAGGAATATTTCAATTGAAATAAGTTATTCTGCCAGATAGTTCATACGTCAGTGAGCATCACACATGAGATATAATTATAAATATTGATTGCATGCCTTGTGGAGAATAACGTCTTTCAGTGATACTAGTGCTGATTTTTTGATATACCAATATATACTTCTTATTTAATTAAATACGGAGAAATATATAAATAAAACGATGAATTATTATATCAATAAAATCAAGGACTTCGTATAAAATCATATGTAGTGAACTGTTTTCAAATTGGGTCAAGCTTGACTTTAAAGTGTTCGATATTTCCAGTGCCCGGGACAGAATTCATTTAAAGCATGTTTTGTTTGTATTTCAAAACAAATGTCTTTGACAACTTTTAATCAATACTGGAGTGTTAATAAACAAATCGCTTTACATCGATAAATGTTTATATGAAAATAAAAACGCATTTTAACAGAATAAAATAAATATGTTTTTACTAACTCAAAACTATTCAGTACCACTTCTTATAATCATTATTAGTTTTGGTACTACTCGTACCATAGATTACATTAAATGTTGTTCTCAAAAAATGAGTCCCAAATTTATGTTGGTACTTTCCAATATCAGACCAATACTGTCTCTATTTATTTTCGTATACGAATAGAGTTCAATTGTTTGCATTTAGTAAGAGAAAACGCATTTGTTTGGCAAAGAATTCCAGCGAACGATACCATACTCAAATATTTTGTTTATCTTTCAATGTTCGATCGCGTTCCAAAATATTTCTCTGGTTATATTCAATTTTCTTTGATAATAAAAAATATTCTGCTATACGTCCTGTACGTGATATTGTTATCTTTTACCATTTGAAGCAACTTAAAATAACAATTGTACTATACTCGATTCATTTTCTTATTGTAAATCGTAGATTTTTTCAAGGTTTTTTCTAAACAAACTCTTCACCGATACCATTGTATATTCCTTGCACATGATTTTTTTGAACGTATGACATAGAAATGAAAAATGTATCGTGTACACTGTGCAAATAGTAATAAATTATGTTTTTGTATTTTTAAGAGTTTTGAAAAACATTGTATTACTTATATTGTTTGTTTCGTTTACAAACAATATGACAATAATAACAACAACATAACTGGCGATGTATCAGTTGACTTTTTGTTATCCCGTAGAAAGCACGATATCTCTAAGATATTGTAGAATAATTGAGCAGTTGTGGAACTAGAAACCCGACTGAATTAAAGAAAGGTTAGTGTTTGAAGATAAATTATTATAAATGTAAAATTACAAGGCGTCGAGAATTATGTATAACACATAAGTAATAACGTAGTCTGATTTATAAATATGGAAATAAACTTAAGACAAGTTTAACTTTCATTCATCTTTTATTCTAAGATGTTTTTATATAATGAAATGTTCTCTAGGTAGTCTGTTAAAAACTGTTACAGATTACACTGAAGATTGTTTCATTAGTATGTGTTTTTACACACAGTCATTTACAGATTTTCTAGATATTTCGAAAGAAAAGTTAGCGCGTATATATTTTCGAATTTGACAAATATTTACAGAATTTTTTGAGCTCGATAAGAATTTTAACATAGAACGTATAAAGTGGTGGTAATGATGACAATTCAATAAGATAAAAATGTTCAAAATTATTCTATATTTAATCACACAAATTACAAAATTATATAAAAAATATTTGGAATATTTCTGTGACAACATTTCTCCTTGTGTATATATTTAAAGTACATAAATCTCCTTTACAATACATTTTCGAAAAATCAGTTTGTTTTTTCAACAACTTTATTTTGATAAAGAAATCGTACAAACCTTTTATACGTACATGTATATTTTAAATATACAAAGGTTTATTTAATCCAATAGTCGAAAACACTTTTAAAATTTATTTGAACAGCAGAAACGAAAGCCGATTTTCGTTCTGATGAAATATTCTATGAATTGTGTTTTATTTAAAAGCGCTACAAAATGGATTTAATAAGAGCGTTAATATTTTAAACTATTTTTAGCACACCTCGTCGACCTGAACAATCACACTAAAGGTTTCTAGCATAAATCTGTTTTACAAATAAAGTGGTTTTAAATATGTAACAGCAGGTCCTTATTGGATAAATTAACAATTTACCTAGTTGCGATTGATTTTAGACATCATTTTAGCAGTGGTAATGGGAAATTATTAAGATTTTGTTATATACATTTAAAAAAATATTTTTTGAGGTAAAGACCTAGTACCTTTCTTTTTTTAATAACTTGCGATTGCTTTCTGTGAGAGAAAGAACTACATTGTGTATTGATTATAGTGACACTGACAAAAGCATTATAATATATATTTTTTTAAGCTATGGCTTCACCATGAAAATATTATGTAAGAGCTAAACAAATTTACGTCAAATCCAAATTCAAGATACTTTTAAAATTTATTCATTAAAATAGCAATATGTTTCAGATATCGAAGGATCGTCATGTCATTAAAATTTTTCCTGATATTATTCATAGTGTCCGCCGCCGATTCTATAAATCGACCTGTATACAAAATTGTTTTAGCCCAAAAAGGATACACGCAGGTTAGTTTTATGTATAAATTACTAATATGAATTCTATTGTATCGAAATAGAGTCTCATTTTCTTTGACTATTTTTCCCCTTAGTAAAAAGGAAATATATTTCTTAACATTGTTCATAGAAACCTTAGTTTTTTATATTAATTAATTATTTTGCAGTTTCTCCAGTATGATATCGAAACTCCACCTATAAGAGAATTCACTTTCTGTACTTGGATTCGTGTTTCTGACTTCTCCAATGATCAGTCCTTGTTTACTTATGTTGGTAGGTATGAAAATTTGTCACCAAGAAAAAAAATAATTATTGATTACTTATCTTACTTTTTATTTCAATGACAACAATCATTTCCTTTTGTACGAGAAAGAAATTATAAATGATTTTGTTTTTGCACTATGCGCCCAAAACTTAATTCAAGACAAAAATCTATTGAACTTCGTGGACTTAACGAATTAATGTTATCGTATATTTTGATATGTTTATTTAAATATAACTTAAATATTTATAATATTGTCAGTTAACAAGTTATATTGTAACATTTAGTAGTCATTTTACGTAACATGTAATAATTTATAAATAATTATTATTTTACTGAAATAGTACAGCAATAAAATTAATTACAAGTGGATAATTATCGAATTCACGGTCTATTTATGAAATAGAAATACGCTTGCTAATTTGTGGTATATTTTTTGTAGCGAACGGTAATAACCGATTGGTAAGGCTATGGCTGGACACCGGTGGTAAGCACATAAACGTTGCCATTAATGACAAGAAGTCATCGAGTGTCTTTGTCAATATGACAAGTGATATATGGCGACACGTCTGTTTTTCTTATCAATCAGACTATGGAGCTTGGGCGCTTTATCTCGATGGACGACTAGCACATTGCGAGACAGCGCAAAGTGTAAGCAAGGATTTATTATATTTTGTAATACTACATTTGGGTCACGAATTTAATACCTGATGCCTAGAAGATATAAAAGTAGAAACAAAGTATCTTAAGGTCATATTCACATTTGACAGTTATTGATTAACATCGCTCTTAGATCAAGTAGTTGACCTCGAGAGCATTAACTCACAAAATAAAGTCTTCTCAAAAGTAATAATACTAACATGTTTGAAATTGTAACTTATACACTTAACGGTTGATTATATTCCTTACAGCTCTATGGTTATGTATTACCAGCTGGTGGCAGTGTGATTATTGGTTATGGGACAGGTGCTAATGGTAAATCATATTCCGAATTAATTCTACTTGAGTAATTATTGGAAGTATAATTAATTGTATTCACATTCAAGGTACACCCAATGGATTTGAAGGTGAAGTTTTTGGAGTCAATATGATACTGACGTCGACTATAGAAAGAAATTATACAATAAAAAGAGATCCACATTATCGTCAGAAAGGTTTTCGCAAAAATAGAGTCGACCCCAACAGTAATATAAAATACATTGTGCTAGATCATGAAACTATGGAAGAATCAACTTCCACAACTAGGCCGCAAAATTCTTTCTTTATAAACAAAAACAATAACTTTGGCAAAACAAAACATCCTTATACTTTAACAGAACACGGTGATAAATACCATGGTAGTGACGAGACAACAGAAACTACTGATTTCTCAAATGAAAAGGAGATAATTGATTTGCCTCCGAATAATAAGAAACGTTTGGACACCGATAACGACCATATTAGCTTTTGGAATCTTGTAAATAGTGCTGGAAGAGTGGAGAGAAAAAAAATCAAAAGTACTGAACTCTTTAGTTCCGATACGAAAGATCTCTCCCCTGTATCGCAGTTTGAAACACCCCCACCTCCTATTTCATTTCATTTTAAGCCTAGGCAACCGTCACAGATGTCTTTTTATGATTTAAATGAAAATAAAACTGGTATAAATAAAAAAAGTTTACCCAGCAGTAAAGGCTATGAAGCACCAGAAATAAACGTTCAACCTACTCCTGATAAAAATCACAAAGTTTACGGTCAGTGGACAAGTTCTAAATTCGCTAATAACGTTTTAAATTATATAAAGAAGGCAAATTTAAAACACAGAGAACAAAAGAAAATTCCGTCCACGATACCCCTTTTAAAACTAACGGATTCATTTCCATACACTTCCGAATTTAAAATGTCTAAAGTTCGCCCTCAGCATATATTTCAAAAGAGAAAGTTTATTGATACTCACAGTATCAAAAAACGTGGTATATATCCACCAAGAAATGTAAAAAATTACATAATGGAAGATCACACTAGGAGACAACCAAAATTTATAAAAGTGACAAATAAAGGTGAAGTTGATCAAAGTAGCGAACAACGATATTACAGAAATGTAGACAGTCACGTATACAGTAAGAAGATATTTAGCACCAAATTCGGTAAAACGCAATCTTTTCCAATGACTTCTAAAGTAAACAAGAATCTTCCTTCTTTTGATTTATACAAAACCAGCAATTTGATGACTATACTTCCGTTTTTAAAATCATCAGAATATTTTGTAGACGAATATGATAAAATAAAGTCTACTAGTGGGAATGATGTGAATACAAAGAGTTTATCCGATGGCAATAAGTGGCATAACGTGATGTCATATAATAATGATTATACACCGAGGAAAATTGATGTGAAATCTGGAAAAATTACTCCTAATAATGATATAGACGGAAGAATAGCTGATGCTAACAAAAGAAATCCATCTTTGAGATTGAAGTATATGCCAGATAATCACAAGGTTGTGAAAAATGTTGATGATGATGCTATTATGGAAGGTAGAGCTCTAGCTTTAGAAATTTCTAATTCGTCTGACACGAAATCTAATTCTGTATCTATTTTAAAATACAATCACGGATATCTTCCCAATCAACAGAATCAGCAGAATCTTAATAATAAAATTCTAAATAGCAATTTAGATTTAGACCAGATGACTTTTGATCAGCGTGTTAAAATAGGTAGTACCCTAAACGAACGTCAAGCTATTGGAAGTAATATGAGGCAAATGAAAGAAAGCTCCGAAGAAGGTGATGAAAACATTTCCAATGTAAATAGATATAAATCTAGTAGTGAAAATGTTAGCATACCTCCGCCACAGGGTTCAAAAATATGCAAAAACGTTGAATTGTTTGACAGATTCTTTTACATCCAACCCGACGGGAGTGTCGATGTTACGGATATAATATCTCCAGTAAAAGAAAAAAATGTAGCAATAGCATTCATAGTTCAGAACTATAAAAAATGTTCCACTAAAGATTCTGAGTTTGAAACCAATCCTTTACTTTTTATCGAATGGACTAAAACCCCAGTCAGGCTATTTGGCGGCGCTTATTCAAAACGGACTACAGATCTATGCGGGTTCTTTTGATTTTATGTTACTTTTAATTATTTGTTATTTTGAAATAAACAACACATGTTAGTTGAATAAAATTAAATACGAATAATTTTACGTTTAATGTTTTTATGATTATTTTAATAACAAATTAACAATTCGTAATGTAAATTAATTTTTTTCAATATTATCAATACTTTATGGTTTCACTTTCTTTTATAAATTTGATATCTTTCTTAATAAGTCTCAATGCTTCTTCGAATAAATAGTTTCACATTCTAAAGTGCATTCGTTTTTCTTTCTTATATTACCAAACTGTAAATCAAGATCTTCACAGTTTTGACTTTATAATTGGTTCAATAAAATTTTAATCTGTCGTATGAGGTATAACATAGCAAAATTTCACTAGAATCTTTCATTCGTGTGGAAGATACTGCCCTAAATATAGTTTCTTCTATACAAGCATTCCCCTTATAATAATATCAATTCGGTTACATAAATGAAAATAATATTATTAGCATCACTTTAATTAAAAATATGAAAGATATTATTTTCTTTATTCTATCTTGATTAAAAGGGACTTAGATGGCAACTTAGCGAATAAATGGTAGGTCTATAGGTCTTCCTATTCAAGAGATAATCTTTCTTAAGTACTTATTTCAGAAATGTACGGCAATAAAATTAGTTTCAACCATTATGCTGTCACACCAACCGGTAATAGATACTTTAACTTTTTATAACCTTCTTCAACTGTCGGTTACAAAACATTTTTAACAAAAAATTACAACTTATTTTTAAGTTATCCTTGAACAGAAATGTTTCGAGTCTTAATGGATTTATATTTATATATTGCAATAATTACATTAAAGGACGGATATGAAAATATATAAACATTTTATATTTACTTTCACCTTATATAATAAAAATTTACTGCCTACTTCATAGATTTTATAACATGCTTCATAAATTTAATGACGATTATCAAAATATATATTATCTTTTATAAGTGTACTTGAAAGTTTAAATACCATTATCTTTTTTCCATAAAATAAGAAAAACTATATTGCTTTACCTTTCTTTACATATATTACTTCTCATTTAGATTACAAGACTATCAGATGAAAATAAAATCAAAGTCTTCTATAAGTTAATTGCAATGGATTTAAAGTAATGACAGTGTAATAGTTTCGTAATATCTTAAGTATCGAGGACACTTCCGTGAAGTACATTTTAAGTGTTATTATATATGGAATGGGATGCTTATGCTTGTTTTACAAAGTAATTTATAAGTGAATGCAGTTTATAGGATTTGGAGCGTGTATTCCGCAACGTCCGCGAAACGGTCGCTCTTGATTCACGATTTAAATTCATTCATGTAGTAAAAAGTGTCCTTACTTTATATAAAAAAAACATGTCGTAAAAACTATAAGAACAGTAGATAGGAATAGAATTACAACATATAGTCCTATTGATAGAAATTGTAAAGTTGTGGTTACTGAGATAAATCAAGGTGAAGTTGTTATAAGTAAGTATTAGTACGAAAATGTAAAAGTAAGTGCAAAAAATTCAATATCTAAAATAATAAAGAATGGCTGAAAATCATTTACGCATGAAAATAATGCAGTTTCTTTTTTCGCGGCATTAAACTATAATTAAATGTGTTCTTTCCAAACGTTTAACACTTTCAAAATAGTTACTTTAGACATAGTAATTCTTAAAATCAAAATATTTTTTTAGAAAGTAATTTTATTTGGTTTGATTATAGAACTTAAATGAGAAGCCTTTATAAGAGAAAAGTAGACAAATCTAACAGCGGCATCAGAATCTAGTTGAGTTTTTAAATTACAAGTACTCACAAAGCCTAAGAAATTAGTAAGAAATGTAATATTCAAAGGCTACCATTACTATAACGTGTAAGTTCAAGACCCAGCCAATACCAAAGTATCCGATATTTTAATAAAGTTATAAATAAATGTCCTTATATAATATTACAAAAATTAATGTACTTTTTATTAATTAAACCCAAATATTAAAGTAACATAAAATATGTCGTAAAAATATTTTGAGACCCAATGTGCATTTGCATAATGTTACTCTCGCAACGTAGGAAATTACTAAATTGGACCATTTATAGCAATGTCACAAAACACGATTTGAGATGGTTAAATTTTAAGACAATTTTTGATACAAAAAGCATGTTTTATACTAGATACACATTACACAAGCGAGTTGTAATTAAAATAGTGATTAAAACCTAAAATTAATTGAATATTTCATCGTGTCGCAATTCTATTACTGAATGTTATATAATCGGTTTTGCATAACGACATGCTAAAGGGACGCATTCGAGAATATAATTCGACAATATCAGGATTAATAAGTATCAACTGTCAACGATGCAGTACTAATTGTAATTGTATTAGTCACGAGTGTGTGACTACGGACGTTACGCGTTAATCCGATGGTTCATTTACATCGGATCTAGATTTAAATGTAATTATATATATATATATATGTGTGTGTGTGCGTGTGAACAATTTTGTAGTTTTATTTTCCCCTATGAAATGGAACAACTATATCTCTTAAATCATTTTAAGTTGATATGTGACAACATAATTTTATTTGCACGCGTACATTGCACATAATAGGAAGATGAGAGTTGTGATGACCATATATTTTTTTTAAATCGAATATTTCCGCAAGATGTCAGAAAATGAAAATGTTTGACAGGTCTTTCATATTTATTGCATAACGACGTGAATATAAAAAATTGCACAACGACGATCTTATATAATTTTGATATTATATTTCAAATTGCTATTCATTACTTTTGCAATACACTAATTTGAGCTGCACATTCTTACATTTTTTTTTAGTTTTGTTTTCTTTTTGCATTCGGTTATTTTATTCGAAATAGTTATATACTGGAAATAAGACGTTCTATTGCAGATGCTCAACCAACAACTTTTAAATGTATGTATATTATGATGCTTTTACGAACGAAGTTCCTGTAATTAATATACGAATATAATAAATATTTTATATTAAACATGTAATATTTGTCAGATTTTAACCATATAAATGTTTTAAATTAATTATCGTATCGACATAAGCGGGAAGAGAAAGTGATACAAATTTTAAACATTTCGCCTCCACGCACCAACAATCATATTACTTCGTGTGTTTGATTAGAAATTACGTAACGAGCTGTCAAATTAAATAGAATTAATAAATTTGGTCAACCAAATAATTACTCCAAAACACACACACACACACACACACACATACACACACACACACACACACACACACAGACCACAACTTCAACAGCTTAATTTATTTTCGCAATTTATATAATTAACTGATTATAATGTATTACATATTCAATACTAAAACTTTGTCTATTGCTTATATCCGTTTCAATTATAATATTAGAAATTGTATATCATTGTTGATACATCGTTATATCGAATATTAAGGTAACGATGCTATGAAAATTCTAAAGAAAGCTTCATTTCAATTTGTATTGGATACAAAACATGCTCTAGAAGACGCTGCACATTGATAACATTGTAACAGAACCAGGAGCATGAAATAAGAAGCCTTGTTAGACTGACGGCTAGACTAGATCATTAAAATATCTGAATGCCTCTTTTCCTTGTACTACCTCAGGTACTACATTTCTATTCTTACAATTCAGTATGAGAAAATATATTATTTGTACCATTAGTACATCTAAGAAGAAGATTACAACCATTACTTTTAAAAAATTGTTATGATATGTACAATTTTTTTATATTGTAGCATACAAAATAGAAATAACCGGAAAATAACATCGCTTTCAGTACACACTAGCATAGATTAAAACCGAATTGCAAAACGAAGGTGCGACCGATTGGCCTCAATAAACGATGCAATGCTGAGTGAATTATAACAAACATGTATTGCAAATAAGTAAAAGTGGATTATTTAAGTTAACAGTTATAAATTATGTCCTAAACATAGATATTATTAACATTTACTTTTTCAAATCAGCGCTTTGAAGTTGAGAAAATTTCGTAATTATGAGTGTTAATGAATGTAAAGGCTAAAATCATTTGACGTCAGTCAAAGTACAAATGAAATGTAGAGATAGGATTTAATTCAATTATTTATTAGAAAGGCTGGGACGAAGCGAAAATTGATATTCAAAATGTTCACTTATATACAGAAGATGTGACAGTATTTTTAATATCTTAATACAAATTTATGTTAAATATATCTAACATTTAATTAGGCATCGATATCATAAATAAAATAAATATAATAAATATAATATACATAACAGAAGCCAACTATTATTATTAATCGTAATTGTTGTCAATAATTAATTATTATTAATAAGTTTACTATTATTATATGTAATGATCTATGTCATTAATATTTTCGGCAATCACACCTCATAATGTTTCCGATTTTCTAAAGTAAAATCAATTTGTCATATGATTTTATCTTTGACAGCTGTAGGTATACCGCTAAACATAATTGTTTTTCTATGTTAATAAACATTATGAGTTTCTTGAACGATTGCTAAAAGTAAAGATAGGTCGTTCAAAATAATAAAGGGTGTTCTTTTTTGCAAGTGGTATAACATTATGCAATCTAATAATTGCCAAATGTAACATTTGTGTCACGGTGTTATCGTTGATCTAGGGAAGTGGTAGTGCTAAGTGGGGTTGTGTTCACCAGTGTTTCGATCGATCAGTATTTCTTACGGTTGTGGCGGCGAACGCGCGGCTTTTCTGTATGTAAGTCTTATTATAATAGTTATAATAGTGTTTCTTTATTGATTTGTTTTAACTGGAGCGTTGCGATTTAGCACAGCGAAAGTATCCTTAATTTTTATTATACTTATAATATAATTAATTGTTATTTTGTTATAATATTGAAAATTTAAATGATTTTCAGTGTATCGGACATCATAGTAGATAATAGAATTAATAAGTCCACCGAGAGGATTTAATGGGACAGGCTCATATGTAGGCAAAAGTTCATTA